CAACCTTCGACGACACCACGGCCTTTGTCTTGAAAACCTCGTTATCGCCAACTTCGACTCACTGTCTTCAACAACCTATCGCCGTCGAAGATGGATTTTTTCGCCGTCGGTGTTTTCGTAGAGCTCGACAATAAACAACATCAATATCACCAATAACATTATCGGTGAGTCTACTCTTTCCACCTTGTGCTCGCCCGTCTTTACCACCTGTCGTCCTTCTTCTCTGTTCGCTCCGCTGACTTCGATAGATAAATGACCTCTCGATTTATAGATACCAGGCCATCTTTCGGGACACAGACACAGTTACTAGCTGCGTCTGCTGTTCGGGTTATTAGCCCGCGGGTTCTAACGGTTCAAGTTACTAGCTTGTTATTGAAAACCAACGATTCTCTCTCGTTGATAAACCAAAGGACAGGCTACTAGCTTGATAGCGCTGAACGATGGTTTTCCTGGATATGGGATTGGGCGGCTTATTAGGTCGTCTGTCTTTGCCTGGGGAGGGTGTCTATAGAGGAAAGGCATGTAGAGAGTTTGAGGATAGTTTAATTTGCGGTACGTTTTTGTTCTTTCTTTTTTAACTGTGATTTGTAAATACTAGGCTAGCTTTTGGGATGCGGATACGGTTATTAGCTGTGTCTGCTGTTTGGGTCTTCGCCCACGTGTTCTAACGGTTTAATTTTGTAGCTTATAATTGAAAAAAAAAAACGATTCTCGTTGTCAAACTAACAGACAGGTTTCTTGCTCAATAGTTCAAACAGCTGCTTTCTCTGGGTGGAGATTGGACGGCTTATTAGGTCTTCTGTCTTCGCTCGGAGGGGGTATGCATAGATCATACTGTAAGTACAAGTATTTCGTTTATCGTCTCAACGAATCATCCACAGGCTCGTTTTTGGACACAGATACAGTTACTAGCTGCATCTACTGTTCGGGTTATTAGCCCACGCATTCTAACGACTAAACCTGTTAACCTGTAACCAAAAGAACGAGGCTCGTTCTTATTGATAAACTAACAGACAGGTTTCTTGCCCAATGGTTCAAATAGCTTCTTTCTCTGGGCGGAGATTGGGCGGCTTATTAAGTCGTCTGTCTTCGCCCGGGGAGGGTATGTATACATGTAGTTTCAAGGTTTATTCATACCGTATGTATTCAGTCTTTCTTCTATCCGCCCCTCAATTCGTAGATGCTATTTTTATCAAGCTTTGGGGACACTGATATACTAGTTACTAGCCACATTTGTCTGGGGGCGCCACCTGCGTATTTCAACGGCCCAGGTTAGTAAGACGCAATCAAAAACCAACGATATCCGCCCCCCGCGTCGTCTATCGGTACCTACCTGGGGAGGCTATGTATAATTTACACGACGAGTCTAACCTACATTTATTCATACTCAATTAATCATCAATAGGCTCGCTTTAAGCCCAGGAATTGCCATGAGAAGAAGGCTAGTAACAAAACCAACGAAGAGTTTTCTCGTTATCCTCTAGCTTATTGCCTAGAGGACAAAAAAAAGAGAGTCTCCATGTTTCTGTCCATGTCCGGTCATAGGCCTTTTTTAAAATACTAAGGTAAAAATATAAAATGGCAGGAGAAGATAGAATTTCGCCAATGGAGACTGCATATTTGGCCTAAATTCGAAGGTTTGGCTCTACACCCAGACGCTTTACATATAATATAAAATGGAATATAACAGTACATAATATTCTGGGCCGTAACCTTCCTATATGGTGATAACACATATCAGAACACACATGAACAGCTGTAATTCCAGATCATGAGATGATGAGGCACATTCTACTTCCGTTAAAGAAGAGAGGTTCCGGGGGTAGGTAATTCTAAAGACAGAAAAGAAAAAGCGAGAATAAGCAACGTAGATAAAACAATTACAGCTCCCATACTATGATGGAACAAGACAAGATGAGACTTAGTGCAAAATGGTCTCGTCTTGTCTCGTGCACCAATAATCCAGTAAACCGTGGTGGTATTCGTCTAGTTGATACTGCTAGGTTATGCTGCATATACTCGTAAACCTGTCAAACGACCGACTGGACTTGACGACTAGGGAGTAGCTTGGTTGCATACCCGAAAAAATCAAATTTTGGGGTAATTATCGTTTGGTAGTTCCCCAGAAAGTTCTTTTTTTCCCTCCTGTTTAATTCATTACCAAGAAAGTTTAATATACAGCCAAGGCCCAAGGTCTGGTTCAGGACAAATCGCCAAGTCGATATTCGATCCTGTAGTGAAAAATAATGGTGATGGGCATGTACGGACCGGTCCAATTGTATGTGGATAAATAAATCGACTAAACAGCGATGTTTGCATCATGAGATGTCACTCGATGTATCACAAAGATATCACTTGGATGATTCAAGAACGGACAAGATAAAAAAAAAAACTGGGATAGAACCTTGGAATGGCAAATATAATTTCACTGCTTGGAATTGCTCGCTAGATTACATGCCAGCTTAACTACGCTCGAGCGATAAAGCAATATGACAGAGCATACCAACTAGCTTGTGGTTTTCGGGGGTTTCCACGAAAATAAGATGAACGGAGAAAAGGAAATGACATAAAAACGTAGGAGGTATATATCCTTCCCAATCTAAAGACCACCCATCAAAGATAACGCCATTCGTCCCGTCGTACTAAGCCGGGAAATAAACACAGAAGAGAAGATTAAAACCTATGAGTGTAGTCAATCTAGCCACAACCAGCTAGGACGTACTTCCTTCTGCGGAAGCTTCACCAATGCAGTGTCAAAGTACTCTATCCGAAGCTCATTCTCCAATCTGTTGCGTCTATTTCCAGTGAAACGTCTGTATTCTTCGAGGGTGCTTGATAGGTTCCAACTTCACCGTGATATTAGCAGAATGTGGAGGTTTATAGCAAGAAAGAAGAGTTGTACCCTTGCAGACGACGAAGACAACCTATCACGGTACCAGTCCTATGTCTACCCATTGAGCAGGATACGAGGATAGGGAAGTTTGAAGGGTTGATGATGTGCTATGTGACTACGTCAGCTATTGGCGGTGGACACGAGGCGAGAGAGCTCCCATCGGTACCTCTAAGGCATCGGTGATGGACTCGACAGTGATTGCATCCCATGGCGCACCACCCTCCTGGAGACCGAGGTGGTACAGAGTGAGATTGTTATCGTCTAGCCATCCCAGGAGCGTTTCATCCGGTTCTTCGACAGCTACAGATACGTGAGGTAAGAATCCACACAGGAGGAATACCAGAGGTAAACAATATCCATACGAGAGCAAGCTCAATTATTCTTATCAACAAGGGTATAGTGCGGTATATTTTAATGAGAATACATAAATATCAGGTTAACGGAGCGCGCAGGAAACCCACCAAGCCAGACAATGGTCTTCAACTTCAACTCCGATAAGAAAGATAGATTAATGGATGTTGGTTGTCCACTTCTAAACAGGCCCTCCTCTACCTGGCAGAAATTGGGCGGCGGTACGAGCTTATTAAATTGTGACATTGGAAATCAGCTCTGGGAAGTTGCGGTTGGTGGGCCACAAGGGTTCAGTAAATGACGTTAGGTTTGAGCCGCAGGGGAACAATTCGAGAGGGTAACTAGGGTCTTGGCAATAATAACCGAAGCTCCAACGTCGAAATGCCAAGACGCAAGACTTACCTGGCTGGTGCACACAAGTTCGGACCACCCCCATACCTCTCGAGATCTTCAATTCAGAACGCCCCCCCAAATAACCTCAGCCATGGCTTCTAATTCACCACCCGCTGCGACAGCATCTGCTGGTACTCCGTCTTGCACGTAATACACCTCTTCTCCCCCATGCTTGATCAGTAACAACGCTAACGCCTTGTCTAGAGTTTATGTAGCTCGTTCCTCACAACCTCCCCCGAGCTTCTAGAAACCTAACTAACATATCCCTGCAGATCCGTAACCTCGAAGAATCTATCAAGATCCCTCTCCTTAAGCAATCCCTTACTACTATCTTCTCCCAATATGGGAACATTGTCGACCTTGTCGCAAAAAAGAATCTGAAGGCCAAGGGACAAGCTTTTGTGGTATTTGACTCTCCACAAGCCGCCGAGCAAGCCATCAAAGAGGTCCAGGCATTCCCTCTATTTGATAAGCCCATGGTCCTTGCGTTCGCGAAGACCCGTAGCGATGCGACCGTGAAGCGAGATGCTGGAGAGGACAGTGCCGAATTCGAAGCGCACAAGAGACGAAGGCTGGCAGAGAAAGGTACTTACTCAAACTTTAGGTTATGTTTACTGAGCTAACCTAATATAAAACAGAACGTAAACAAGCTCTTGCAGCTATTGAGTCCCAGCGCCGGCCTACAGCCGGCGCCGGAGCTGTTTCGCAAGCCGCAGACGCACCAAAAGCCACTGCGAAGAAGGCCGGTGGTGGACTCAAGTCTACTGCTCCTGCTGCAGCCCCGCAAATCCCGGACGAATATCTCCCACCCAATACTACATTGTTCTTACAGAACCTGCCCGACGACACAGACGAGACTATGCTCACTTCACTATTTGGGCGCTTCGATGGGTTCAAAGAAGTGCGTATGGTACCGGGAAGGAAAGGGATTGCATTCGTAGAATTTGAGCAGTTGGAAGGGGCGATTGGTGCAAAGGAAGGGATGGGTGGGATGGTCTTGGAGGATAAGGTCGTCAAGGTCACATACCAAAGACAGTAGTTTATGTGTTGCGTCCAAGATTATCAGAAGGCGTGAAGGCGTAAAACCAATGCTTGTATTATATCATACAATAACGCGATTTTCTTTTTTCTTTCGTAATGACAAGTTTGAACCATTACGTTTTCACTATGTGGACTCATATTTATCATCTTGATCCTTCCTAGCAGCAAATATTCTCGTATGCCTGCTGGGTATCACATCATGCCACTTTTAAAAACTCCCGGCCACGCTCAAAAAATAAAATAATAAAAAAAAGCAAAGTCATGAGGGGAAGGATAATTAAAAAAAAAAAAAAAAGAAGAAGAAGAAGAAGCAAAGGTCCTATCATTGAAATCCCATTCTTACCAATCCTTCGTGATTCGCCTCGGTGTCCTCAAGCGCATCCTGCTGCGATATACACATCAAGACGGTCCTTTTAGAGCTCTCCTGTATCTCCCCCGCAATCAAAAGCTCATCCAGGATAAAATATGCCTTCTGGAAATTGAATATGATGTCCAGCTCGCACACGTTCCCATAATATTTATCCATCTGTTCGACGTAACGGTGTACGATCTCTAATGTGATGAGCTCGTTGTCTGTGCTGTCGATCCCAGTTACAAAGAAGAGTGATGCGTATCGGCGGTATACCACTTTAGCATCTATTTGATATTGTTAGCTGTGCGGGGAGAACGGACGATATTGAGGGGCACCTTTGTATTCGAGAAAGTTGCACATCTTGGTACGTCTTGCTAGGACGAGCTGTGTTACCTCACGGAGGATCTTGGTTTTTTCTTTTTGTGATACTGTGATGAACCATTTCGACAAACGCTACAAGCTAATGATTAGCTCCTATGTAGCTTCAGAGCTACATGTACTTTATCTATGATATCATGGGATGAAAGGAACGCAAACCACTTTGCCTTGTCGTGAGAGGAGAATCAGATATCTAAAGGCACTCTATCAGCCTTTAAAGCTTTGGCAAACTAGTGCGCAGTTCGGAATTGAGTATGCTGACCTTATTGCCATTGTTGTATAGTTAGTGCTTCGGAGCTGTTTGGGTTGAGTCGATAGACTGTGGGCTAGGAAACATAGCGTCGATTCTAATGTTTACACTCACTCGAGTAACATGCAGCACGTGTTCTTACTCTTGGCGTGAACACAGAGGTTATTTTCAAAACGGCCAGACACACACAAAAGTGTAATGATAACGCAATAAACACACACCACCACCAGCCACCCTAACCCTCTTGCAGCCGAATTAATTCTTGACAACAGACTGTTTCCTGCTGCAAGAAATATCATATCACTGGAAGTTTAATAAATTGAGCGTCATCACATAGATATTGCATTGAGTTAATTTTGCGGAGTTTCATACAACTGGTAGCTCTTTAGTAACTCGCTATTCTCTTAAGAGAGCTTTTTTCCTCTCGACATGAGGTGTCGCGTGCTCACTCAGAAGAAGAACAGTCACGATGACTGATTCGGGCGCGTCCGAAGTCTAAAATTCCCCGAGACCCTTCTTCCATCATCATAGGTTGTTTTCCCTGCATCGGAAGTACGGCTGATTTGCTGTTTCATCAGCTATCAGAAGTAAAAGCAAGGTTGATCAATCACTTGAATCCTTTCCCTTTATCTATGTCTGGCTGTTCTATCCTTCATGGCATCATCAGGTGCCAAATCAGAATTACAATTCAGACGGGGACTAAGATGGCGGAGTCCCCTCAGGGCGGTTTAAGTCGGTTCAGTTGGTGATGCTTGGGTCTGGGAGCCGGGTAGATGCAGTAGACTGGAGACCTATTTTCAGCCAAATTGGATATTCTGCTCTACCAGTATGTCGGCCGCGGGTTAGAAGCCGTGGGATTGGAAGTTGGAAACTCAGCTGTGAATACTCAGGACCTGCATTTTCTGTTTATGTGACCGCTGGTTTCTGTCTTACGGACTGATTCAAAAGTTGGTTTCTCTTATCTGGAGTACGGCGAAGCCTTCAGGAGGTAGGTACTCCGTTTCCTGGGAGGTTTTACTTCTGGATTTGCAGAGGTTGCGATGAATACCCCACTCCTCGTGCTCCTTCTGTTTGAGTATCAGCCTGCCTTCTTTACCAAATCACGATCTCTCGCATGCTTCCGCATCATTAAATAGATTGCGTATTGTGGGGCAATATCGTCACGCATCGAACTATTTGGTGATAGTTCGGCACCATCTGAGGGTAAGCGAGACCAGGGTTTGGTGCTTTTACCAACTTTCTAACAGGTTTGGCTGGTCGTTGCTGAGGCACCGAGACGATCAGTCACAGTAGTTCCAGATTCAAGTATCCCCGCAACCCAGCATACATAGATCCAGCCCCAGCACACACCACCACCACCTCGCATTGAATGGTGTACGCCTCCATCACTTGCTTATCCTTGCATTCCCCCATAGATAGACCACACTGCCCCCCCCCCTTCTACTAGTAGTCTTTTTCAACTCCTTCTTCTCCTCTTCTTTTCCTTTCCTCTTCATCCATTCTTTTCTCATACAAAAATCACACGATACATTAGGGTACCACATGCTCGTGCTGCAACCACTGCAGCTACAATGGCGCCAATTCCTAACTTAACTTCGGCGCCATCTGAACTACTGCATACAATTCTCCAACACATCGGGCTTCAGGGCATCCATAGGCATCCCGAATACGAAGATGTAATTGACCCCCCGGGTGAAATAGGGCGGCCAATAGGAGGGGGAACAGGGCCTCCGCGGAGTGGAATATTCATTGTCATAATGGTATTTGGACTCGTTGCCGTGATATTTACAATTGTTGCCGGATGTATATGGTGTGCTGCCGCGAACGAATTGATATACTCTTCGGAGCAAGAGGAAAGAAGACCCTGGAGAACTAAGAAAGTTGCTCCTTTGAAAGGTGTGTGTGTTATATGAGAGTTCATTTCTCGTTGAGTATTTTGTTTTTGAGGAGTAGCATCACTTCACTCACAGTATTGTTTCGTTCTGCTGTGCCTGTTTAAAAATCAACCAATTTAAAAAGTGTAAAAGCCGCACTGCTTTATTAACATTTCTTTATATACAAACTTGTACCTGCACCCCTTTGTACTCGTACCACCAATAGCCTCTCCACATAAATTCCTTTCTAATTCCAATCTAACATCCGATTCTACTAGAATGGTACCGCCGTCGCCGAAATTTCCCCCGCACTAAATCCGACATCGCTCGTGATTCCCACCGCCACTCCATCCTAGAATCCCTCTCAGTCACCAATTGGCGCGGCCGTGCCAACCGACGGTGTGAGCCTGAATACACCTATAAAGCCTGGAGGCGGGCAGGTCCTAAAGACACCGATCGCTCTCCGCTTTTCCATGAGAGCAGGGGGGGCCATGGATATAGCACGTTTTCGAAAGAAGAAGGGTCTGGGGGAGCACATATATTATCTCTGAGCGTGCCCACTTCGCCACATATGGAGCAACTATTTGCGGGTCACCTAACAGGGCCAGTACCACCGTTGCGGAGACCGCCGTTGGGTAGTACGAAAACAGCACCCATATCGAGGTTGCCACCTATCGATAGAGTGTACAGAGGCCCTAGAAGCAATTCCTGGAGTGGATATAGCGGATCCCGTGGGAGGCGGTGTAAATATTCAGGGAGGGAATACGATGGTTCGGGCAGAGGATATAGTTGGGGTAACAGCGGGAGGGGTGGCTCGAGAGGGGCTTGTAGAAACAAACCGCCAGGAATGAGGGGGCTTGATGTGGTTCAGGAGGAAGAGTAGTTGTCGGAGGAGCAAAAGTGAATTATTTGTTTGTGTTCGGGCTATAGCTCTTGGTTTCTAGTACTGGGATGGATTTATGCGTCGATGGGCTCCTTTTTTCTTTCTTTTCATGGCGTACTATAGCGATTACTTACTCATGGCTGGGTATCTGACACTTACTGGGTTAGCACGAGGTTTTTGTCTTTATCTCTTTTTTCTCTCTTGGGCGGTGGGATTCTCTGGGTTATAGGTGGCACTGATTGATGTTTACGATTTTACTTCCGGTTTTACGAATTGGGTTACTTGGATTTCTGTTTTCCCTCGGGGTATCTGTCTCTCTGGCTTGTTCAGTTGGCGCTCTGTTGTGTTCATCTATCTTGAGTAGATTTACATTCTTCTTTGTATTAACATAACACAAAAATAAAAGAAGGATTTGTTTTTTCTTTGGGATTTCTGTTGTCTTAGAGCTAAGATTACATTGTTGATTTCATCAAGGATGAAATACTACATGGCTTGAGCTATTCCAACCCCGCTCCACCCTTCCCTCTAAGTATATTGTAACCTAAACACCCATTGCCTGCGATTCAGTTTGGAATTCTCATGGGGTGTCACTCGACCGCATGCCCCACTTGATTGACGCTAACCGGTTTGATAAAGCTGTACTACAGAATGTTACCACCAATTACACAATGTTAATCACGAGTGCTATATATTGCCAACTAATGAAACAAGCTTTCACTTACATATTATTGGTTAAATGATACTTGAGTAGGTTACTTCCGATCCCGAGTATGACTAGTACTAAGCTTTCTCTCGAAGTTAGTAGCCGTCTCAGGATATTTTCATACAATACACTCACAATATTAATTGTAGAACTGCCAACTAGATCACCAGACCCCCTAGGCCTCCTCCCTCTTGATCTTCACAGGCGCCCTCCACCTCGCCGCCACCTCACAACACATAGGCACATCCTCTCCGTAAGCCGCATAAAGCTCTGCGAAGAACGCTTTGACCCAGTCTTTTGGATTGTCGGTATATTCGCGGGTGAATGCTGCATTACGACAATATATGCACGTATCCATCAGATAATTCATGAGTTTAACTGGGCCGGTCTTAAAGGCTCCCCCACGGTTCTCCTGCAGGCCGATATACCAGGCGGTTATCTCGTCATAGTCTTGAGGAGCAAAGTCGTTGAGAAGAGTCATATCGAGGATGAAGCTCTTGTAGAAGGCCTCGATTTGGGCGAGGAGATGAGATATCTTATCGGAGATGGGATACCAGGGTGGTGATACGGACCGCTTGGCCTTTCCTGCAACCATGGTCTTGAATCGGGAATTTGGGATGGGATGGGGGAGAGAGTGTTTTGAAGCGGACACTTTGTGTAGGGTGATGCTCATGATGCATTTGCCTAAGGCTGGTCATAGCTAAAATCCCTCGGCGCCGAGGGAAACTTCCTAGGCAGTCATCTAGGTACGCGGACGGGCAACCAAAAATCATTGAATGTACCACATGCATACGAGGGCACGGTAACGCAAACCACTCCTTTCTGTGTGGTTTTCATGTGGGAAGAATGAAACTAGAGCGTCTCAACAGAATGATGCTTAGCATGTGCATACTCTAGAAGGATTGGCGTGGGCTGTATACATATTCTCCGTGGGGTATTAATAAATTAGACTGTTAAAAGCTTCACTCCCAGTAATACAAACACCACCAATTCGATTCACAAAAGTTTCCATGGACTCCTTCATAGGATAGCACTCGGTGCTTTTGCGCTAACGCTTCTTGGACTATTATAATTACCAAGACTACAAATCAAAACACGCTGCCGCTTCCTACCACCACACCGCTCATCCAAACAGCCATATCTCGAGTTTACATCTTTGCGGAACAGCCCTCTTTTCCCGAATTTCCATCCTCAAGTTGAGGCTCGTATAAGAGTGATTCGCAGGCAGTAGCGTTGGCTTTTTACTGCGCCAAGGCTAAGTTATATTCGGTGTAGTGATCGTATCAAATGGGTTTTGGGCAGGTCTAGCTGGTTAAACTTGTAAGCAGATTTATGTAGACTCTAATTCTCCCAAGCGCGGGCGGTAAAACAGCCCGGAGTGAAACGAGTTCATACGAGACCCTAGCCCAAAAGCACCACCTCATAAAGCCGTCGAAACACGTTAATCTAGATCTCAGGCCACCACACTCTCAAAGTTCTATAGTCTTGTTTTCTCAGCGTCTCCAACACACAGCCTTATCAGAGGGTGATGATTTCACTGCCTATACCAAACTCAAACGCTGTAGTTCAACCTACTATCGATGGATCGCAACTTCCAGAAAACTAAAGTTTTCGTACATAGCATCAAGGCGGATTAGAGGCAGCTCGAGGCCGGCACACCTGATACATTATGCACGCCCCCCCGCGTACTAGCCTCAATAAATTGATATCTACTCACAAAATGTATATATCTTCTGCTGAAACAATTGACAACCGCTGATAAACCCGGAGTTTAGGGCCCGTTTGGAGCCGTCCAAAACGAAGTTATGGGGGCTTGAAACCCCGTTCTGGTGAAAATCCCGTTCTGGTGAAAACCCCGTTCTGGTGAAAACCCCGTTCTGGTGAAAACCCCGTTCTGGTGAAAACCAGTTGTGTTTGGCGACCCATTTTGCGGGTCCAGAAAACAACGTTAACTCCATGAAAACGGAGTTTTTAAAAAGTAACTCAGACTTACCTACTTTTTCTTATCATAACTGTTGTGCAGGAACACCATCAACACCACAGTCTCCCAAACAGTACATCACACTTAAAACCCCGTTTTAGAATTTCTCCGTTCCCCCCCCCACTAACGAGGGCTAAGCAAAACAGAGTTTTCTACAATCTCGGCTCCCAAACGGGCCCCTATAGTCCAATCAATTGTTCATATTTGTCGAACATTGAGTAACTTTATCTCCCTGCTCCCGTAGACCAGCACATACCACCTGCAAGAAGCATCCACAGCCGTCTCAATGGGTTTGGGTTCAGGTCCTCAAGACGTGCGTCAGTAGCCGTCTTTTCAAACTCGAAGGACCCTACTTAGAAATGCCCAACCTCATAACTAGATGAGAGCCCGCTCGGCAACCGAGAATCCACCGGAATCCTCAGTTACTCAAAAATGATTTAATATATGACCTGCGATGCTATGAATTTGCTTTCACCTCCTAAGTTGAGATATACTATTTAGATGTAATGAACCAAGAAAGTGCTAAACCCCCGTTATCAGTCCTCTATGCATGAATATGTACGTTGAAGCCGAGACAAAAAAAAATAGCGCTTATAAACATAATTTTGTAAACCATCCCTTTGTGCCCTTGCTAGTTACAAACACACGAACAGAAGCATCAACAATCTCACCCGGGAGAGGAGAAAGAATTTCATTCGTTTTGAAGTTATAAGTCCAACCGTATTTTAAGGTGCCCTTCATGCTTTCTCACCTCCCTGCGGGGTCTCTTCCGGGGGAGCAAGCACCTGCTCCTTCTCCAGCAACTCCGCAAGCTCGCCGGACTGGTGCATGGAGACAAGGATATCGCAACCACCGATAAACTCCTTGTTCACATACAGCTGGGGGATCGTGGGCCAGTTGGAGTATTCCTTGATGCCTATCACCCGACAAAGTTAATCCCCAACCATTACTGGAGGGAGAGGCGAGGGGAAGGGAGACAAACCCTGTCGGACTTCATCGTTCTCCAACACATTGACCGCCGCAAACTTTGTTGGGTCGACGCCCTGCAGCCCGAGGATCTGCACAGATGCACGCGAGAATCCGCATTGCGGCATCTCCGGAGTACCCTTCATGAACAGGACCACAGGGGCGGTCTGTAGCACTCCATCAATGGTCTTGCGCGTTTCGTCTGAGAGGCGACGAATTTGCTGGAATTGCAGCCTCTGGAGTGGCTGCGATGATGTGCGAAGGACTCGGGCGGTAGTCTATAAAACAATAATTATTCTTGCATGGTTTCAACGATACAATTTTGGAATTACAGATAAAGCCCTACCTGCCTGAATACCGGTGATCTGAATAGGGATGCCATGGGTGATGTGATGCTGTTCTGCTCTGATTCCAAATGGTGCAGCGATGGTTGGTCGGGTCTGTTTGAGATGCCGTTGTTGCTTGGAAATCAATGATGTCGTTGAATGATTTGCGCCTCACAACGAGGGAGGTTACACCAACGCCACAGTTATAGAGTTCGGATAATTGTTTCTCCACTCCGCGGCACACTCGCACAAAAGTTAGTGCTTACAGATCCCTTTATCTTCAATTAATTGATCTCCCACCAAAATTGTGCCCCCCTATTATAAAGAGATAACTACATACTTAATTCAAAGATGATGGTATGTAGTTATCATCTACATACATACTAGGGTGTAGCGAAAAGTGATCAGATTCTGATCACTTACCCTCAACACCCAGTACATATACACGTACTACCTACAGACTTCCATCGTGGCAGGTAGCGATATAAGTACATGTAGTAATGAAATGTAATAGTTATTTTCAAATTGTAAGGCCGCTCCGCTTTTTATTCCCCCCACTGATATCAGAAAGAGGTTACCCACATGCATGGCCACCGTACACCGTTTTGCATTGAATCAAACCCAATATAAACAAAGTAAAACCTTACTCCCCCCTCCCTTTCGCTAGGAAATAAAGAATGTCATAAAAAAACATTTTTAAACATAAAGAAGAACCAGATCAATGCGCCTTTACAGCAAAAGCAGGCTCTAACATTTCCGAAACACCAAGTAAATATTAACCCGATATGATAGAATAAAAAGTCAGGACATATAAGAAAACCATTAATCGTAGGGGTAATTAACCCTAATTATATTATATAAACAAGGAGACTAGGGTGAAGAGAGATAAAAACTTAGTAGGTGAGGTGGGAGGATGGTAAAGTCGGCGATTGTCCACCCACAGGGTCAAATCCTATCCAAAAGAGTTCCAGGGGTCCGGACTTTGTAGTGCTGAACGTTTCGATCGAGGCGTCGGGTTCGTTGATTCTACAAATATTAGTAGCTGTAAACCGCGATCAAGATTGGTGAAAGCATACGATAATCCCGGGCCGAAATCCCAGCACTCCGTCTTTGACAGCTGGGACCATATTCTCTGGAAACCCTAGGAATTCATCAATGGTAGTTTCAGGGCCTCCCAGAGAATATTCACTACACTCGTCATCCAAACCATTACCACGGCTATCCACATGAGCGTTACTCAAGTCGTGCAATGACCCGGGTATGATTTTGGGCGGCTGAGTTTTAGCGCAGGTTAGTTGGCGATGAAGATGGACCTTCATCATTCTTTTAGTGTCATATTCGGGAGCCTTTTTCTGCTGTTTCCGCCATCCCGGTTTACGAAAGGTTCTCGGATCTGGCTCGGGAAGCTCGGGAGGGCAAGGCCAAGGGGAAGATGCGGTAAACTCGATATCCTTATAGAGATCTTTTAACTTTAGAGGCACAGCTGCAAGCTTTCCTGTAGTAAGCTTTACCAGCAGGTCACATGCCTTTGTTTCGTCATTTATATCCAGTTGTCCAGGATCAGATTTCTTAGTTTTCCGTGCTTGAGCCAGTTTAGCGCTGAACTCTTCCCGGACCTTCTTTGTCTCCCTTATGGCTTCTGTAAGTTTTTCCTGTAGCCTTCTAGCTGCGTTCCGCTGGTTTTTGGTGCAGCTTCTCTGCTCCGCTAATCTCTTCTCAAGCATTATAATCTTGGCCCTGTCACTCACAGGCTCATCAGAGTCATCAGAGTCAGTGAATTGAATTGATCCGCCTGCATTTTTTACTGCAGGTCGTCGCGGTATCTTTTTCGGAGGATTATTATCGTTACGGCTTACTGGTCGCTCAGTGGTACTCACCACTCCCGGAGGCGGTGACTCATGGGAAATAGGCGTGCTAGGAAACTTTCTTGCTGGGCCTGTAGAATTGTTAGACCTAGCAGGTCTCCTGGATTCCCCATTAGTAGCGACAGCCTCCCGTTTCCCTCCCTTATCGGGAATATCACAGGAGGCGTGTAATTTTAGAGTATTCTTTATAGGTTCTTCGTCTTTGATTTTCCGCAGTACACTTATTGCTCGTGGTTTGCTTGGCACAGGCTCATTCATTGGATATTTTTCCTTCACTCTATCCTTCGAAGTCTGGAATGTTCTGGCTGCAGACACAGCAGAGAATTCCTCGGGGGTCGAATTCTTGGACGTTTCATGATTCTGAAAACCCGTAGATAAAGTCGGTTTAAAAGGTTTAGAGTGTCTGCGTACCCTTCTTCGATGGGGTTTTTGGCCAGCCTGATGCCGGGTTTGCCTTGCCGTTCTTTGAGCCGTCGGTTGAGGTGGTTCTTGGATAACCCGGGAATTACGCGGTGGTACAGGATTTAGGGCACAAGATCCACTGATTTCAGCTGATATTAGTAGTAGAAACAAGTGCCGAAGAACCAGATGCCTACCAGATATTGTTCTTATATTGTCCATTATTTTGGATATAAAAATCACAAATCACGCACGAAAACCAATTATCACTGTTTTTCGGTTGTTCTTGCTGTGTTGTTTGAGGCAAGGGCATATATGTCAGATCCTTCACAGGGCCCTCATAGGATACATCAACATCGGGAGGTGGCGGACTATAAGGTGGAGATGATGCCTCACGATATTCCCGATTGATGGAACGTTCATTTTCGTTCCTTTCGCGATCCCCTACGCTTGGAGAATACTGGGGGTAGCTATCTTCAGGGAATGGCCTTGGCCTCTCGTATCTTGAAAAGGCTCCAGTTTGTTCATGTGGGCCCCAATACGGTCCTGTTCTTCCCAGAGTCTCGGAGGTCATGTTGCCATGGACTTTGTAACTATTCATGGTACGCTCCTGCATCGGTGAGTGGAGATCTGCAGAATCCAAGCTCATTTGGGCATCAACCAATTCATAGTCCATCTCTTGTGAATCCTTTATCTCTGATGGAAGACGGGCCTGTTTCAGTACACTCAAGTCCTCGTTATAGCTTGTAAGAGCTGGAGGCGGAGGCGGCGAACGGCTCGTGATACTTCTGCGCTTTGTAAGACGTTCCGATGTTCCTTGTGAGATCTTCGCAGCTTCAGAATGTTCAAAATCCTGATGTCCCCCCTGATGATTGTTCCGCTTGCCATCGGCAGAAGCCGATGTGCTCCGAGAACGGCTGCCGATTACGACTGCAAACGTTTGACTTCCATGAAAAATCTTGTTGGATCTTGCCAACTCCCCATACTCAAAATCCCCATATACCCTACCCAAGGCAGTATCTTCTGTGGACCACTGATTCTGGGCGGACGTATCGCCCTTAAATCGTTTCCTCAGACGATCATCATCTGAGTAAGAATGAAAATTCTCCAGATGCGCATCATGGTTCCGAGGACGATCGTTACCATTCATCTCGGACCCATCGGATTTAAACGAAGGCCCTGTGGATAAGGGGATAAGTACAGCGGCGGAGGTCACTGATGAGGCAGAAGTTTCCGAGGAAGTGGAATTAGATGATTGCCCCATTGGGGTGGAGGCATTAGACTGTTGTTCGGAGTATTTGCAGCGCTGGCATTTCCAAATCTTATTACTATAAAATATTGTTATTTATGTCGCTGGAGGTGGAAGAAAGAGGAAAGGTAGAAATTTACTTGGGTATAGCGTCTGGTCGATGACATAAGCTATGGTATGGCGTATCACATTCAGTACAACGAAAGAGGACGTTCTCTGGCGTGCTAGGCCCCCCACATCTAAGACAAAATGTGAATTCCAGGGTACGCGCCCTCTTCTGCCCTAAGTGATGATAAGAATGTGGCGGCGTACAGCCGCTGGATATCGACATCGCGGAAGTCGAAATAGACGTTACAATATCGGTTCCGGGTCTGCCGCGTACTGTAACTAGGCCTGGACGATTAAAATTTCTGTGAGGAGCCGAAGCACTCGATCTTAAACTTATCGAAGGTCTACTGGATTTCAACTCTGGCGGCGGGGAGAATTGAGATGCTGCCGAAAGAGTTCGGTTCCTAATCATATCTGTACTACGGTCCTGCAGTCGACATTCTAGGCTGATCTCGGAGGTGCTTTTGAAATTATCAGTTCGAGTAATTGAGAGACAAAGCTAGGCAAAGCAAACCGTTTTATTCTAGACTTTGGTGGCTCATCGTTTGCTGGGCGATATTCTCTTGTTGCATCCGAGCCAGCTGTAGTCACTGACAAGCCGGATCTTTTGTAGCTGCCTAAATCTTCCTTCGGATCCGAACGGCCCGTTCGCCCCTGAGGTATTGGTACATCCCCGGAATTCTTCATTCTATCATTTTTCCTGAAATGGGCATTACTTGTCTCTTCCTCAATTTTTTTGTTGGTATATCTATCAATTTCCGCTCCATTACTTCTCGTGACAGCCTGATGCCGACCTGCTGAGGGAGCCCTAGGTAAAGGCAAGCTATTATCCCTTAATCTGGACTTGTTAGTAGGACGTCCCCGTGGGCGTCCGGTAGGCTGATAGCTTTGCGCGCTTTTCCGCGCTACCAAGCTGGATCTAAAAAGTTTGATTCCTGTTGTGGAGGGCTGAACTCGGCTCAAGTCTCTACCATTGGCAGGATCGAGACGAGATGACTATTTCGCATTAGTCTTTGAAGAAGAAATATATCTCTGATTCTTAAAAGTTATACCTGATGCCCATTTTGCCCTGGATATTCCTTTGTACGCGCCTGACCACGCTCCTACAATTAAATAACAGGTTAGTCAATTGGTCGTCAGGTTATCCAAAAGCCTAGTATCAGTAAAGCCTATTGAAAACGATAAGCATTGACGCTTGTGTTATGCATCAGATCTTTTCAGTTATTTTGGACCTCATCCTGCCAGAACACAGGTCACCTCACCATCACCATCTCACAGACACCAACTGTAAGCTCAACCCTTCAAAAGAACATCCTCAACGCCCACCTACCATCATTTCCTTTAAGCTTCAAACCTCAGCATACATCAAACCATACCTCTCTCAAACTCAAATCAATATCAATTGTCCAAGCACAATACTCTCTCTCTCCAGTCATTTGTACTCCACTGCCATTGGCTTCAGCCCATTGATTCCTTCTTCCACTACCAGAGCGCTCAAGCCCAGGAATTCAAGGGTTTCGCCTTAATTTGCCCAAACCAAACTGAAACTCCCGCAAAAAAAGGAGCAATGAAGACCCTGGTTTTGCGAATGTTCCTGAATAGCCCAAGAAAAGTAAATGCGATTAGCATTGAAAGGGCCCGAGTAGAACGCCCCGATAGATGGATATAGGGGATGCTGAAGCTCCATATTGTGGTACTTGTCTAATTTGTCTATGCCTACCGTCGTTCAAGCCCATGGACTAAGGAATGGACGAGGGTTGTGATGTAACGCATAGCTGTACTTGTAACAAATGATAATTGATTAAGAGGACGAGCTCATGAGGCAGGTTATGAAGCAGCAAGGCTGAAAGCTCAAAAAATGATGGGATCGATGAATTTATCAGATGGTTCGAAAGGGAGCGCCTAACAATTGAATGACTGTTCGAAAGAATGAGGGGACCCCAAGCGTCCTGTTGTTGCAGTCGGACCTTTTACCAGGAGGATCATCATATGCTGGTCAACTCCATAATTCCGCTTCTTCTTTACTTGTGTTTTCCTCTCTACTGGGTGTTCGCAAATGTTTATCATTTTCCGGATGGATAATGATAGCGCATTGCGAAATAAGGGCAAGTAATATGCTTCATTAAAGATGAAGGCTTAATCTGAAATCACTTGCCTGCTGGTGAGAGTCCGTCGACTGAAAACGACCAGATTCCTCCTTCTCCGATTGAACACGATCGTCACGCGGAGCCATTCCACCCCAAGCTCCTGCGTGACCCCCCTTAAGAGACAACCGGTAGACGTTTATGAGTTATTGGTTACTTTTCGCTACTGAGTTGCTTTTTTTTTTTCGAGGAGTCGTTCTATCGAGCTATCAACGACTGCTTTCAGGAAGTGGGGTTGGAAACCGCTTCAGTGTTGATTCCAAAGGCGACAGACGCATTGGTGTGTGTACTGCAACTGTGTAAATGTATTATCCGCAACACAGCCTTGTATAAGAAGAATAATCAAAAGTGGATAGAGTAAAGGCGACCGTCAAAGGGTGCCGAGAACTCTTTTCTTAAAAAGGGGAGGGATGAAAGGTGCAAGTTGTGAGTGCACCGAGAGTTAAGAGGGAGAAGGCGGAGTGTTGGGTTGGTGTTGGGGATCTCGACGAGTTAGCGACGAGTTAGCGCCGCCGTTCTGGCCTAACGCTACTGTATTTATTGGGGGCGACATTGTTTTTTCCTCGTAGGCGACAAAAAACACCCCCGTTCATTCACTGAGGAGAAACATCCGCTTTTCGGGGGATAATTTTGCAGCCGTGAGTAAAATATGTCGGTTTCCGTAATGCATGGCTAATTTCATTCGCAGGCAGGAGTGATGCATATGGCCCACAGTGTTTGTTGACACGTCCATCGACTCCGCTTTTCCACCTCCATCACCTCCACCTCATCATCGTTCCTGATCGAGGTCCTACAGTGCCAAACTAACTACTCAAAATCTTTGGCCACTCCATTACCGAAACTAGTGATTCTCAAACCAAGCCTGAATTCCCATCTCAGTGGAAAGTTATTCTGGTTGGACAACAGGCGCTATATATCGATGAGTGGCCTTTCGTCCCGCAAGGCCAACGCACATCAGAACTCTGGACTCTGGGCACATCTCCACAATATCAATCTGCTTCTGGAGCATGCTCATTTTTCCAGTGAGTAGGGGGATAAAAGGCGAGCGGCTTTCGCACCTCAAGTGATGTTGCGTTCACATTGACCACGTCAAAGTGCCTGCAAAACACCGATACTTGTATGGAGCGAAATATTATTTCTACGTTAAACCGGCATTCATACGAGTCTTCATCAAACCTTCAAAATCAGGCCATTTTGAGCTTACAAACTCTTCTAAAAAAGAACATGTCTACAAACACAGATTTGCAAGCAAAATTCTCGACATTCTATTAATCACATCAACTAAAGAAAATACAATACTTGGACTTCGTAGATAACACATGAATACGGCAGCCATGGTAGTTTCTTCAGGGCCCATACGGGAAGGCCAAAATTTGGCCCGTCAAAGTTGAGAGAGAGAGTTGAGCACTCATCTGCTCCTTTGTAGCAGCCGATGACCACCACTTCAACTATAACCTGGCAGTTTACAGACCTATCATTTTATCGCCTCAAAATTTAGTTGAAAGATTGGGCCAACCCGGCAAGATCAATTAGGACTGATCTAATAACCTTTTAAAGGCGATTTTGCGGCAAGCTCGTATATTGAGGCCTAAGGAACCTCCCCAATTCGATGCGTCGGGCCTTCAACGTAATCTGACAGCTTTACATTGATCCTAATTCATCTCTTTCTTTGATCAAGCTGCTGTTTCAGCCTTTCTCCAGGAATTTCAGTTCATACTGTAGTTGGCCATATACATGAAACATACATAATATTCAAAACAAGAGAATACTAGATGTATGTGTTCATCTAACCAGCTTTAAAGGCCACTTGTTTTTTTTTATTAATTTCAAAGTCTTTAATTGCGCAAACAGGGCCAGCCCTATTTTGCGGTTCTCTGATAGGTTAAGATCTCCTATCTGCCAATCAGAATCAGAACTTGTAGCTGGAGTCCTTTGCGCAAAGACCATTTTAACCTTCGACTAGTATACTGTCACGCGTAGAAACTATAATTTGTAGTCAATGCTTAGTAAAGTAGCAAATACGTAGCATCAGCAGGCGAGATCTGGACATCTGGCCCCTCATTGAAGAATCAGCTCTTGAAGCATCTACATCTCGAACTCACGGCCAGTAACCCCGCGGAGGAAGAAAAAAGAAGCAATGAGTGATCCACAGATCAATCAGCCTATGGCGCCGCCAAAAGCACACACCCGACAACAGAGGAGCATGGGATTGCTCGAGCTCCCATACGTCACGGTTGCAGAGAGCCGCCCAGACACTCCGTGCGATGCAAGTAATAAGTTCAAAAAGAAGAAGAAAAAAAAGAGAGAAAGATATCTGCCCCGCAGTAGCTTACGAGTACTATCATTTAGGGGAACACACAATTGACCACCAATCTCCAAGAGGCAGAGATCACAGCACTCCGTGCTGAGAACCTAAGACTGGGCGAAGAGAATCTCAAGCTTGCTGGAGAACTCGTAAATACTTCAAAGTCCCTCAAAACCGCTGTCAAATTTTGGATGAAAGCGGAGGATGAGCTGGGGAAGCTGCTGAAGCTTTCCCAGAACAATCTTCAGAGAGAGATGCGCGTTGAAAAGCCTAAGGATGAGGAGAAGAAGGACAAAGAGGATACAGAGGAAGAAAGCGATTCTGGCGCTTACGAGGACGCTCTTGACGCCCTTGAGGAGGATGGCGGGACTTTGGTTTGACATGCATCATGGTTTGAGGGGCTGGTTGCTAGCAGGTGTTTTGAGTACCTACTCGATCCCACCGTGCACGGAACTGGGGTACTGAGTAAAAGTACGGTTTCTTTTTTTCTCTTTTTCTAACCCCGAGACATGCGATTTTCATTGCACAATAAAGTTACATATACGCTTTTCTATCCTCTTGAGATCCAAGAGCCGCAGTTTCATAATCGTTCAAGGGCTAGGGTTTCTTCTAGTGTGGATCATGGGTAATCACTCGAACGGTTTAACACAATGCACAGCCCTCTTTCCAGCGGGGAAGAGAATTTTATTAGTCAAAAAGGAATTTCTCCGGACCCCGCTTTTGCCTATGACTATCAAGGCGTGCAAAGGCTCAAAGAATGCTGGAGATTTCCCTCAAGCCTAGGCGGAAAATTAAATTAGCATTCACTATAACGACCATTGTGACGGTCCACGATATCCGTGAACTTTCCCGACGCCATTTTCTCCTTAGTTCTTCGCTTGATGAATTAAGGTTTTGCTAACTTATAAACCAATGATTAGACTCGGCGTTCAATCTTGATCTTTTTTTTTCTTCTCCTCACACCTTCCCCTTCCTCATCCACCAACACATTGACCATCACCGTAGCCTAGCTGCAAGGCAATGCACCTACTGACATTTCTCATGGGCCCGCAAAAAGTTCACTTCAAGCTCGCTGCCTACCGGTAACCACCGTGCCCTGCAGGAATCACCAAGCTGCCCGATATGTCTCTCGCTAGGCGGCAGCCGAGCGGCAGTTCCTGCCCACAACGCTACATGCTGCACCGCACACCATCGAATTTCACTACGGTTGTCACGACTTACACTGAGTGTAGAGCAGAGCTCTCTAAGATTGGGGAACGACCCCCCCGCTATCTAAGGCTTGATGCATTTCCCGATAGATCCTCTCCACAGCCATGAAACCACACGATCTCATGTGGGCTAAATTTAATACAATATAACGTAAAAGGACTTAATCCAAATTTAAACCCGCAGAGGCCTTAGTGGGTCCTTTGTGTTTCTTCGTGCGGGATCGTGGTGCCTGGTCTGGCATGGCTTCCTCACGTGTGTCTTGCCTGAGGCTGAGACCAAGGTTGAGCTAGGTAGCTAGGGGAAGGCTCCGATCTGGAGAATTAAGATACCGCCTTGTCGTGGGGACCTCCGTCTGATTAAACACCCCACAAAACAGAGGTAGCAAGAGTTGAAACCCAATGCGCACGAGATAGCGGGGATGTGCCCCGCGAGGCACACACATGTTATCGGGCACCCCAGCCTGATTACCTAGTGCCATGGATTTTGGGGGAAAAACGTATGTACCTATGTATGCTGCGATATTTCACTATCAGACCCCACAGATTCTTTTACAAGGTCGTGTCTAGAGTAGCTAGCCTAGGCAGAAGTTCCTCTATATGCTCGGGTCATTTGTATAATTCCGCAGAGGACGAGTGTATATAAGCGTGACCACCCCCTCCATCAAGTTGTGGCAGGAAATGATTGGTGGGGCAAAAATCCTATTGGTGGGTTTGTCTCCGTAGATGAGTGAAAAGAGACTGGTCCGTCCGGACGAGACGACCCACACGGCGGAGGGGGGGTCAATGATCACGGTACCATGTACCAATGGGGTATTTTCGTCATTGAATCAGCCGTGCCTTCCTGTGAAAATGAGTTTACGTGAAAGCTTCTCATTAAGTATTATTACCCGCCGAATGAGTTATATGAAAAGCCTCCCATTAAGTATTATTAACCACCGGGCCTCGTTTTCCCCGGGTAAAAGAGAGCTAAAAACTACAAGTACCGACAATTAAAAAGCACTATAAAGAGTTAATGAACTACATGTACTGCAGTGCATTTCCCCCGGCTAGCTTGCCATACACAAGGTAATTGCTTAGACAAATGTAGCGCATGTCTAGTCGGTATGAGCCAGACATTCTCCACACAATTACGTATTAGTAGTATACGGTATTCCCTTTCGCTATCGCCGCACCTACCACAACTACAACAAAGCGTAGTTTCTGAAAAAGTACTGCGCTGCCTATGGAATCACAAAGTAGATCACTCGTCAGTCATCTCATCACCACCGTCCCCATTCTCAGCAGGAGCCGTAGCCGTAGCCGTAGCCGTAGCCGTAGCAGCAGTAGCAGTATTCTCGGCCTCCGGTTTCCAGTGGCCGTCCCAGTTGAACTTGATTGCCTCGTCGCCCCACGTAAACCATCCCTCGGTGAGGTTTCGCCCGAATATCTCACAGGCCCTGTAGTTCTCCGGTAGATATGGCTCCACGAGCTCTATGCTGCCAGGTAAGTACCGGTACAGCGCAATGATCCAAACAAAAGAGCGCAAAAACACCAGATTAAGCAGAGAGGAGAAAGATCCCCAAAAAACGCACCTTTGACCCCCGGCTTCCTCGAATGCAAATCCGGCACCGCCACAATCGTCCTCCCCGGCACCCTGCCCACCCCCACCCCCACCCCCACCTCCTCCTCCTCCACCCCGAGCTTAACCCTCTTGCCCTCCCTCCCCCTCCTACCACTACCGGGCTTCCTCCCAAACACAAGCACCTCATACGGCTTCCGCATCGCCGCCTCCAGCGCCACCACGGGCTCGCCCGCACTCGTAACCTTCACCCACACCCACTCCCCCGCCTCCTCCACCCCCCACCGCGCAAACAGCCGCTCCACCACAAACGCGCGGTACCTTGGTTTATTCGTGATCCACACGCCCACCAGCGCCCCGGGGGCCAGCGCCGTGCCTAGCGGCAGCTGCAAGAGCTCGTGAATGTTGAAGCGCGACAGCGTGGCATATGCGTTGCTGCGCGCCGCGGAGCGGTTGGGCCACGGCGGGTCGAGGAGGGCAAAGTCGAAGCGCCCGCCTGCGGCGGCGGCGGTGAAGGCGCTGAATGTGGCGGCGGAGGCCTGGAAGCGCGAGAGGAGGAAGGAGGCGCGCGGGGGCAGGTGGAAGAGCTTGGGCGGGGAGGGGTGGGTGAGGGTTAGCGTGAGCCAGGAGTCGGAGGCGTTGGTGATGGGGATGGCGTGGATGTCGGAGATGTCGGCGAGGACTGTGGGCGCGGTGAGGGTGAGGGCGATGCCTTCTTGGTGGTCGTCGGGGAGCGAGGGCTGCAGGAGCGGCGTGCAGGCGTGGAAGTCGAGTTCGGAGTGGGCGGGTGGGGGGGAGTCGGTGCTGCGCGGGCGGTGGTACGGGCCCGTGTAGTTTGCGTGCAGGTCGGCGAGCGCGGCGGTGAGCGTGGGGAGGAGGCGCGCGTGCAGGGCGGAGAGCGACTGCGTGAAGGGCGTCTGCTGCTTGGGGTCGGCGAGGGCGTGCGGTGCGGCGAGGGGCTTGTGCGTGCTGCGCGGGGCGAGGCCCGGCGGCGCGGAGAGCGTGCTGGGGATGTCGAGGAGGAGCGTTTGTGTGGCGGGGCAGGCGCGCAGCAGTGAGGGGGGCATCGCGGGGTGTGCGTATATGTGAGTGAGTGAGTGAGCGAGTGAGTGAGCGAGTGAGCGAGTGTGAGTGAGTGAATGTGTTGGACCATGCGCGTGAGAGAATGTGTGTTGTGTAGTCTGTAGGGCAGGGCAGGGTTGTTGCTAGCACGGCACGGCACGGCACAGGGAGGAAAGCACCAAAGGGACGGGAGTGAGTGAGTGAGTGAGTGGGCGAGTGCGTGGATGCCGTATTGTAGCAGCAGCAGTAATAGCAATAATTGATACCGGCCAACTGGGAAGCTCAACAATGCTAAGGTCGGTCGATCTCTTGGGCAATTGCTTGAACAAAGACCCACAGCGATATATCCCCTGTGAACACCTGCAACGGCTCCCTCCCTCTCATTGGCCCGTTACACGCGCAGAGTGACGCCCGCACCCCTGCAACGGCAACGGCAACGGCAACGGCACTCACCTCGCTCGCTCTCAACAACACCTCGGCAGGCACCTGGACACCGACCGTGATAGCAGCAGCTCCATCGAAACCCTCCCTCCCTCCCCCTTGCCCACCCCCGAGGAACCCGCTCAATCCTCAATCCTCACCACCAACCCACCAACCCATACACACCACAGAGCTCAAACACCCCCCTAGAGCTCACCATGGAGTTCATGTCCAACGTGTCGTCGGGCCTCGACTCGTCCAAGCCCTCCCTCTTCGAGCTCCTCTCCGAGTCGCAGCTGCGCGACCTCCTCGAGCCCTCGGTCCGCTACGTGCTCGCCGTGTTCACGCAGCGCCACCCGCGCTACCTCATCCACATCTTCAACCGCTACGATGAGGTCTACGCGCTGTTCATGCTGCTCGTCGAGCGCCACTACCTCACGCGCTGGGGCGGCAGCTTCACGGAGAACTTTTACGGCATCAAGCGGGAGCGGGTGCTGGCGAGGGATCTGCCGCGCGCGGCGAGGGCCGTGCCGGATGTGGCGGCGGCGAGTACGAGGTTGAGGAGGGGGGATGTGTGGAGGAGTTTGTTTTTGATTGTGAGTTGTTGCTGTGTGTTGTGGGTGGTGGGTGGTGGGTGGTGATTTGGGGGGGGGGGGTATTGTGTGAGTGAGTGAGAATTTGTGCTGATTGATGGGAGTGTGATAGGTTGGGGTGCCGTATTTGAAGAGGAAGCTGGACGACGCGTATGAGATCCATGCTGGCGGTGCCGCGGCGAATTTGTTTGGCTCGAATTATCGCAATGACGAGCCGGCGGAGAATGTGAGTTGTGGTCATTTCTATCATTTCCCTTGAGTAGTCTACTAGAGTAGTTTAAGACTATCTCTTAAGTAGTTTACTACTATACACCTCTTAAGCAATAGCTACTACAATTCTTTGGAGTAGTTTAATTGCTGTCTCTTGAGTAATATTTACCACTATTCTTCTGAGATACTTTAATTACTACCTCTTGGGCCCTCTACTGCTACTATCTCTCTTTGAGTATTTATTAGCAGTAGACCACCACACTTCCCACATATCAATCACTGACACTCCTCCCCACAGGCCACCGCCCGCGAAAAGCTCCTTTACTACCTCAAGAAGCTCCTCCGCAAGATCTACCCCACCATCAACGCCGCCTACTACCTCTCCACGCTCGCCTTCAACCTCGCCTACCTCTTCGACAAATCCCACTACCACACGCCCTTCCACTTCCTCGTCAACATCCGCATGCGCCGTCTCAATGAGGCCGACCACGTACGTTTCTCCCCCCTCTCCTCCCCTGCAGCGAAAAAAAAAAAAAAAAAAAAAACCCCATCCTAATAATCATTACCTATAAATTACAACCAAAAAAAAAAAAACTAACACTCAAATCCACAGCGCGCATTCGAAGCCGCCTCCCGCCCCACCTCCCGCCCCGGCGCCGCCCCCTCCCTCACCGCCCGCACCCTCCTCTCGCCCACCGCGCTCTCACGCCTCATCCTCCCGCGGCTCCTCGACTCACTCAAGATCCTCCTCCCCACCAGCATCTTCTTCCTCAAGTTCCTCGAGTGGTGGCACGCCTCCGACTTTGCGCGCCAACTCTCTGCCAAGACGGCCGCATCCATCGAGCTGCCGCCGCCATGGACCATCCCGCCGCCGCCGCCGCCGCCGCCGGCCGACGACGACAGCGAGGAGGAGGGGCACGGCATGGAGCGGCAGGGGCGCAAGTTGGTCAAGGTGCAGGAGGATAGCCGCATCTGCGCGATATGTGAGAATGAGTTGACGAATCCGACGGCCGTGCAGACGGGCTATGTGTTTTGCTATCCGTGCATCTTCCGGTGGGTGCAGGAGGGCGAGGAGGAGCCGGGGAGCGGGAAGGGGTGCTGTCCGGTGACGGGGGTGAGGCTGTTGGGTGGTACGGAGGGGTTGAGGAGGATTATGGTTTAAGCTTTCGGGGGAGGGAAGGGAAGGGAAGGGGGGGGGAGGTTAGATTTGGGGGTAGACTTTTTAGGTAGTAATGATATCTTTTTTTTTTATTATTATTTGTTTTTTCATTTGTTCTAGTGGTAGTTTGGTAGTGGTTATTGGTTGTGGTGAGCATGGCCGGGAGCGTATTGGGGATCAAGTTGCAATTGGGAGGGCGGTATTGTTACAGGTACATATATATAAACTACTTCACACTAGATGCGCGACACGGCATGTGCAAAAAAAAAAAAAAGTCATTGGCTACATATCAATAGTTGTTATCAGACATTGCGTGCAAGTACTCAATGTTAAACCTCATATATTTTGTGCAAGTGCTCAATGTTAAACAGATATTGCGTATAAGTGCAAGTGCTCAATGTTAAACAGTAAACTATGGAACCAAGATCGGATGCGACTGCTTCAACTTGTTTTTTGTTTTTTTTACTTTTTTGATAAGGAAAGGCAGGTACATACTTTCTTTTTGATTTGGCTGCCGTGTCATAACTACATAACGGCAATTGACTCAAACACAAGCTTAACGGAAGGGGCGGGATAAGAGGATAGGACGTTACGTTACTCGTACAGGTGGGTGTGCGGGATAAGAGGATGTGACGTTACTCGTACATCTGTACAGGCGGGCGGGTGGGCGGGCGGGCGGGCGGATGATACTCTATCTCTCTGTGCCTTCAGCGCGTTTTGGCGTTTGTGGCGAGGAAGAGGAGACTGGTGATTCAGTTAGTGACAGTTGAAGGAGAATACTAGTAATAAAAAAAAAAAACATACCAAGTGGCAATAATCACCACCGTAATAATCCCCAACACCTGTCCCAACTGTCAGTACCACCCACCACACACACGGAACCAGTACCACCAACTACTCACCACCTGCGTCTTCGCACCACTCTGCACCAGCGCCGTCTTTCGACGATACAGCTGTATAGTCTTGAGGTAGTTTGCCAGGCCCGCAAACAGGCACGCCAGGCTAAGGGACCAGAAGATGATCCCCAGGGGCATGCTCATTCTGCGCTCCAGCTGCGTGGGCTCGCGCTTGAAGTGGAAGGAGATGACGATGGCGATGGAGACGACGCAGAGGTAGACGGACAGGCGGAGCCACGAGAGGAAGTTGCGCTCGTTGGCGCAGTGGTCGCGCGCATCGCTGGCGTCGTTGGTGAAGAGGAGGGGGGAGATGAAGGGGGAGGAGAGAATGATGGGGCTGTTGGAGTCGAGCCTGGTGGGGGTTAGTTGGAGCACGATATGTAGCTACATGTAGCTAGCTATGGGGATGATGGAGGGGATGGGATGGAGGGGATGGGGCCTTACTCGTCGATGTTGACTGGGGGGAGGCAGTTCGACATGGCGGGAGGAGGTTAGTTTAGTTGTTAGTGCTGCACTGTACTCTACTCTAATCGCGCAATTGAGCCCAGTTGTTTCGTCACTCGCGCTCAGCAACACAGAAGAGGTTGTTTGCGGGGGTGGGTTGGGGGTTGTGGGGGGGGAGCTTCACGGGTTTCCTAAGAGCTCCCTTCCCTCCCTGCTGGGATGTGCGTTCTCGCTTATCACGGGGGAAGGCAGGGATGTGGGTTCTGCCGGAAGGTGTAGCCGCATATTACCACTGATCTGCGGAGGGTCTTGTTTTTTGTGTTTTGTTTTTTCTGTTGTTTCTGTGTCCCAGGTTTAAATCACTCTGCAGACCCTTCCTCCAGATCGGATCGTTTCATGCATCGCCACGGGTCGGGATGCAGTCCGTGATGGGGGATAGGGTTCATGGATGATGGGGGTTTGATGGGGGGGATGCGAGATCAGATATGAGATAGAGTGAGTACAGACAAGGAAGACTCACTTACTCACTGCCGAGACGAGACATTTTGTGAGATCTCTAGGAGCAAGGAATGGGGGATTTGAGAGTGGGATGGGCCCATGATGGGGACGGATGTCTGGCTATCGCGACCTCAGACAGGGCCCTCAATTGCTTATCTGAGTTGACGGTTCTAGATCTCCACCCACCGGGGAATTAAGACCCTTTTGTCCCCCTTCCGTTCTCCACGGTCATGTGTGGTGTGCTACTTAGGCCTTCTTCTTCTCTTCCCTTTATGCTGCAGGGTCCTGTCAGTGGCTGGCTGGTAAAGTAGGTAACTAACTACTAAGGGAGGGGGTATTTTTGTAACTTAGAGTAGGCAGAGTAGAGTACTCTAGGTAGGTGCTCTACTCTAACTCTCCCGATAATAGCCTTACTTTTCCTACTCCAGATATGAACGTGAAAGTTTTTTTTTTTTTTTTTTCCTTTTTGTAATTGTCAGAAAACTCGCATTGCACTGCAGAACCCTCTCTCTGCCTACATGCTCATACATACACCCTGCATCACACCCCCATCACTCATTCCCAGGGGAGAGAGCAAGCAGCACTTCCTCTCATTATTGCGCTGCACACCCGGAGGTCCTCGTCGTTCCTATTGGCCTTGTGGCTATTTGCACCTCCCGCTTTTAACTCTTGTAATGACTTCCCCCCCAGAATGGCATATCCATGCCGTTCGCACACACACCCTCCGACCGCTCTGTTGGTTCGGTGATTCGTATCTTGATCTTCTCCTGCGTCTTCCCATCATCATCATTGCCTACCCTACCTACACACTATATTACCCACCTTCTCCCTCTCACACACACACACGCACACCCAAGATCATACGGCATTGATCCTTCTTGTATAGATATCGATATCACTATTCTAACTCCATGAGCAGCAGAAATCCGTAATATAATACCTATTTCAGAAACAGCTCCCGAGTAACAAAGACACACATATACGCACACCATACATACGTAGTAGCAGTGACTGATCACCGCACCGCCCTCATTTCATGACTTCCCACAATAACAACAACACCACCTCCTCACCACACCAATCTGGCCTGTCCGCCCTCTGGAGTCACTACAGAGGCTCCCCCTCCCACCTGGACAATGACGACAGCAGCAGCGCCGTTATAGTCGACGATCACGACCACACCAACCACAACCACCTTGCTATTCCCACCACCGCAGACGACGACACAACGCCCCTCCTCTCCCGCCAATCTGACTCCAGCCGTCTCTCACTCGTAGGAAGCTACCGCCGCCCCTCGTTCACGTTTGGAAACGCTCGTCCCTCGTTCGTGCCGGGTTCCTCGATACCAACTGAGTCAGGCTTCCTGAACAGGGCTGAGATCGCAGACATGGTGGCCGAAGAGCAGAGCTTGTTGAAGGATAACCATATTGTATCCCCCCACTATGGCACGCTAGCATCGCGGCCGGCGTCGATGGCGTGTGAGGAACGTGGCGAGGTGCCAAAGTGGGATGAGGCCGTTGCGAGTGGCATGGTACACACGACGTACAAGAGGGAGCTCCTTGTGCTTGTTAAATATACACTGCCGTTGTATGTGACCTTTTTATTGCAATACAGCTTGACGTTCGCGTCGTTATTCTCAGCAGGCAATTTGGGCAAGGATGAGCTGGCGGCGGTGTTGCTGGCCACAATGACGGCGAATATCACAGGGTATGCAGTATATCAAGGTAGGGTCAATTGGGTTGTACAAACGGAAAATTGTGCGAGTGATAGCTGATGCGGTGTTTAGGATTGAGTACGTCGTTGGACACACTATGCGCACAGGCGTATGGATCAGGAAATAAAACTCTCATTGGTCTGCATTTGCAGAGAATGATTTGTTTTCTTATGTGTATAACTGTGCCGGTTATCATCATCTGGCTATTCTCTGAGGAGATTCTCACCTTCCTAATTCCAGAACCTGAGCTGGCCGTGTTGGCTGGAAGGTATTTGAGAATTCTCACAATTGGAGCGTGAGTCATCCCCGCCTTCTGTGAGTATTATAAGAAGACTAACCTGTATCACAGCCCAGGATATGCTTGCTTTGAGGCGGGAAAGAGGTTCGTACAGGCACAAGGTAACTTTACCGCCTCGACCTATGTGCTCTTGTTCTGTGCTCCCTTCAACGCAATTATGAACTATATTCTCGTCTGGGTATGCTGAAACCCCCGGACCTTTCGTCTGATGTTCCACTAACATCCTACATAGCACCCCAAATATGGCTTTGGCTTCTCTGGTGCTCCGACCGCCGTGGTAATCACCGATTGGATGATGCCCCTCCTCCTTTTGCTCTATGTCCGCTTTGTCGATGGCTACGACTGTTGGGGCGGCTTCACCCGCAAGGCCCTCATCAACTGGTGGCCAATGATCAAGCTATCTCTCCCGGGTCTCGTCATCGTCGAAGCCGAGTTCATCGCCTTCGAGTTGCTCACCCTCCTCGCATCCTACTTTGACACCGCCCATCTCGCCGCCCAATCCGTCCTCGTCACCGCAACAAGCATCGCTTTCCAGCTCCCCTTTGCCCTCTCAATTGCCTCCTCCACGCGCGTCGCCAACCTTCTCGGTGCTACCCTCGAAGACGGCGCCAAAACCGCTGCCTACGCCGGCTTTATCGCAAGCATCTTCCTCGGCATAGTCAACCTCCTGTTCATGATCTCCGCGCGCGGCTGGTTTGTCCACCTGCTCACGCAGGATCCCGAGGTCATTGCATACGTGGTCAGCGTGATGCCGGTCACGGCACTTTTTCAGGGCTTTGACGCAATTGCGTCCATGGGCGGCGGGATCCTGCGTGGACAGGGAAGACAGCATATCGGCAGCTATATCAGCATTGTTGCGTACTACTTCTTGGCCATCCCAATATCGGTCATCACGGCGTTCGTGTTTGGGTGGGAGCTGTATGGCCTGTGGAGCGGTGTTGCGGTTGCGCTGATTTTTGTGGCAATTATTCAGACGACGATTGTGCTTAGGACGGACTGGAAGAAGGTGGTTAATGATGCGGCGGCGAGGATCGAGGGGGCGTAGTTCTATGTGTGTGCGTAATTGTTGTGGACTTAGAAGGCTTGGGGGGCTAGACATACCCTTTTTTGCTTTTTTGCTTTTTGTATGTGCGTGTGCGTGTGCGTGTGCGGGGGAAGTGGAATAATGTTATTGTGCACAGGATGGGCAATGTTGCATGTATATATCGTGATGTGAGATGACTGTGATGTTATGGTAAAAGTTTGTGTTCTGCCTGTGTCTGTGCTATATCATGATTTGGTTGCAGTTGTTGGATGATCTTGGTTGGATCTAATGTAAGGATTATCTGCTTTAGAGTTGGGTATCTGCCGATATCATGGCTTTGTGAAGTAGGGTTACTGCGTTATATCAAGTTCCAACCTGGTGTTCGAACGTTCCCTATAGGCCAATCTATCCATCACTTCCTCCTACACAATAAGCACTTCAAGACAGGAACACCCCGGCCACCCCAAGTTTCGAAACCTGCAAGAGGCCGAAGGGCCCTACCATACCCATTGGACAAGCAAACACTTCTCTGCACCTATCTTCCCCTTCCTCTGCTGGCCTTCTGATGTACTGCTATCACGGCCCGTATCTACATATTAGTCCCATGGGATACCGGATACGAGGCACTGCTGGATAAAATGACTTCATCTGTGTGCTTGACCGAGTGATGGCCTGTGACGCTGCCCTGGATGGGTCTTGGGATGGGCGGACGGTGGGGTGGTTGTGGAGATAGATGGAATAGGGTACTTCACGCATTGATACTGGTGGTTGTTGGGCTGGGAGGGAGGGAGGGGGTGCTGTCGCGGGTTAGCTTGTTCTGTGGTGCCACTCCCACTCCTCTTGTAATACCGGGCCAGGTGCAGCACAACTCTTTGTATTTCCCTGTGGAGGTATTCTGGACTTGTAGTGCTTAGTAAATCTAGAGGGGGATGGTGCGTCTTTATAAGTTCTTCTTTCAATGGGGAGCGCGGGAGACAACACCTTGGCGCGATTTGGCGTGATGCCCCGCTAAACCTGGCGAGTGATCTTTGGTGATTGAGTCATGGGGGGATGCGTGTTCGTGGCGTACTCTTGGCGAGGGATGGGCCTTGAGATCACGAGGTAGCAAGTCAACCACCGCCTAGAGGAAACCTCCACATGCAGTAGCTATACGTGGCCTTCATACCCCCCGCTTCTGAGAGGTCCCTAACTACAATGATACAGCTTGCTACTACGTACAGAAACGGTGTACTCTATCCAACAAAGCTAGGGCTTTACTCTACGATGGCCGGACGGGTCCATTAATTATACTGGTCTTCGTGAATGACTGGATTATGGGCGCCTCAATACTCATCAGACCTCGATATTTGATTTCCCTCGAAATATGGCATGGAGGAAGCTAGCATGGAAACCAATGTACGGGCGTGTGATTAATGTTAGCAAATCTTGAAGATATTTAGTCTTATTATGGGTATGGGTTGGTCTACCAAGGCTTTACGCGAACACTTCATCTCTCCACTGTTAAGTTGGACGTTTTCTCGCATGAACACTTCCCAGGCACTAGGTGGAATCCATCAAAAAGGATCAAATAGTTAATCAGTAAGTAAATTCAATAATCGACCAAACAAGACTGATCTGGTATAGAGGGTCGAGTGATGTCCTATGTATCACCCCTGGGCCAAAATGTGGCTATGGCATTCATCATCAGTACCCCGGGCAACACTATCGCTTTGACCATGACTTCAAGTCTCATTTGAGTACTCAGAAGGATGTAGCTACTAATTACTTGGGGGCACAGGGAAAATTCCAAATCTATTGTCCATCTAGTTACTGGCGTGTGGTCTAAGATCATTTCCAACATCCGCATGTTGCCTGTGATACTCAGGGTTTGTTTAACAAAGCTTTCTAGGATTTGCATATGATTTTAGATTACTATTATGTGCAAGTAAAAAGCATTATGGTTTGTTATAGTTACTTTGCGTGTGGGCTCGATTACGGTTAATTGTTTATTGGAGTTCGTAGATATAATTTATATCTAACGACTATAAGGGTACTTACTTTATAAGGGTATCAACGATTGGCATAATTTCATTCACGTACTCTTATAAGGCCATCAAGCTAATTATAGTAGCACCAAAATCTCTGATAGATAAAAGAACGAATCAAGGATCGAAGTATGGCCTCGGAAGGTCTTAGTCGGAGATTCTATATACACGCATTACTTAAATACATATTATGATTATATCCAGTACGTAGACGGATTTGATACAATTCCTAACTCCGTAAAGTACTTATGTACATGTATTTAATTTGTAATGCTTCTTGATTAAAACCAGCTACGTACATGTATGTATACCTTGGAAATATTTCAGTATCATGAACACTTTCATAGTAAACTGCACTTGATAGTATCATCAGAAGTACGTACGTTGAAAAGATTTTACTTGCTCGTCATTCCGCAGATCTTTTGGGATCTGCCTAAAATTATAAACCCCTCAGATTCAACTGGTTACTTGGCCGGTATAGAGTAGATGATCCATCTATAAATGATTTTGAACTATTGTCTTGATTATATTTAATCACGAGTAAGAAGTGCATTTGTATTTGTCATCTGTACATATCTAGTAATCTCATCCTGCGTCTAGAGTTTCTTGAACTCACTAAACCGCAGATCTGTATGAAGGTTCACTAAAACAGTCCCAGACTTAACAGCATATACGCAAGATTCACGTAATGCCCTTACGTGTCCTCTATTTTTTGTCTCTTTGCATCCTTCTTTCCTCCTAGATCCTTCCTCTTTCCCGACCCCCTACCATGTAAAACACGCCTATGTGCTCTACCTTTTTGCCCCAATACATCTTTACCACCATAGTTTCATCTAGACGCACAACATTAGTACATATGATATTCAATATGTGATGTGTTCACGATATTCTTGAGATGGTCTCGGGTTGAAGTGGATCAGTACCAAGATGGCGGGTATGTATATGTTACCCGAAAGGATGTTCCCAACCAGTCTGTCTCTTAATGACTTGAGGTAAGAGTATGCCCTGCATAATCATACCGATGAGTTTTATCATCTTAGTTTTAAATCTGCTGCGATCGATTCCAAGGTGGTAAATGCAATACCACCGGGACCTCCAATTAATGTGGTCTGTCAACCCCGAGTCAATATGATTCCCTGCTAGACCCAGAGCTGATTATCCAACGATATCTTAGATAGAGGTATAATAGTTTCTTTCAACTGCATCATCATCGGCCATGGCTCTGGATTTAGGTGTAGATCAAGTCATAAAGTATAGACTGACCCGCAAGTTATAATGGTGACCCTAGTCCAATCCCATACCCAGGAATCAGATAACTATCATCAGATTCTACAGAAAATACTCTGAAATCTTCAAAGAGGGTTGTGCCCCACAATAGAAACACCCCAGTGCGGAAACATAGCGCAGGTTTATTAACTCCGGTCTCGGCATACACTATAAACTAAACATCATATCTTAGATTTATGTACGTATAGAATGAAGAGGGGTTCGTACAAAACCTGAAACACCTGTTCATCGTCTTCTTATGCTTGCTTCGTACTAGGAGGTATAGAAAGCTTTGATGCAAACTTAGATGAAACGTATGCAGTCGACTTGTTAGTTTTTTCCACAATATAGCGTACAAAGAGAGATGCCAACGCACGATCAATCGACCCGATCCTGAATCCTAGGCGTTGGAACCGCTGGCTTTAATCGAACAAGAGTTCGTGCCACTAGCAAGAAAGTGCAGGATTCTCTCCCCCAAAGCAGTAGGGATCCTGTGACCGAAGCATCGAGTCATGATTGCTAGGACAAGGAAGCACATCTCTCTTTCAGACGAGCCACGAATCATTGAGATGTGAGGAATCCCTGTCAAAATATGAACACAAGGTATTTGTTAACCTTGCTTCGAAAGTTCAACAAAGTTCTAAAGCCATTAAGTTATGCCTCAGGTGTCGATCATCGAAGGCTGCAGGGCTTCATAACACAAATAACAACTGGGTGTAGCTAATAATTATATATCTATTCTAGTGATCATGTCCTATGGGGACACGTAGATGTAGATTTCAACCTCCGTTTCGGTTTGGGCTTCCTCTACCGCTCTTTCCTTCCGGCTACAGCATATCTCATGTCTCTTTAACCAATCCAATATATGGCTGGTTATGTATCTGGTTGGTTACGTCTTATTGTATCACAAGGCACTAGTTCGAGCGAAGGAATCGAATGTCTTGATCGCTGACATTTTTGAAGCCTGATGTCTCAGAAGGGCTAGATATGACTTTTGTTTTGATGAAGAGCTATCCAGTAGTGTTCCTCGATCAGCAAATGTAAGGAATAGAGACATGACATGGTGCCGCCATTTCCGGTGAGTACGTGAGAATATAGATAACTCCCGATTTGTTTCCCCATGGTAACTTCCTCCTATCTATTTACCATTAGCATTGCAGAAAAACGCATGCTGGTATAGTCTTACTCTCCCATTGGCTTCTTTTCTCTTTTAACTACATGTCTGAAGTGATAAAGAAGTGAGGATCATGTGCTATCACTCGCCTATTGATATGCTCAGCCTTATGTGTGCTCCCATGCATCCTACGACACTGTTAGGCACGTTTCTCCCAGATAGGCGTAACGCTCTGGGTGCAATCAAAAGACTTGGTACCCAAATAAACCAGGGTGGGTGTAGTAGCCGGGATGTAGGCAGAGTATGGCTGGAATCCGACTCGGAGTCTACAAACCTCAGGTACCTCTTCCCTTCTTGAGACACTTCCAGAATAAATCGGTGCATTTCGCCGGACAACTCTATTTATCGCCCCCTACTAGCCAATCGGGTTCCCTCAGAATGTGCTATGTTATAAAAAGATTGTTGACTAGATCGATTTAAACCGCTGGTCTGCAGTCCACATAGCACCGACACGTCTATAAACTAGAATACAAAGCTATGTACCGTACAGGTCCGTGTGGTATGTTTAGCTGCGCCGCCCCCGCACAGATCAGGATATTCAGCCTTGTTGATCGATAAGCATACTACATGTAAATATATACCCACCTACCTACTTTTATTTCAACCAGCCACATAGAAAACGCCTGTGGATAGGTAGACAGGTAGTCACGATTAATATTCTGAGTGGTTTGGGCCGTGTTGAGCCCATGAGAGTGTCCCGAGCAGGCAGCAGGCAGCAGGGCAACAGTGTGCTGCACAGCCACAGCTGAAAATGCGGAGCCGGGTGACCCACAATTTAAAGTTTGCGGCTGTCACTGCGCTGATACGCTCCAATGCTGAGTGATTGTCTGCGGACCATTACAAAATCACCCCCCAAAAGTAATCGGTAGGTGCAGAATGCAGACCCAAGGAAGAGGTATGTGCTATTAATAGTGCTTTTATCATTCCCTTCCTTCACTTCAAAAAAAGAATATCAGCACTTTATTTGTTCTCCACGTGTGTAGACGAAAGAGCTAGTAATCATTCTGCGAATCAGCTTTCATAAAGCGCAAAAGCATGGAGACCTAGGGTTCCACTCTTCAGGGGGGTCCGATGCATACCTGCATGTAATCCGGGATCTCTGATTCGCCCAATCCAGGCCCACTAAATTCAAAGTGCATGAGAAATGCTAACTAACCAAAAATTTACTCCCGAACCCCAATACCGTCCTTCGTTGACACCGCCATCGTCATCCATCCATCAGGTAGAGAGGGGTTGGGAATGTATTATAGTTAGGACGAATGTTCTTCAATATGGTATGATGAGATGGTTGTGGCCGTTGATATGATCTATGCCGTTTGACGTCGTGCGTCCTCCTGCCCTGGGTTGCTGTCGTCGGTCAGCGCTGCATCCGCAAAAATACTAATTCGTTCAAAATTGCCCTTTCAGGTTATGATGTAACGGCAACCCCCAAAAAAAGTTCGCCGTTCGAGGGGGCCACGATAGCATGAATTGTATACATATTTTCTGTGATCAAGGGGCTATGGGAGTTCAATAATAGTGCTCGCTTCCAGGAAATGACAAAAACAAAAAACCCTCAGGATCGTTGAATCTCAGGTCACACGAAGAGAAAAAGTTTCGTTTCATATCAAAGAAAACGGTCGATTCCCGGCAATTACCGCAAAGGGTTATTTGAATGAGATCACGTGAATGGGGGTTTGACAGGTTGTGGGTGACCAGTGACTTCGAGTGATTCGTGGTGAAGGTATGCAATCACAACTGCAGGCCGCCACCATTCTCGGGCATCTCTCTTGCGTGAAATGAGGTCCGCTCGGTGATGAGGCTAATGATTACACACAACTTACTGCAGGAGTAGCAGTATCCGAGAAGTAGATATCTAATCTCCGAAACATTTGGGGAGGTATGGATTAGTAGGCCTCCTTGGCTCGTTGAGCAAGAACGTTCCACCAGATGCCGAGAGAGAGATCTTATCCATGGGCGCCAAGCTGCATGCACATGTTTACTAGGATTATAGAATGTCACGTGGTCGGTTACTCATTCATTGTTTGACTGCATAACTTCGGTACTTACCCTTTCTAGCTACTTCTCCTTAGAAATCCTACTTCTCCTTAGAAATCCTAAAATTAAATAAACCTCTTATTGCTCGGAAGCACTTTACGGTATCGATATGTAGTATCATTCCAAATACTTGTCGGATTTCTAATCTAGGTCTGAACTGCCCGGGTTTTTAAATTCTTTGTTGAGCATTATTCTGGCATGGCTTCGTGCCATACGATACAGGTGCATACTGCAGCGTCTTATTCAAAAAGCAGTTATCTAGTAAATACGAAGAGTATCAGACCAGATCTGGAGACGCTATATGTGCCGAAATAGGTGGATAGGGCTATGCCAATTCTTTTATAGTAGCTATAAAGATAGAATCCCAATTTAGAAACCCTTCGCCTAAAGAAGCTAATTCTTGTTTTGCATGCAGCTATAGATCATGTGGTAACATCAAATCATCTGTGCACGAAAGGGTAGGTTTCCAAAGATATCAAACCTTCCTAACCACAATGACATTGACTTTCTCCCCGTCTCAAACAATGAGATGAATTACTCAAAGAAATTCAATAACTGAGAAATTCCACCGCAAGATCGATGTAAGCCAGTTAGAACCACTAACTAGCACCGCATGTCGATCACCCTAGTCTAGACAGTATGAGCAAGATTTTCTAGCTACTTGGGCAAATGAGGTATTTACCTAAAGAAGCACAGTTGCGGCAAGTTTCTGCTGTCTGAGAACATCGTCGGCGATTTTCTACCAATGGTTGTAAAAATGTTAGGTACTTCTCGTATATTATTTCACGAATTGGAAGGAGTAACGTGCGAACCTTCTCGCTGTCTTCCATCTTCTTAGTCCATACCTTATTCACCGCCTTGATATCTCGAAGGAGGTGATCGAATTCTTCATCGTCTTTAGCGTCACCGGAGCGTTGCATCTGCCACCCTTGCAGTGAATCACTGTCTGCCTTTTGAACATTATTTTCTTCCCCCTTGTGTTTCAAGGCACCTTCTTCGATACCTAGATTTACAATCTCATTTACGCATTCCGTCCAACTTGCGCAGAGAATATCTAATAAATCTGTCTTTTGCTTGACCACTAGTTGGAATTTCTCAACCCTCTCTTCAAACTTTGTCGACAGAAGGGGAGTAGAGGTAAAGAGTCTTGATTTTAGCTCTGAAGCCTCTGCCAGGTACATTTGGCTTCGAGCTGTGGTCGCTCCTATCTGGGAAAGTGCCATTTGTAGGTTATCCATAAGTTTTTTTGATAGTTTCGTCGAAATATGCGACGTTGTCTTTGAGAGTGAGTCTATTGGACACGTAATAGAGTTAGTTTTAGGTATGGCCTCGGGAGGATCGAGATCAGGGACATGTCATAGCGAAAAATCACATAAGGCTGCTTTGGTAATTAAGAGGGTGGAACATGTCTTAAAAATGTCTGAGGTAATAATAATAATTGTGTTCTAAACGGATTGGGAGGAGGTGAGATGAAACATAAAACCATTCGATAGGACAACAGAAAGAAATGACGATAATTTGCTGAAGGAGTTATCGTCCAGAAGGCCATCCAGAAGGCCGACTCAAAAGCAAGATCCCGCCGGCCCCCAACGGTATTCAACATTTCTGATTCAGGCACCACTAAGGGTCAAGTAGTAAAAATAGTACAAGTTGACAATTGTGACAGGTTGCTACCAATGCAGCCTAAAGGCATACATACCGGATGTTCTCCGGAAGATCTGATTCGTCAAAGAAAAAAAAAGAGATATCGTTCTCACCATTGAATGCTTTCGCCAGTGGGTGTTCGTACATGATCCTTTTCTTTTTCCTTTTCTTAGCTGCTGAGGACAAGCCTCTTGTTTCTCCAACCGAAGTTTTTTTGTCTGGGCTGCTCGCTAAGATCTTGTCTCTCTTTTTGGCACTGCGAATATCCTTATTCTTACCAGTCCTGTTGGTCCTTACATTGGCGGCCTTGAGACCTTTAGGGGTCTTGACCCCAGCTCTACCAAAGTCGTTAGCCATGGAAGGAGTGTTCTTGGCTTCTGCACCTTCCCAGTCCTAAGATTTGTTTGGTTAATCTAAGCTGAGCTTAATTTTGGGTATTTGGTGGTCCAGACATAGAAGTGTGCTAATCAACAAGCCATGAGATGAATATGGACTGGTGGATTTGTTCAGGTGAGTGGTAAGGGCGGGAGTGAATCAGAAGAGGAGTGAATGGGTCCATTTAGGGTGTGGCTGTGGGTGTGGCTATTAGAATATCCCTGTTAGTTAGCGTAGTAGCACGGGAGAGGATCATTTTAGCGGTAACGGAAGTGCACATAGATATTTAAACATCACACAGCCACATAGAAGCGAGACGCAAGACAGCCCTGCGTCAATTGAACAGCGTCCCACACTGTCCATAGGGCGGAGGACCGTCTACAGCGGCTTGTTAAAGCTTAGAAACCAACAAGGGGTACTGTTCTACCATCCGAAGACGACAGAGCGGTATGATGACGATAATGATGGCACTGATTGGAGATGCGAACATTATTTGTTGTTTGCAAGGCGGTATGTCAGCGGCGGGCGTGAACGGAAGCTGTTGGTGCAGTTAGTAGGGATGCCTCGAATAAAGGCGAAAAGAAGGGCCGACGGCGTGGGGCAACTCAACTGCCAGCGATCACCATGCATACATGTAGTGTATACCAATACCATAAGGGTTCTAGATCTAACAATTATTTGGAATCCGTGTTAATTAAATCACTATTTCCGAATACAGACTCATGCATGACCTTAATAGAGCTGAATAAAGTAATGGAAGAGGCCATCAAAGTAATGAACAAAGAGGCCGCCGGTGCTGTGTAAGCGGTCCCGAGTTTATGTAATTCGGGGCATGTTGGCTCAAAATAGGCATTCTGAGTAGTGTGCAGGCGTTGTATGGTGTTTCCAGCTGTCACGCAAGCTCGGACCCAAAGATTGTTTGGAGATTTGAACGGAAATCCCAGGACCAAAACAACCCTGGCTTGTGGCTGCACCAGCCTTAGCATGCAGGATGCACCATTTTTTTGTGTGCATGGCTTTTTGGATCTTTCGCCCAGTAACAACTTTTGCACGATGACCCCCAAAATCTCAAGGATAGCCTGCCAGCCCCCAATACCGTTTTACAAGTATCGTTCATTTTGAGACATCCTTCTTGAGTAGACCGCAGCGGCCCGTACCTCCGCTTGGGTTGTGGAGATACATAAGGCCCACTGTATTCCCGACTCCCAGGCTCATTCATTCCATCCATCGAGTCTTCCATTCAGCCCCCAGATCTTGGTTCATTGCGTTACGGCACAGCAAAAAGGGACAACGGTCAAAACACACCTCATAGTCTACGCATCATCATCATAATACTACAAAATCCCACCTACCCCCCCCGTCACAACACTTGATCTCTGAACGAGCCAGAAATTCCCCTATATACAACTTCAAAAATGTCTATCAGATTTGGTCGTAGTGGTAATAAATACCGCAAATATACCCTGCTATCTCAATGCCTTTATTGACTCTTCATCTCAGGCAACGGTTATGACAGCTCAGAAGTCATGGAGACTGAGGATGATGACTGGAGAAAGGTCACAGACTTGAACGAACGCAGAAAAATTCAGAATAGATTGGCCCAAAGGAATTATCGTGAGTCTTCTTTGCTTTATGATCTATATTTAACCCGGGTGTTTCCGATCCTCTAACATTTCATATCAAGGCCGCAAACTCCGCCAAAGACTTGAAGAGTTGGAACGTCAAGCTGGAGCTACAAGTAGCACAACATCATCCTCAGCTAGCCCATTAAAGAAAAAGAAGAAGCAATCTGCTATTGAGACTGGTACTGCATCTGGAAGGGTTGAGAAGAAAAATGGGGGAGGACACCCGGTCAGAGCTACTAAGATTAGCAACCTGGAGAGTAGACCCTCGAGTCAAGAAGTTACTACATCGGGTGTCTCAACACAGTCTACCAGAGCTACTGCTTCCCCCAGAAATATCTATACTATGGGTGATTTTGGTCCACTATTTGCAAACCCTGAAGCCAGACATCAAAGCATTAGACAGCCTGAGCAACAGCTACCAACATGGAGCCCTCAGCCGTATCCCCAACAGCAGCAACAACAATCATATGAGCATCTGGCACAGCCTTACTACCATGCCAGTCCTCAACCAGCATTCTCTATGACACCTCATCCTCACCCAGTCTCAGAACCAGCTACATCGCCACCACAAGTCCAAGCGTACATCTCCTCCCTCCAAACCGACTCATCGTTACCGCTAACTCACACGTTTTCTCGTGGTGAAGATTCGAGTCCAATTACCCATACTTCATACCGACCCAACGTACACCAGACCCGCAGTATTAGTGATTCTGGGCACCCAGGCTTCCCTGACCTCCCTTCAACCTATTCCGCGAGCCCGGCTGTCAACCCCAATCCATTTCATCTGAACGCGCCACTCCCACGAGACGATTTTTACCTTACATTGAACTATTCCACACTCTTTAACGCCTCCCTCGAGATTGCCAAAATCCTACAAGTCTCTGAAAAGACGATGTTTGACGATGACGCTACCTCTCCATTCAACAGTCCTAGCCCAGTTTCACTTCCAGAAGGAACGGAAGATTTGATACCAACGAAGAAGCAACTAGATATTGAGCATCACCCGTATATCGATATGGTTCCATTTAAGGGGTTTCGAGATCGATTGTTGGATTGTGTAGCGGAAGGGGAGAAGACGGGAAATTACCTTGATGAAACAAAGCTGTGTCATGGGATGTACGAGAGTTGGGGTGTTTGGGGACAGACTCCATGGGAGGCGAGAAGCTGGGAAGTTGGCGAAGCGTTTGCTAGGTAAGCGCAAAACAGTTTCCTTCTTTCTTTCTGGGTCAATCTTTCCTTGGGCGTTTATTATTATTGTTTTTTCACAAAGATTTATGTTTTATGAGTACTCTTTTACGTCTAATGTGTTCGTGTGTATAACAAATCGGCGTTGGGGAGCATTTGAGCGAGCATCTTGTTTTTATTTTATTCTTTACAATTCGGAGTTTTTTTTTTTTTTTTTTTTGTTGGTTGGGGAGTTTTCTTTTTTTTATAAACCTTTACCTTGCTACCCATCTCTTTTGTTGAACTTTGCATTAGACATTTATTACATTATAAACTATTCACCTATAAATTTTTGATTCCGCTGCCTAAATTTCTTCAAAATATCCAGTCATCAATCATCACAATTAGTAGGGGGTGATGAAGCCTCAATGTTCTATTTACAGTACGAATATTTCACAACTCAACTTTCCATAGTTGTCTCTTTTCCAACTTCATCCCCCCTCGATTTCTGTACCCACGCATCTATAGAAAAAAAAGAAAAGGAAGGGGCTGACTCAAAAACCGTCCGACTACGTAAAAGGAAATATTGGTTCCTGATGGATGAAGAAATGATTAGATGCACCAACTGGTGGAGGAGACAGAGAGGCATGAAACCGCTGCACATGCCGGCGGGGAGGATTATCGGTGAAGTTGAATGATCGAGAAATGGTAAAGGCACCGTTGCCTGGTGCGGGACATGTATGCACGTGGAGGAAGGAGTACTCGTAGGGAGCTGACGTTTTTAAACCGGGCCATTATTGCATACACCCAAAATCATGAGCTTGGCGTATTTTTTGTATGGCATGCAATATCAGTCGCGTCCACAAACGTTAGCTCACTACGAGTACAAGTATTTAAGACAAACTAGATAGAGTCGATAGCAGGTGGAATGATAAGCATGTACCTACATCTAGTGCTTGGCTCTTAACATGTAGGTGCGAGCACAAATGGAAGCACTCTATTTTCGCGTTCACTCTACCGTACTACTATGCACGCGCTTACATGTATCTTCCCATAATAACCACAGCTGTTGCAATTGAATCACAGGTATGTGAATTTGACATCGCCTTCTCATCTATTTCCCTTATTTTATTATTTTTGTGTTTTCTAAGAGAGAAGGAAAAGAAATTGTGTGGAGAGGCGCTGAGACGTCTGAAGCAATACCTACACGAGATTAGGCATGTAGTCTTGCTGTTGCGCCGTTGGCCCCAGTACGACACGGTATGGTGTCTCTCCTTGCACACGAAGCGACTCACCAAGCTTTTAAATAAACTTGGCACCTGAGACAAGACAAATGCAAGACATGTTTGGTTTCAATTACTAGAAAAGGAGCAGCCAATCACTCAGACCAGGAGATTGAGGGAGTAACTTGCGCAAAACGGTTTTCTGTACGTGTGTGACCATGGGTGCAAATGTACGTGCTCTATATTGCCTAGGGAGCTATGACTGTTCGTGCTAACCGTACCACATACCTGTAGTTACTGTAATCGGTACTTGAACAGGGATCAATTCCTACTAGTAATTACAGATCCGCTAGATATACTCGTATGAGTTCTTATCATGCTTCAAACCGGGGTCCGCGCCACCTAGGCGTTTGTTTGTTGGTTAAAACCGGGTTTGGGTGTTCCCACGCCAATTCAGATTTCGTAGGTCGCCGATAAACTCTCTATTGGCTCCTTCAAGGCTTCGGGTGTAGGATATAGGAGACGGTTGCTATACGCCTGTATCCCTAATAACTGGCCGAATTGACTTCGACACATAGGTATTACGGTTCTCAGAACTTTAAACCAATTACCTACCTGGGAGTTCCGAGATAATTACCTGATAAGGTACTTGAGATTGCCTGAACAGGCAATGGATTTAAGCTTTCGAGAATCGCACTATACGCGTGTGAAAGTTTGCCCGGCCAAGAGTTATGAAAACAGATAGGCACGTATATAAGGCCTAAGTACATGTAGCTGTACCTACATATACCTATACTCTACTAGTACTCGTAACTTCCTGACGTTTTTGAACGCGACTGATATTGCATACCATGCAAAAATACGCCAAGATTCTGATTTTGGGTGTATGCAATAGTGGCCCAGTCCAAAAACGCTAGGAAACTACGAGTATGTAGAGTACATATGTGCAGTACCGCACAGGGGGTCTTATGGATCTTGAAATTTATAACACCCTAGCCATGTCTTGAATATCTTAGTCCCAAACAGAAATGGTGTTTTTCAGTATCTCATGCGGTTGTTAGAAGTTACATGTATGTAGAGACTTGAAAATTAACAGTCTTATACTACATTATGCACAGCGGGAGGTCCTACGCTAGGGTATGCGTACATTACTCTATACTCCTATAGTCTAGTAGAAAGTTCGGACATCACGTACCCTTAAACCTTAGGCAGCGCATACAACCTGATGTCATGAAATATTATCGCAAAAACATTAGTATTGATACTCTGATGGATTTTTGGTGTATCGGTACTTGCCGTACACTTACTATCACTTATTTAGACTTTACCATTTTTAGATTTCGTTATTAAACGTCCTGTTCAGGATAAGGCCCAGGCACAAATAGTTGGAGAGACATTCGGTTCCGAAGTCTTGTGTGCCGATCTGGCTGACTTGAGCACCACTTCTAAATCGTCGTAACACATGCGGCGATCAAGGCCTATATAATAGGTATTATTATAGTCACTCCAGTAGGTACTACGGCATTGTATAATGTCAGAGTATCTATTCACCCCTGGGCGCTGATATTGATGAGTCAACAGTCAATTGTCAAATTATTACCCGTATCGATATGTAACGGAGCGGGGGAATCTCGTATCAGTGGGCATCTAGCCTTTACTCTAGCTACGGTTAAATATTACTGCCATCCGTTGCGGCTTGACATCCGAATTGAAAGGAGAATGCAGGGCAAGCTTGCGAGGCTCTTTCTTGTATTCAACCTTCTCAATTGAGACAGTCGGAGTTGTCTTGTGGGGAGTAAACCCGGGTACAATCGCTTAGATACGGGCTCATCTGTCATGAAACGTGCTTCAATGCTTCCAGAACCCTGTGAAAAAAAGAAAAGAATGGAAATAACCAGGGGAAGCAAGATCCCGATTCGACAGGAGCAACTCAGATAGCGTCACGAGATAAGATAAAAGTAGACAACGACGTCGTTATTGTTGTAACTTACGGGAGCTCACTCGTCACCTGTGATTCTGCTTGGTGCACCGTGCTCCACAATCCGGTGTCCATTGCCGCCTAGCTAGGTAAGTATACTCCATTATCATCGCACGAAAAGCCTTGTTATTCCTATCTCTGGAATACAGCCTTCCGCTATTTGTGTCAGTCTAAGAACGGCGTTGGATGCGGGGGGACTTGCGGAAGGGATCGCCGGAACCTGGTTACAGTCGGGGGTGTTGAGTCACGAGCCGTCAAGCAGGACATGTATTTAAGAAGGAGCCTTCACCTCTCTCGAATCTTCGTCTCCTCTGCGTAGAAATTACCCATATCAAATAAGCCAGCCTTATTTTCTTCTGCCAACATCATAATCTGACGAGGAAGCCATTGAAGCTCTTGCTGTTACCACTCGTAAACGATGTCCCCTCCATCAGCTATCCAGCAATCCCTTACAGAGTCTGCAGTTGCGTCATCAATTGCCGTCCATAACCGTACTGAGACAACAAATGTTGGCACTGCGGCCGTTCCTGTCACTTCATCCTCAACTCCCGACCTCCCTGAGCTTGATGCGTCAAAGCTAAAGATCACCATTACTAAGAACCCGAAACCCTTCATTGAGGACGTTTCTGGTGTCGAATGGGGCAACCAAGATGTTTGCACGGATCATATGATCACTGCGAAATGGACTGACGCAACCGGCTGGGAGGCCCCCGAATTGAAACCGTACGGACCACTTGAAGACCTCATGCCTACAGCCTCGTGCTTGCAGTATGCCACTGAATGTTTTGAAGGCCTCAAGGCGTATCGTGGCTATGATGGCGCCGTGAGAATGTTCCGTCCAAACCGCAACGCGGCGAGAATGTTGATTTCCAGTACCAGAATTGCACTGCCTAGTTTCCCCCCATCAGCATTGGAGGAGCTTATCAAGACCCTAATTGCGCATGACGCGCCAAAATGGCTGCCAAAACCAGGAACTTGCATTTATGTTCGCCCTACCATGATTGGGACTGGAGTGGCATTGGGTGTGCAAAAACCTAGAGAGGCGAGACTATTCATTGTTGCCGCCTTGTTTCCTGTACTGGATACGAAACCTATGAAGTTGCTTGCTAGTAGCGAGGATTCAATTCGAGCCTGGCCTGGTGGTTTTGGTTATGCCAAGGTTGGAGCGTGAGTTACACAAGATCCTTTTAATATGAGTCATGGCTAATGACTCGCATTACAGCAACTACGGCCCTTCCCTGATGGCCCAGAAAGAGGCCCAGTCTAGGGGATATGATCAGATCCTTTGGCTCTTCGACAAATCTTGTCTTGTGACTGAGGCTGGCGCCAGCAACTTCTTTGTCATCTGGCGCAACAAGGAGACAAACAAGATGGAACTTGTCACTGCTCCACTGGATGACAAGATCATCCTTAATGGTGTCACCAGGCGTAGTCTACTTGAGCTTGCTCGAGCCCGCTTGACCGGTACTGAGGGTGAAATCGAAGGGTTGGACGTTATTGAGAGAAAGTATACCATGCATGAAGTGGTCGAAGCCGCTCAAGAAGGTCGTCTTATAGAAACATTTGCTGCTGGCACTGCCGTAAGTTTCTCTCCGTCCTCACTTCATCTTTCATAAATTGATTTATTTTGGATTCTAGTACTTTGTTACATCTGTTATCGATATTCATTTCCGTGGTGTGGACATCCAGCCACTTGAGAAGGCTGGAAAATATACACTATTGCTTAAAAACTGGCTTCAGGGTATTGTGTATGGCAAAGAGCGTCACGAATGGGCACACATCGTCAAAGAGGTCGGCTTCAAGTCTGAATCTCAAGATGAGGATGAGATCGAGGCTCTTGCACAAAAGATTAGAGAGATGAAGAGTAACCCTGCGTGGTCAGCTGCGTTTGCGAGGGTTTAGTATGATGCTTCACAAAAGGTTACGAGATCAGCTGCGCTTGAGAGAGTTTAGTGCGATGCTTCACAAAAAGGTACGAGATATGATTTTTTATAATGAAGTGGGACAGGTTGATATTGAGTGGGGGTTAGGGAGTCTTCCTGTAATTATTTATAAGGAGAGTGAGTGTTTATAAAACGTTTTCAGAGAAGTTCTGTGTATGAATAAATGTATGGGTTTGCCCGAGATCGAGTCAAGTAGTAGTGGTGATGGCTTTAATGAAGGCTTGTTCTTTCGTGGATTCTTAAACTAGGGTAACTCGTCCTACACCTATACGCATCTCCAAGGTCGGTGCTGTGACTGTACTACGTTACACACTAAAGCGAGTGATCTTATGTGAAGTCACAAAGAAAAACTTGTGTAACATGATTCAGACCAGGTACGACAAAATTAATCAGAATCTTGGCAATCTGTCATATTTAGTTGTGACTGTAGTCGTCAGAGGTCAATCCGTCAAGAGAAATCTGTGAAAACCTAATGGTATGACCCTAGGGACCCCGCCACCTATATCGGAGTTGTTCCTCTAGCCAGTCAGTGTTTCTGCTCATCCAGAAACGTTCTGCGCAGGTTTTTACCAATCTAGATAAGCTTAAGCGCTGTCTGCAAAATATGAGTGAGTGGTCTAGTTGGTAACACCCCTAGATTGCCCCCGTAACAACACCGTGTGTTGATACCCCGGAGACGTCCTGGGTTTGAACCAGGGGTGGGAGTAGTATCGGTAATCCCGATGCAGTACTTTTTGTGTTTTTTTTTCTTTAATTGACATCAATTCCCCCCTGCTCTTCCCTTCCTTGCAACTGCATCGAAATTTCCTTCCAACAGCAGCATGTGGCAACCAAATAACTATGGACGATGTGATCTTATGATTAATAGTAGATAGTGGCATCATAATGAATAGTGGCATCACAATGATACTATGTCTAAGGCAGAGTAGATTCATTGACTTTTTCATTATTTCCGATACTGTGAAGGACTTTTTGCGGTGTGAAGGTTAATTTTAAGGATTATCACCGTAATGGGAATTAATTGGTGGCACACAATGCGCTAGCCAGGGCCAATAATGGAGTGGTGAAAGAGAAACACGTTTTGAGGGCAGATCGGTCCCTTGGTAAATGGTGTATCTTGAAGAGAGTCTTGCGCTATCGTGGATTATGAAGATTTTACCACTTTTTCAAAGAGAAAAAATGACTGGTTTAGGATATTCTCTACCTCAATTCTCAATAAAATGAGTTGATACTATCTAGATTTAAAAATCAGGTATCAACAGTTTTGAAGGGGGAAGGGACCTTCACGACAACGCAAGAAAAACGAATGAACTATGTACTCTGTATCTAACTTTATAACGAACGTTTAACATCTACCTGAAGGTTCGGCAAGGGTACCTAAAGAAATTGTTAAAATCAAGACAGCCTACAGCGAATAGGTGAGGGAATTGCCATACTTTGATGGATATCCTTCGCTCGAGTCAATGGTCCACTTCATACCATTCCCAGGCAACGGCGGCAATCCACCGTCTCCAAGGACCTCACTGATAGATTTCGCGCCACCCTTCTCAAATGCCAATGAAAGAACGCCTTTCGCACCGTCTTCTTTGATGGTAGCAAGCTGTTTCTCGCCCTCTGCGCCAGTTCCAATCCTTGGGTTTGCAACAGAGCCTACAGTCAAAAGGCCTGCAATATCTGACTGCCTGAAGGTGCTCAACTGAGGGTAGTTGCGTCTTGTGTCACGCTTCCAGTAAGGGTTCTCGGCGATGTCAGCCGCGGGAACGGTGACAGGGTCCGTGTAGGCGTCTGCGGGGACAGAGGCGGGGGCGGGGTTACGGAAGTGCTGGTTGAGAGGGATACCGGATGATCGCTCAGGGTCGACTGCGAGAAATCGGCGAATCTTCTCCCAAATTCCGACAGAGCCGACGGTGTATTTCTATATCATTAGATTTATCAGAAAGTTGATATGGATGTGATGCTGTGAGAGGGCTGACGAACCTTGACGACGGGCTGGACAGACATTGCTGGGGCTGCTATAATGAGGGGAGATGCTGTAGAGATCGTGTGTCAGCGTAATTACGACCTTTTTAATGAAAAGGTGGCGAAATACCTTTGAGATGGACAAAGAACGAAAGCGGCGAGCTGGGGCTCGAATTTGTTGCTATCGCGAATTGACGGAGGAAAGAGATGTCGTTGGGATTGCCCGGTGCCAAGGAATCCTTATGTAAGAACCCTGTCCGGGTCCGGCATATGCCCGGACGGCGGGCTGCGGCCATCACGCTTTACGGGGACGGGAAGGACTTGCCTGTGGGGCCGCATGGGTGCAAGGGAAAATTATTTGTTCCTGGATTTTGTGGGCAATGTCGCGACATCATGTGAAATTTTTGATCGATTTCTGCGGATCACAAATTATCAACTGACGCTTCATCTATGTCCGCAATTAACTCTTCATCCATTAACACTTCATCCCCAGCTACTCGAAACCAGTCTCCTTCTACATCAGGCAGAAATTCAGAAGACCTTATTACATACTGCTGTGTCTGCTTCATTCCTGTTTCCAATGTCCTAGGCAACACGAGTGGAGGTGACCCACAATTCTGGTTGACAAGCTGTGGTCATATCGTGTGCGGGTCACACTGTTTCCCTAACGGTGGTACGGGCATAATCAGTAATAATTAGAAGGGAGGAGCTGATAATAGTAGTGCCCCAGGACGCAGCAGAAAGAACTCATGCTTGCCCCTACTGTGGTAGTGGTGGTATATCTCTAGCCGATCTGGGTGCTGGTAAAGTAAAGTGGGCTGTCTACTCCAGCGAAATTAGAACTCTGATTCTCATATTCCTTTTGAACCAGGTTTCTGTGGAACTACGTGACTATTTCCGCTCTGAAGCAGAACTTCTGGAGGATGTTACTGGTGCTATCAAAGTTCATCAATCTCGTTTTCCCACCGCTTTCAAGCAAATAATTGACTGGGTTTGACAGTTTCGAATGAGTAATGCGTTGCGAATAGCATCGCATTACAGAGCGCTTGCCGAGAAGCTACAGGGTAAGGTTGACGACCAGAGAAGGGTGTTGCTGAAGGTGAAAGATGAACTTGTGGAGGGGAAAGAGCTAAAGAAGCATGGTTTCTCCTTTCAAGTGGTTATCGCCATGCATACACTGACATATGAGTAGAAACAAGCCAGTGATGGAGGAAGAAATAGCAAGACTTCGTGAAGAGGTTTCCCAGCTTCGCTCTCAACTGTCATCTGCCCAGTTATCTTCTTTGGATTATGATGTCCCAGGAACAGCTCAGCAGCAGTATCGGTCAGAAATAAGGGCTACTCGGCAAGGCTCAGTTTCGCCCTCCACCATAGCCCAGGATAACCAAAATTTTCTTAAAAGAAAAGCTGATGATTTAGGCAGTGACCCAGCCTTTAGGGCTAGGGAATTCAGACACGAAATGAATAAGAGACAGGCGCAGGTTCAGGCCATGCCTCCTCCACCTGTACCACAACGGGCAATCCAGCAATACCAAGACAACAGACAAGAAGCACAACACATTGAGCCAAGGCAGGAGCAAAGTGAAGAACAACAATCCGAATATAGTTATCAATTTCAACAATTAGGATATTCACCTCGGGCTCAGCAGCAACGTGTGCATGAAGATCAGCCACTTTTCAGAAGCAATACATCTCCGCAACTTAATCTACAACGTCACAACCTTTCTGAGCGAGAACGATTTCCTATCGATCATGGAAGGCATTTCATCGATCTTACAGAATCGTCCGAGCTTATGGGACCGCAGCAAAGTGGATTTACAAACAAACAGCAGAGTAGAGATAAACTACGAAATGATTATGCGGGTAACATAAACACTCCATTTCAATCGCCTCTTAGGATATCAACTCCAAGACCCATAAATACGCTCCCTATACGGGGCTCAGGAGATAGGTATTTCACATCTCTAATTAACCAACCACCACAATACGCGATAGGATATGGGAATAAAAACAATATATCTCCACTGTTGCAAAACAAGACGGCAGCCTTCCATTCCCCAAGAAATCGGGATGATAATTTTCCGTCCCTGATACGGAAAGGAGAAAGCGCCACATACCCTTACGAAAGAGGTGGACAGTCTGCCGTTCCGGGCACCCCAAAAACAACCAACAAAGGGGGAGGCAGTGTAGTCAGTCCGTTCTTCATTGAGCCCCGCACCTCAAATATTGCTGGGAATCGTGAACCAAGTATTGGGAGTTTGACACGACGACCCGCTAGTGTTTCAAACTTTATTGGGCAGCAGCAGGGAAGCTTAAATCGTTCATATGGCGCTGGTTTAGGAGAGACTGGTTTCTTCAGTCGACAAGATGATTCGTCAAGTAGGAGGGTAAATACAGTTGGAGCCCCAAACTGGGGCACACCACGGTCCGGGGAGAAGGTGGGCTCATTCCAAGATGGAGGAGGAATAAGACCAGGGACTGAACAAGGACTTGGTAGAGTTGGAGGAAATATTTTTAATCCTCAACGAGGAGCTGGGATAGCAGATAGACCAGGTTTAAGGAGAACTGTAAGGAGAGATTAAGTTATATCAATAGCCGTGGAATATTAGATTGATTTTTAGGTGACTGTAGGGATAATATGATTTACTTATTACTCCGGGATCGAAAAGGGATATAATAACCCGTAATCTTTCAAGTTACTTCCATAATAAGAACAAAACCTTCGGATTATATCAAAACTATGAATATCGAGTGAGGATTGATGATGCAACAACCTTAGCCATCACAGGAGATCATACCTGCGGCTATTGTTATTGAAATAAGGTCAATAACCATAGGCCCGGTCTTATCCAGTTAAGATATTTACATGACCTTCAACTAGGACAGTCCTTCCTATTTAGCACATTCATCACATTTACGAAATGGCGACATGATAGAGGAGGAAGAGACGAAGACGGGGAAGAAGAAGCCAGAGAAATGGAAATGGGCTGGGGCGGTCTGCGGGATAGCCCATGAATTTATAAATTGTTTAGGAGTGACTTTCCTTATGTGTTATAAGTTACTAAGTTTATAGTGGTGTTTGTTTTGTTTTGTTTTTGTTTTTATTTTTATTTTTATTTTATTTTGTTGTGAGAGGCGGAGGAAGTGATTGGGAAGTTCTGGGACAGTGTGGTATTGTCATAGACTACGGTCTGCATACAATTAATGAATTAAAAAAACATTCATCACATTGGATCATGTAATCTCACTCGAGATCGTGATATGCGTCATCAATTATCACAAGTTCATATATTTATATTTACTGGTAGCCTCATCCTCAACGTCAACGCTTAGCTCGGCATCTTCTAGTCATACAAAAATAACAGAACACATATCAAGTTCAAATATTAAAACAAAACTCCTCAGAAGGCCCGCTTATCTGAGCAAGTCGTGAGCGGGACGAATTCCCCACCAAGTCAAAAATACTGATAATCCAACAGTCTCGATCAATCCCGCAGTAGCGCGAATAGCAATGTATTCTGCTGGGCGGCGTTCCTGAAATAGTTGGGAGACGACCTGCAACGGTAGTTAATATATATTCGACGAAACGATAGTTAGATCAACGTACGGTGGGAACGCTTGTGGCGGCAAAAATGAGCGCGCCAACATAAGCAGCGCCCTTGTAGGTGAGAACACCGGTTTGAGTAAGTAGGGCAGCAATGGCGTACGTTTGGGCTCCTGAACCGATAACGTTGGAACCCCAAAGAGTGGCAGTCTTAGCAGCTTCCTTCGACTTGATCCATTCTTGCTTGGAGTCGGCATTCATAGCCTTTTGGTAAGATTCGCCAAAAAGAGGGGCCATGACGGCAAGGTTGGTGGTATGAGTGAAGAGAGTACCGAGGGCAACTGCGGAAGGCTTGACAGGAGGAAGATAATGAAGGCTTTAAGATATCAGTATATTACTTTACTTATATTTAAGTATAATGGATGAGGTAATTAGGACAATAAGACTATTGATTATAATTATGGGGGTGGAGAGACTAACGATGCCATTGTGAGTGATTGAGTTGATTGATAGATAAAATGAAGAAGCGTGTGAGGTATTGAATGGACGAGTCGAATTGAGAGATGAGGAAAGAGTATTTTCGAGAAGAGGGCGCGGCAGAAGGTATTTAAGTAATTATTTCTTGGACCACATGTCTACTAAAATGACCGCATACCGGTCCTCTCCACCAGCCAGTAGAGAATGCCGTTTTCAATCTCCATATGCATGATCAATCCGGTTGTTCCTGTAATTCACGATCTAATCAGAACCCAGCTGCATAAGTGGAACTTGGAATCCAATTAAATTTCCTTGTCTGTCCCCTTGCAAGTTCCCCAGATTCCTTGAAGTAGATTCATGTTCCTGTTTCTGTGCCGTGTTAAAGGGTGTTGAGGAACGAACCCGGACATAGGGAAGGGGTTTCCTCGGTATAAGCGTTGTTTGCAGGATGGGGACATATTGATTGATTGGTTGAGAAGATGTCGTCACCATCACGAACGTTTCAACTGTGATGTCATGTCTCGTCACTGTGGCGGATGACCATACTACTGTGGCACATTAGTACCGGCTTGGCGCTGAGGCTACGGGAAAAACACTTGGCAAAAGAACTCGCTCTCAAGCCACGCGGAGGATCATCCGCAATTTCATGAATGGGAAAGCGTCACACATGCTTAAGCTTGGTGATAATTTTGTGGGGAACAGTACCTACACGTATGTAGATACATGACCAGGTACATGTGTACCTACCTACACGCCATACAGTACTGCGCAATTAGAGCGTATTTGCCAACCGTCAATTTCAACTATTGACACTTCAAACTTGACAGTTTCGGGAGGCAAAATTGACAGTTCCCCGCAGTGGCCAAAATCGATCGGGTTAACGGTATGACAGAATAAACCCCGAAAACCAGACAACCCATCACGCTACCTGTGAAGTACGCTGTTGGAACTGAAAATTCATACCCATGATACTAGCTTCGGTAGTAACAAAACTGGGTACTTGTGATCCTCCTGGTATATCTCACAGCACGCCGCCCCACCGAAATTCAAAATTAACAGCCCCGGTTGCCATTTCGGAGCCCCACAATTTGTAAATTCTTGAAATTGACGGTTGGCAAATACGCTCTATTTAGACACGATAGAATAGACACATTCAATAGCTACAGGTGGTCATGAACCACTAGTAAGGATTATTTTTACCTCGAGCTCCATCATACATGTAACCATGATAAAATCACAGCTATCAGCTCGAAATTGAAAGAGAGTGAAAGTGAAAGAAACGAGAAGGGTAATAGAAATATATATATATCATACGTGGTGCACCTATGTAATGCTTACCATAATACTTACATGTACTCATACCCACATATGTACCAAATAAAGCTGCCCTCACCATATGAGGCTGAGAGACTGGTGTTGCGGCTCTTTCGTAGCTCTACCCAGCTCGTGCCAAGTGCATTGGCTGACTAATCCAAGCTTTCACCCTCAAAATTCCAGCAGCCTCTAGACACTATCACCAGAGACACTACAGGCCTCAAAGAATAGATCTTGCCTCTCGGCCTCGAATCTCTCACCCCCTGCTCCATCGCTATCGCAGGATTTTCCATAGCGAAAGAGTCATCTTCATAGACAAAGACTTCGCCGTCCGTGATATCCGTATCTCGTCCTTCGCTTCGTCCAGAAGCTTCCGTCAATCCCGCTGCGGATTCATCCCGCACAATCGCGTACCCCCCAATTCCCCCCCCCCCCCCCCCCCCGAGATCTTCCCTCTCTACCTCAACTCTCCCCAAAAAAAAAACTCCCCGCTCCTGTTCCCATTTACTCCTATTGTCCGTCCACCCAGCTATACATCGATATTAGACAATATGTCGAATCAGCTAGTTGTTAGTGTTCCTTGCTTCTTCTTTTTCTTCTATCTCCTTGCTCGTCTGTCCTATCCTTCATCTCTTGTACGCATTTTCATTTATTCCGGTCCGCGCGCTGACTCGTGTGTGTCTCGTGTTTCGGGTGTTGGTTGAGGGAAAATAGGGTGAAGTTTATCAGCGCATCATACAGGATGTTATCGACACCAGTGTTATCGATTTCGAGGAAGCTGGCGTTAATGCATCGACCTTGGAAGAGTTGAAGCAGGTAAGCTGAGCGTTGGTTTCTTCCGTTTCGTTGCCATCTTCCATTTCAACTCAAGGCGCTTGGCTGGCTGGCGGCTCCTCTATCCCCTTTTTATGGGCGCGCCCGATTTCCCTTTTATGTGCCTCACACCCATTTTTGCGGGGTCGCTTTTATATGCTGCCCTTAGGGGATGGTTGCTGATTTACTTCCCTGTTTTCCCCACGTATTTTGCTCACCTGGGCTTGCCTGATTTGGTTATATTACTTCCTTTTGCCACAATCAGTGCTATCCTTGCTGACAATACTCTTTGTTCTGCGCAGGTCTGGCAGCAGAGACTTTCGGACCTTCACGTTGCTCATTTCCCATGGGACCCTGCACCACCAGAGACTGTTGCACCCACAACGGCCCAGCCAGCCCCCACATCTCCCACTAAAGCCCAACCGCAGCAACCGGGCATCAAGCAAGAGGCTAATGCTCAAAATTCCGCCGGTGCAATGGGCCAGAACGCTGGCGGCGTTCGTATTAAGCCAGAACCTGGCCTAGAGCCGCAAGGAGTCTATGTCCCCCCCGTCACTCCAGGCAACCCAACACATAACCCCGCTCTCGCCGAACAGAGGGCGCGCCAAAATATTGCACAGAAGTTCAATATGAACCCGCAGGTGCGACCTAATGGCGGTGGGTTGGTGTTACCAGGTCTTTCTCAGCAAAGACAGCAGAACGGACAGAACGGGATCCCGCAGCATGATGGTGCCGATGATGTTGTACCAATAGAGGGATATGGTAATATCAGTCGGGATGAAGCGGACCGCATATTGCTTCGCAGGATCGGAGCAGCGGAACGGGAGAGCGCTAAGGCTACCGAGGAGCTAACAAATGCTCTGAAGGGTCTTAAAACAACTCCTTCATCCAAGTCTTCTAAGAAACGCCGTCCAAGGAGACAAGATGCGTACGAGGCTGCCCTTGATGGCACTAATCCTTATCCATACCCGTCCACCCTACTTTCGTCCCACACTCCTCGTCCTGTTGGCATTTCGCAACTTGACGGTGATTCTGATGAAGACATTGCCGATGAAGATGCCATTAATTCGGATCTTGACGATCCCGAGGATGATGAAATTGATAACGAGGATGAAGATGAAGTTCCACAAATCATGCTGTGCATGTACGATAAAGTCCAAAGAACTAAGAACAAGTGGAAGTGTGTGCTCAAGGATGGTGTTTTAACGATTAATGGGAAAGAGTGAGCTTCCTCCAATACCCTGTTTTTATGATGATTACGTTTCCACTAATCCGGCGTCTCAGATATGTTTTCCACAAGGCTAATGGAGAGTACGAGTGGTAATCTATCTGGTCGATACAGATGTATGCGTTTGTGACTCGTATTCTCGAGTTAGGGTTAATTTCTGTAATTCTGGAAGAGAAAAGAAAAGGAAGCCTCCTAATTTGGGGGGTATAAAAAAGAGCGAAATAGTAAAAAAAAAAAAAAAAAGGTTTGTGGAGCAATAAGAATTAGGCCGGAGGAATAAGAATCGGATCTTCAACAAAAACATCAATGCTTGGTACCCCCTTCCGTTTCCTTTCTTTTTGCAGCTGTAGTTCAGTACGTTTCTGCTGGATAAGAGAACTTTTAGTTGCTGTCCTAGTGTGTGCGTACGAGGTTGGGTTGGGTTAGATTGGTTGTAGAACTGCGGTTTGATTTTTGACCGTGGCCAGCCCGGCCGGGAGAATTAGGAGGAAGATTGTAAAATTGAATAGCCTTTCTTTTCTTCCGTCTTTACCTGATATTTTTTCTTTGTTTTTCCCTTGTCACCTGCTATTCCCGGAGAGGATATTGTTATCTAGTCGTTTGGACGGAAAATGGAAATGGAAATGGTATCACACCAATGACTTGCGTCATATCTATTGTTCTTTTTCTATGCAAGTGATAACTACGATAATGGAGGCTAACGGTTTTGTTGCGAGTGATGACCTATGACACTAACAATACTCAATGTGCTCAGCAGCCAGAGAAATCCTCTGTGGTTGTTCGATCTTGAGATTTTGTGACTATACGCTCCACGCCCTTATCTACGTAGACTCGAATATATAAACCCCCCTTGCTTGAAACCTAGAAGTTGTCCATAATTTACAAACAACAAAACCACATGCTTATTTAGCCCTCCAAGAAAATAAAATGACTACGAAAACTAAGAGGTCCATAAGGGAAAGAAAAGAAACATAAAGCTATAAAACATCAGCACACCCAACATGACCGCCTGTTCGTGATTTTAATACATCCATTTCTTAGCCACATTAACTGAATCACCTCCCCACGCTTCATCATCACCCCCCCATTCTGATCCCGATGATTCATCCTTAATTATAGACCATTTATCCTTTAAGGATTCAGTGGTAGGCATGCTTTTTTCGAGCTCGGTACTAGTCTTTTGGATTGATGGTTGCCATTTACTGCTACTAGCAGTTTCACGATCTAAAGGTTTGGAGATAGGTGCTTTCGCTACAATATTTGCTTTAGGCGAAAGATTAGGCTTGCGTACTAGGCCTGTTGGAGCTGGAGATTTTGGAGTGGCACGATTAACTGGAACTGATATTTCCACTCTCCATGTTTTTAGTGCGGGATTCCTAGCCGTATTTATCTTGCTCTGCGGTGTGGGGAGTATTGAGTCTGGTGCAGTTGGGACAGCCGTTGTCGGTACCGGTACGGGTTGGGCAGTCTTCGTAGCATTTCTTATGGCTAATCCAGCCCTCAGTGATAGTTCAGCTTCAGTGGCGTATTGTGACCTCCAGTATATTCCTGGACGTTTCTCGATTACAACCGCAAAGTTTGAACCTGGTAGCTGCGATTCCCAAAATGCGCCTCTCTCTTGCGGAATATCTTCGTCTTCGTCCATACGAAAGTTGTCTTCTTCGTCACTATCAACTCCCCGTGTATCTTCAAGCATGCCCTCGGCAACCTCAGCAGCCAGTACCTTTGCCTCGTGGTATGCTCTTCGGCGCTCCTCCTTCTCGTCCTCAATTGCCTGCAACCGCTCTCTTTCCTTCCTTATTTTCTCTTCTTCCGCTGCCCTCTTCTCGTCCATAATTCTTTGTCTTTCATGAACGATCTTTTGTTGGGCATCTTCAATTGCCTTTTCTTGGGCGAATTTTGCGTCTTTGATGGCCTTCTCGGCAGCTTCCGCTGCTTCCTCTTCGCGTTTGCGCGCAATCCAGGCACTTTCTCTACGGCGGGATTTTGGCTCAGGAATCACCTCCATCTCTTCCTCGTCCTCGTCCTCACCTTCATCCTCGTCTTCCTCTTCCTCATCTTTTTCTTGGTCAGAATTCGTTTCCGATACTGTTGGTGCGCTCTTCCGAGGCCTGCCCCTTTGTCGTTTACTACCATCCGCACTACCAACCCCGATATCGTCTCTCCTGGCCGTCACTTTATGAAGCCTGCCTCCCTTCATATAGTACTCCGTGATCATATCTGGCTCAACCGTCTTTTCTTCCCATTTCTGCCAACCTTCCACACCAAGTTTCAACTTAACTAAAGTTTTCTTATTTCGTCCTTTACCCTTAGAGGCGATATATCTGGCGCGCTTCTGCTTCTTCGCCTGATCATTGGCCATGAGTTCGTACATGGACTGGGTAGGCTCGGTCATTGGGAAGGTGCCGTTGACGCCAATGATCTCGCTGGTGGCAGCGGATATTCCGTATGGATTACTTTTGCGTTTGGCTTTTGCGAGCATGATGGGCGCTATGGGATTATAGGTATCATCGGGGAATGGGTTTGCTGTGTTTTCTGCTTCGTCACGATCACGTCCGCGAGTCGTTTGAGGGCTGTGCAAGATGCCCCCGGCATAGCACGCCAGGTCTTCCGGGAGTCCAGTGGCAGTAATTGTAGAGGCTGCTGGCCAAGACGAGGAGGTTCCCAACAAATGGCTTCCTATCGCCTCCGAAGAACTACTAAGTTCACCAGGGTAAGATTCTATGCCAGAAAGTATGCTTAACCCAGCTGCTGCAATAAATGCTTCTGGGTTTCTCTCTAAAGAGCTCATTTCAGGCCACATCGATTGGTTATCTGCATCGATGCGCGAAAGAGACTGGTGGGTATAAGGTTGCATATCATCCTTTAAATCTTTAGATTGTGGCTTATCGAACATGTTTCGAACCTCGGAAGAATAATAACTACTAGGGTGGGATAAAATGGTATCATGTGGTAAGGCTTCCCGTCTTCTCAACGGTAGAGCTCCTGTTAATACATCTTTTGGGGACGGCAACAAAGGCTGCTTATCTAAGGGATTTCCTCTTCTTTCCATTGCCCCTGGTGTTCTTATCGATTTTGTTGCCGAAGCTACCGCTGAAGCTTTGCCATCCGCTTGATGATATGAGCCCTAAAGCCAAAGTGATATTAGAACCCAATCTTGGAATGATAAAATATAAATAAGGGAAATGCACCCTTTCCATTAAGACTGAAGAGGGATAATTAGCGATGTACTGACCATTTCTGACACTGCCATCTAGGTCAGGCTCATGGTAGTCATCATCCCTCGCTTTAGGTGCCTCGTCGGAGGAAACCACGAGACTGGGGTCAATTGGTATTTCCTCATTATGGTGTAAACCGTAGCCCTCGTCCTCTTCATCAATTGTACCATACTCATCGAACGAAGTGAAGGATCTCGCAATCGCATCGTCATCATCAGTTCCAACTGAACTTCGCTTTCGTTTCAGCGATTCAATGTTTTCTGACAACCATGTGAGGTTTCCTCTTGAGAAATCCACAAGACTTTCAACACTTCGAGGGTCAGCTACGTGCTTTGTGGAAGCCCCAAGCATGGTTCCCTTCGGCTCGTAGGGGATCATCTTGCCGTTTTTACGGCATTGTCCGCAGGAACAGATCCCAAGACAAAAGGGACATTTCCATTCAGCATCGCAGAGCACCTGAATCCGACGTGTTAGAGGAGGTTATAATATTTGCAATTAAGATCATGCTCACCTCAAACGGGTCAATATCGAATGCACGCCAAAGGTTCCCATAGCAGTATGCCTTTGAGCAGGCATTGCATTTGGCTATTTTCCAATCAGGATGCCGGACTTTACAGACATGGCAGTTGACAAGTAATCCCATCCTTTTCTTGCGCTCAATATCCTTCGCATCATCCTTAATTTCAAGTTCGCTGGTTAGCTTATATCAATAGGATCGTACAAAATAAACTTACCACATCGTCCAACGATGGATCTTTGGTGACATCTACAAAAGGCCTAGCTAATAGCTGCTCCTGACAAACCCAAGCTAGTGACTTTTTTTCAATGTTCTTGAAGGCGGTGGCGAGTTTCCTTGGGCTATCCTCAGTCACAGCACCCTCAATGGATATCACCTGCATCCTGAACTTCTCGTGATCCCGAAGGAGTGTATTCCAGTCATGTTGCTCTTCCCAGCAAAGTTTTGAGATGCATGCGCAACTCCTTCCCCGGGCATAACACTCCATACAGATGTCATAAACATCATCATCGCCACCCTCATCGTCAGAAGGCTCTACACAGCGCTTACACGACAGGAAGCGATTGAAAATATTCCCCCTGCAAAATGAGCATGTAACATTGAACTCGTTTGGGATTCTTTTAACCTCCATCCTCCCCTCATATACAGGCGAGAAGTGCTCGTCCAACATGATCGTATCAAAGAGCTCAAAAAGCATACAAAAATCTGCCTTCAATTTTGAGAGTGAGATATCATGGTCGCGGCTAATTTCTCTGGAAAGGATCCGATGGTAGTGTTTTAATGTCTCGTAAATTATTGCTTTGTTTTTGTATTGTTCGTCGCGGCAGACGAGTCTAGCTTTCGGGAGAGACTCCTCGATTGCAAGCTTTAAAGTTTCCACAGTCGTACGATTCCAGGCCACTTTCATTGTTGCCTCTCCACGATTCCAGACCTGATGTGGAGCCAACGGAGGGACGAGTATAAAATCGCCAACTTTTTGTTCAACGATATATACGGGAAATGGTGCATTCTTTAAAGCCTCGATGGAAGCAAAATGCGACTCAACTTCAATATCATGTCCAAGACCACCTAACCAATACTCGGCTACCACGTCTCGATCTTCAGACGCAGTCATAAACCACAATGACGAGCCCCCGGGTGATGTATAAACCATTATATTCTGCCCCAGAGAAGCACACATCTCTTTATGTGCAGGAGTATAGGTACCCTCATGCCCGAAATAGCACATAAGATTCTCAGCGCGAGCATCTATCGGGAGATGGGACATGAGATCAGCGGGTGAAAGATAGAATGTGCATGCCGGCAGTATCTTCTCGAGAGATTTTTGCCAAGCCGGCGGACAATCGATATCCTTAGCATATAATCGTTGTTTGGTGCCATCGTAATCTTGTGCAGTGAATTTTGAAGTTAGTACGCTAAGGGAGTTGAGATAGTGTTTCATTGAAAAGGAGTGGTCTTTCATTGATGATATATCCCGGATGTTGATCGCTATTAGGTAACATTAGCAAACCAGCGAAATGTTGTCCAAAAAGACCTTTGGGAGGCACAAACGGTCTTGTCCATGATTGTCCACCAACCACTCCGGCTTGAAAATCCACCTTGGCCAATCAGGCGTCTCGTGCCAATTTTCCAACACTAATGGCTTCCCACCGTCGATCACTTGCGACTGGATCATCTCTTTAAGACGCTCCGTAGAATTAAATGTGCGAGCATCAGCTCGAGATACATGATGAAAGTTCCTACAGCTCTTTACTAGCTCATTGATGTCGAGGTTGGGAGGGATTGGTGTGAATTTCGCCCTGTCCCTGACGCGATCAAGCTTCTTCGCCGCGGATGTCATCGTCGAAGGCTCTGTTGGCAGGCAGAGCGAATTTCCTCCGGCCAGCAAAGAATATGGTGGTGGGTGTACCAGTAGTACTCGTGGATAGGTGACGATAAAGGTGGTGCGAGAAATTTGATCAAGAGAAGTAGCGTTGTGGGATTGAGAAAGAGATGGAGGTTAGGATGGAAATGAGGGAGGAGGATGGGAGCCAAAGAAGCGAGTTGATAGACAAGTAAGTACGAAGGTGTGAGAAGACGCGCCAACCATGGGTGATAATGCGGCTGTTGTACGACACTATGCAGCAGCAACCTCACGTTGGATTGCAGGCGTAGCGTGATGATAAATATCATCCTATGTTGGTAGATGTTTGTCTATTGTTTTGCTGATACTAGGCCGCACAAACCTTCACCCACATACAATGCGATTTTCAAAAGCTGTAAATCGTTTATAATTCAGGCAATCTCAATTAATTTGTCATGTAGATGCAATTACTTACGTACATTTTATGTATCTAGGGAAAACGGAATCCTAGTGGGCAATCAATTTAAGGTTTCGAGCTTCGTAATGTATACTAAATCTGGTCCGACCTAGCTACATACGTATAATATTATGAAAGCAGCTGTAGGTTAAGCTTTGTTTATTGATTTCCAATATTTTCTTTCAGAAGGGAAATAGCACGGTAATGCGGCTCTAGTACCAACAGATTGGCTGTTGAATTCAATTACCTTTAATATATCTTGGTCTTGGAACTTGGGAAATTCGAAAAAAACGAGCAATGGAGCGAATAGGTCTTCTGGGAGAATAATTAAAATATATATGTATCATCAGACTTTCGAAGACACCAAAGCTTTTGAAATTTTTAGTTTTGAGGTCAGCACATCGGACTAACGTTTCAGGAGATGTTTTTAACCTTTGCCTACCTCTCCCGATCCGCCAACACTCGCTCAACCTCCACCTCCCGCGTACACAAGCTTTCCGGCGAGCTCACCGGGCTCCTCATGGGCACTACCCCATCCATATTTTCGCTCTATGTTTACCAATGTCAAGTCGATTAACTCTAACCATCCTCAAACAGACCAACTAGCTACCTCTTAGGCTCCTGGGGGAAAACCAACGGGGACTAAGGGTGTTAGATAGGGTTGGGGTTGGATTGACCTTTTTTTTGCACCTGTATGTTGAGGTGGACCGGATCAGGCCTGGTTTGCTGTCCAGGACACCTCGATTCATAAATTATCACTCGAGGGGTGTAGGGGTTCTTTTCTCATCAAACGCCGAAACCTCATTATAAGGATGTAGTGATATTTCATGTTATATAGGTATCATCTCATCCTAATCGTTATTAATACAACTAGTTATTTACTCCCTAATCATGAGAATACCCTCTCCAGTGTTTATTCCGAGCACCCTTTGCCTCCTCCCTCCCATGCCCCACCAGCCTTCCTCACCATATATTCCTGTCCTCACTGCCAGATACTCCCCAAACAACCCACCACCTACGGCAACTCCACCAACAGCCCATGCGCACCACTTGAACCACCACCAACACTCCTTCACATCCTTCAAATTGGCCTTCCTAATCATATACCCCAAGCCTGCCGCAGCGCCACCACAACTCAGCCCAAAGAAGATGGGTCCACATCCACTCACTGCGCCAGCCCCTGCTAACAGTCCAATCTGGACTACACCTAACCCAGCCATGAGGTACTTAGTGTGTGACTCATGCTTGACGGCAATGCTCTTCACTCCGGCCTTGAGATCATCCTTTACATCTTGGTGCGCATATATTGTATCATAGAGCACTGTCCAGGCCACATTGCTCGCATACAGCAGCCCAGCCGTCATAGCAACGGTGGGTTCCATCAGGCTCAACCCCATCGCCGGAAATCCCAGGATTGCTCCCCAAGAAAATGATAGCCCAAGCACAAACTGGGGGTAATGCGTGATCCTTTTCATGAGTGGATAGCACCCAACCAGCACCAGCGATGGAATCCCATACACGATGGTCTCAACAGGGAACTGTACTAACACAGCTAGCCCTGCTAGACACTGCGACGCTGTAAATGCCAGTGCTGCTGCGGGCGTTATAGCACCTCGGGCAATGGGTCGGAACTTTGTTCTTGTGACCTTGGGATCGATATTGCGGTCCCATAGGTCGTTGATTGCACAGCCGGCGCCGCGCATGATGATGGCGCCGGTACCGAATAAAAGAGTGGTATAGGCCACGGAGGTAAGAGGATGGACCGGATCAACCATTGTGGAGGCAAGAATGGTGGACCACATGCATGGGAGGAAGAGATAGATTGTGCCCGTGGGCTTGTCGATTCGGACGAGTTCGGCATAGGGGACAACGGAGGAAGGGAGGTAGGAAAGAATGCCAGTGGTGGGAGGAGTGTATACCTCAGGAGCTGGTGGGGATTTCGAGTCGGGGATCACGAGGATTGTAGCTAGACGGGAGGGCTGTGGGCATCGGATTAGAGATACTGGGCGTGAGGTATACCGTGTAAGTGAGGGCGGGGGTCGACAGGTCTTTGAGAAGCTCCTGAGCGCGGAGGAGCGCACGGAGACATGCCGAGTGAGCGGTCTAATATGGCCCAGCATTCTAATGGAGCTCATGGGACCACGGTGAGATGGATGTAACAGTGGGGCTATCATCATTCCTAGCAGCTTTTATCAGTAAGACTGATAGCGTTTGCCAAGAACTCCCCCGCTTGAGTTTTGTCTCAGACAAAACGCAATTGAAGGGCGAAGAAAGGTAGAAACAATAACGAAATAAACGAGAGTCCCATTGATGGTTGACATTAAACATTATCCTTAGACGTCTGTTACCTAATCGATCGGGTTGTAGATATCATGTGTTTCCTATAAGAACAGAACAGGCACATTCCCGGCCCTTGTGCCAAGCATGGAGGCTTAAAAGCTTAATTATGGCTGGAGTAGAGTAGGTATTGCGTACTTGTAATTACACAAGCTGACAACATTTTAAATTTAAAGAGTGTAGAATTCTAGAAGGAAATTGGGGGATTAATTATTTTACATCCACGCCCCTCCACCTATCCCTCTAAGTTGGCCACTGTCTCCAGCTTTGCCACATCATTCCTATAATTAACCACGATTAGGCCAGAACGGAGAGCACAGCAAGCGTACATCCTCTTGGAATACAGCAACCCAATTCGTACTGTCGACCGACTCATCCTCCTCAAAATCCCGATGCCAGTTGTACCACAAAGTGCTCCCCAATTCAAAGTACCCTGCTGCCGCTCCAAACCCCTCAATAAATCCCCGATCAATCCATACCTTATCAAACTCGCATTCCCGATCCATAGCAATGGAGCCTATCGGAGGAAATCCGTTGATAGGAGAAAGGCTGTAATTCCACTTCAACTTGTTTCCACAGAGCGTTCTAAATATATCCCCCATTCTCTTCTCCGGACAGGTGTAAATCTGGACAAATCGTAACCCCGTTTCGTTGGTCTGCTTTCCCGTGAGATCGTCAAGATAAATTCTAAGATCAAACCTAAAATGCTTCCCTTTGTACCTTCCGTACTTCTTGCGGAAAGACGATTCGATGGTTTGGAGTATCAATGCAATTGGTTCCTCCACACGCACCAGCTCTTCCGCGAAGAAGTCATGCTCCACGTACTTTTCTGTCCGAGCCAGTTTACGCAACGATTCGTGGTACCATATGAGAAGACAGTTGCCAGTCTTGAGGACGTAATTGGATTCGAGGTGTGGAAAGTAGAAACAAAAGTCGTCGTCTTCCAGCCCTCGATTCCACTTCTGGATATATCTGATCTCATCCTGTTTGTAATCTTCATGCCTCCTGTCCCGCCCCAGCTTGCGTAGTTTAGGTTCGATTTCGGAGACGAGGGCGTGGATATTTTGAATTACTGGCGTCCTGCGAGGCCCGCCGACATCAAAGCCGCTGTAGACGGCGTGATCGTCGCTCGAGCGTTCGATTCGGAAAACACTCATTGCGATGGATATTTGCGTGTGCTTGGGTGGAAAGGTGGAAGAAAGGCTGGAGTGCTTAGTGAATACATTACTCCTACCAACGAAAATATGAAGCCCCCTCGAAAAGGTGTACTCAAAAAACGCACACTTAGTTTCGAGTGATCTTTCATGATGCATGTGTCACCTTTCCCAAAAGGTCCAGCGTTGCCACACACCTCCGGCATCCCGAAATCCCTAGAACCCAAATCTCCCCCCCCAAATGGAGTCCCCGAGGTCCCAGCCTCCACCAAAACCGTTCACCGCACTCGAACACTCTACTGATGCGAAATTTCACCTTCTTCTCGCATGCACCGGCTCTGTCGCAACTATAAAGCTTCCACTTATCACCTCTACCCTCTCCGAACGGTACGGCGACGCCCTCAGCATTCATGTCATCCTCACATCATCAGCTGCCAAGTTCCTACAAAACCCATTCAATATCGAGGGTGTAGATAAGGTTTGGACTGACGATGATGAATGGAGCTTCCCCCATAACAAGAGCGGGACATGGGAGCGCGGCGATCCAGTGCTGCATATTGAGCTGAGAAGATGGGCGGATATGATGGTTATTGCGCCGCTATCTGCGAATAGTATGGCGAAGGTTGTGGGGGGATTATGCGATAACTTACTTTTGAGTGTGGTGAGGGCTTGGGATACGACTGTGCAGCCGGGCTCAGCTGGAAAAAAGATCATTGTAGCACCAGCAATGAATACAGCGATGTGGAATCATCCGGTTACGGCACAGCACATTGCGACCTTGGAGAAATGGGAGTGGATGGAGGTTTTGAGACCAGTGGAGAAAACACTGGCCTGTGGAGACATTGGTGCAGGGGCCATGAGGGAATGGCAAAATATCGTTGCCTTGGTGGAGGAAGATTCTGGGTTGAGATTGCCGTCCTAGGTTCTTTGAGAGTAACTGCACGATACCTTGGATTTTATTTCTATATTTCTATCAAATTTAAACAAGCTATTTTCAACAGGCGGGAAATGAATTTTAAGCCCAAAACAACCCTAATACGATTAGTTCGTCATGTTGTCCTCCTCTTCTGCTTTGACACCCTTCTTTCTTTGCCGTTCTTCATATAATGCCCGCTGCTTCAGGATACGGCCCATGATTTCCCCTGCATTAACACCCGCAAATTCATGCGCGCCGATCTCCTGGAATATGCCCATTTCTTTGGCTTCGGCGTAACTATTTACCAATTGTAAGCTTACATTGAGTAGAAAAGGTTAGGAGAATTACGTGTCTTCTTCGCCCGGCATGAACTGCGTGGGACCGTGGTAGACCACATCTGGAATTCCGGTAGGGAGTGTTGATAGAAAAGCTTTCGTTGGGGAGAATGGAGCGGATAGGATTATCGAGTCGATGTACTATTTGTGTCGCCATGAATTATTGATAATCCCTTGAGTCACCAGGAACGATAAACAAACCCGACACTGGAGCACGCAAAGTCCTCTTTCAAACATGTTCATAATCGGATAGTTAAGACCCTTCCAATGGTTTATGGTCTTATCATCATGCACACCCGCAACAACATATATGTCTTCGTTCCCGTCCTCTTTCTCCTTCTCAACTACCCGGCGAAGGAACTCGATGTGTCCGCTCGAGAATAGATCAAACCCACCATCGACATAAACAATCCTTTGCCCCTCTTTTGGTCCTACTCCGGTAACAAGCGGATTACAGGCCTTTGTTCGTGGCGTGTACACAAACACCGTTGAGCCTTTACCGACAACTCCAAAGGAATCGGAGGCGTATGCCTCTATCCGCTCCAGTAGCTCAGCAGCCTCTTTGGTCTCTCTGTCTTCCTTCTCCGGATCTGGGTCAATGGCGGATAGCAACACTCCGCCCAAGTTACGGAGGTGATGCGTCTTTGTGCACAGTAACATCCTGCCCACTAAATCCGTTGTAGAGATCCCGGGGGTTCGTTTCACAATCTTGAACCGTCCCTCGGCCTTGACGACACGATAACAATCCTCTCCTGTAGCATCCGTAGTAACGTCATCACCATGAACAACAAATTTGCACCCATAAAGATCCATCCAATGGGGGTCTGTCACATAAGGAGAGCCGGGCACGGGGAGATCAGCCCATTTACAAGCGGCGGTAGCAGCCATGCGTTCGCGGAGGTTCATGACCGTGGGACCTTTGTTTTCCATGATCTCTTCATCGCTGTGGACACCCACAATAAGGTATTTACCAAGCTGTTTGGCCTGGAGCATAGCGCCAGCGTGACCTACAATACGTTACTATGCAATTAATACACATCAAGGGTGTACGACGAGAGCATAGATAAGATATATACCGTGGTGGGTGAAGTCGAAGCATCCGTCTATCCAGATTCTATCTTCACGCATAGGAATGGCCTCCTTAGGTGGGTGCTCAGGCAAGGTATCTGCCATAATTGATGCTATGGGCATGCTGTATGTCTTGGTGTGAATTCTTCAGCGAAGAATTCTGCCTGATTTGATAGATTGATAATATACGGGGGAGAGATTAATCGTTGATGATGATGATGATGATGTTGAAGAAGATAGATGCCAGCTCTCCTATTTCCCCAGAATCCAGAATGTTGGGAAACCCCGCCAATGTCAACCCTTCCAAATTCCAACCCTAACCTTTCTGCATTTGTGCTGGCGGTTGCTAGGCCCTGACATCTAGAATTCGCTAAGCAGCCAACGAGGGCAAAAACGTGGGGTTGTTACTCTACTTTATCGTCTAGTGATGCATGGAACGAATTGGGTGACTTTCTCCAAGCAAGCCCCTTCCAACACAGGAGCCGCCGGCTGTTTCAGTCTGCGCGTAAGGGTCTCATCTTTGATTTGAACCAGATCTTTTCGCCATCGGTTGGCAGATCCTATACCCGGACTTTGCCTAACGAGGAATTTATCCTCACCTAACCCTACGATCTAGACGTCTCATCCCATTCTGCCCCCTTTCCTCGGTGCCTGGGAGTGTTGCACATTCCCCCCCAGGAACTCTTTACATAACTGCTGCCATCCCATCCCATCCCTTTCTACGCGTCGCTGAAGCTTTCCCCCTCGCGTCCTGCAAGCCCTCCTTCCGGCAATTGCGCAACTCTCGGTCCCCGTTGCCTTCCCGTCTGTTCGCTCCATACATACATCACATTCATTTACATCCATACATCATACCCCTCGTACATTACATATACTACACTTTTACATTTCTTTTCCCAGAGGCTCTCTCGTACTTCCTAGACTCCTCTTCGCTGCTGCCGGTGTTACGCTCTCTTACTGCCGCGCCTCTGAGCAAGCCGTTACGGGTGTTTCCATTTAGATTAACTACCTCTTTCTTTGCCTATTTCTTAAATTCTTTCATTAAACGGCGGGGCTATAGTGTTTTATAGTGCTGCAGATCGATTAATTGCCCTGTAGAGTATATCATAAACTTCGGGTACGGATTACCCTGACCTTCTTCTCCTGCGTAAAGTACTATTGCGGCACCACACTAGAGGGCAACGAGACAGCTTGCAGCAGGCAATAGCTGTCCCCTAAAGCGCAATCATGTACGATCAGCGGAAGCCTTCGCTCTCTTCAACGCCCGCTGCTTTCATCACTAAGGGCATCCTCTCCCACACCACAAGCGTCTCCACTCCTGACGAAGCTCCTGCCACTTCATCTTTAGGCGGTTACTTTTCACTGTCACGTTCTGCATCAAACAAGAAAAGGCGACCTTCAGCTGCTGAGGTTCCTCCAGTGTATCTATACCAAGGACCACCGCCTGCTGGCCCTCCTCCTAGTTCCTCGGGGAAGGGGATGTTTTCCCGTAGCAATACATCAAGAGGAGGTGACTTCGTTAGTGCTAGTGCTGCTGCACCTAATGGGGTAATGGCAATAAGTTCAGGTGGTGGAGGAGGCTCAATGGGAACTGGACCTCAAAGTCCAAATGCGTTATATGAGACGCTGCATGAGTTAGCTATGAAAAGAATCGCAACTCTGGATTATTTACGGAGAGCGTAAGTTTGCCTCACATGTTTGGTTGTTGCTGTTTTTTCATTGATTTACGTAACATGGAATTCGATAAGCAATAGGATTAGTATTAATAATTGAATCTCTACAGACATGAGGGCAGAGTTTATTGGTTTAATGCCATGTTGTTCACAAAGGCTGATTTGCAACGAACTGTGTATCATGACCATAAAAAACTCACAAGAAGGTACACCACCTTTTATATTCCCTAGTAATCATTGAATATACACTCACCCTTAACAGAGCAAATAATTACTTCATACTTGGCAATTCGCTTCCTGCTATACTTGATCTTGGGACATCTTCGCCTCTCGACTATCTTAAAGCTTTTAACCATCTTCTTCAGGAATACGAAACCCACATTGCGCTTCCCCCTTCGCGCCAGCCCACCCGGGGCCATTCATCAAGCATATCATCCTCACATAGCCATCACCATCCTATTAGCACCTCTGCCTTGAGTTTAGGGAGACTCCCTAAACTCTTCTCTCGGTCATCATCCAAGCCTCGTCGTGGCTCTTCCGCCAATACGCCGCTAACAATGACTCCCGCCATCACTCCACCGTCCACTGCAGCTGACAATGTTTCTTTGTTCCTGGAGCGGACCCGCTCTGCATCTGGAAACTCCACTACCCTTCCAAGTATGCCTCCAACAAGTAGCGGTGGTTATCCCAATAGCAATCTCTCATCTTATAATTCCAACCTTTCTACCACACCGGCAACATCAACAACCGAACTTGATCTCCTTCCTCCACTACCCATGACTTCTAGTATTGGGACCCCGCCATTACCTACAAGTAACCCTATGTTTCCTCCTCCTATCATGAACGGTGATGTATATCTTTATCTCTCAACACCAGCGCTACCATTCGAACCGGACTACTACGAAACCTTTTCAACACTCTGCGATGTATTGATTGATGCATATCAACGAGTACTAGGCTTGGTTGGTACACCAGATTCATGCAACCAGTTGGTTTACGAAGCATTTATGAAGGCGGATACGAAGGTGAAAAAAGTAGTAGTTACAGGAGTGGTTAAGGAATTTGAGGAGGCCTGCAAAGCTGCAGTAAAAAGGGAGATTGGAGGCTTGGGAAAGGAGATTTTAGGAGGATTGCTGTAAATCAATGTTGGATTTATTCTACTTCTTTTTAGTATATCGTTAGACCTAGTCCTTTGTTTCTCTTTTTCTTATCTTCCACCGGGGCGTTCAGGAGTAGTGAACACATACCGTTGCTATTTCTCCTCAAATTATTTACCTTAAAGCAGGTATGCTTTATGCGAGGGTATTGTCGGTTTGTTGGGTATCGCTATTTTTACTACTTTCCTTTTACTTATTTCCATTTGTTTTCATTTCTTCATCAGGATAAAGGAATTAGGGGTGGTTTGGGATTCAAATGGGAAAGGAATGAATTGGGACGGTTCTATGGGGGTTTTCCTTTATATGGGAATGTTAGGGTTGTTGTGGAACAAGATCAAGTGACGAGTGATATTGTGTGATCGTCTACTAATAGCCCCGCGAGCCGAATTGGTGCGTGGTCAAGATTATTTGACTTGGCATGGAATTAGTTAAAAGTGGCGGTTAGAACGCCACTTGCCACACCATTCTGAGACTATCACTGTGTCTACCAGTACTCTACTCTAGTAGATAGCACCTCCCCGAACAACGTGCATTCAGGATCCATAAGAGCCTTCTTAATAGTTCTATTATGCCATATAGTTGACATCTAAAAGCACCTATGGTTATTGGACCCTTGTTTATTTTTTTGTCACGTTTGTCTCGGTCTCAGAAAGCGATGTGCTTTTCTTTTGATTGGGGTGTTACAAGATTGTTGTTATCAGTATTGTAGTGTTTCGGTCTCAATACTAACTACAGCAGGCCTGCATATAGTGAACACATTTTAATTTTGTAGTACATACAGTGTTCATCTTGAAATCAATTCTGTTTCCCACCCATGCGAGTGTTACAGTTCGGCGTTGATACCCCTTAAGCCCCGAGTCTTTCCCAATCGATATACTTAATAATCTTAGATCAACTCCTGTGTAGTGGGTAGTAGTACGTTGGTACTCTGGCAGGAAATGCAAGGATCCGTCCGAACCACAAAACTTAAGTCTAGGAGTACGATAAATGTGGCGCATAGTCCATCCCATGACTCGGTTTCTACCTATCACCAGGACTGCCCTTTATGCGCCTAGCAGAGGCGTAGGTGCATGCCATCGTGAACCACAAGCGCCAAACGCCATGTGGTGATGACATTGAGAAAGAAGGCTGAGGCTTACTCTACATGTCCTTATCCGCCATACCTTATCTCCCCAGATTGACTCGTGGCGTTATACAAAGATTTTTTTTTGGGGGGAAGATGTCTCACCTATTTTTCTAGAACCACAATTATTGTAAATCAAGGCAAAGCGTGCGAGGTCGTGGGGGCTAAATTGTGTCGAGGCTACATCTACTCTGATCATGAGATTGTGCACACATTTCGATAGAAGCCTACAAGCAAGGCATGGATACATACAAGGCTCCGATGGACACCTGAAACAAAATCATCTGGTATCAAGGCTGGTATTTAGCGTAGGTACCCCTGGCTAGATCAACCTTTGGTCCGACCCGAAATCATGGGATATGTTCCGAAGGATGCGATGGATCACCGGTAAGCTTAACCTTGTGTAGGGAATTTTCTAACAGACGCCGAGGAGATGCAAAGATCGTACTGATATGAGACAAGGCGTTAAGAGGATGTTAGGAATACGACACGGTGTGCCTAGCCTTTCTAGGTATCGGGGTCTGTTAATCTAATGCCGTGATATATTTTCGGTTCTACTTTATATTTTGAAATCACTAGTATGACTCTATAAGAATCCATTAGACATGAAACCCCCTTTCAAGAATTGATACGTTTAGCTAATGCCTATTCAATCATCGGACCTTTTGCTATATAACTTCTAAAAACATTATGACTTCCAAAGCCAGTCATTTCCCCAGTCAACTCTTAACGCCATGCAGATTACATGTATGTAGAATGATTAAACCCAACGCTATGAGAACATGTACAGACCACGTAGTAACGCCCGTTAAAATACAAAGAAAACCCATATAGTTGCCTGCCAATGCTGTTCTAAGTAAAATAAAAGAAAAATAATAAATACCATGCATATCAAACAAACCCGGTATCAAACCCTCAAAATGTCACCCGGCCCACCAATTTTGGAGAAGGTGATCTTCTTTCAATCCCCATACCATCATCAATACTCTGCTCAATGACAGTTGTCTTGGTAATACCCATGCCTCCTGCGAGGGTATCATTGCTTCCAATAACAATATTCTCTTCGCTCTCATTCGGCGCTTTGCGTTCATTAGAAATGCCGCCTGCTCCTCCGCCACCACCACGCATTGGCCAATGAAACCAATTGCATCTGCTTCCGCCTCCGCCTCCGACTGCATAGCATTTATCTGAGATGGCGGTAGTTGAAATATGTGCCAATGGGAATGCGCTCCCTACAAGTGTGAGCTCCCCGCCGCCGAAAGAAGAGCCTTTAGCGATGCTACAGCGGGAGTGGGAAAGGTGAGATTGATCATCGTATTCATTGTGGTAGAGGTTTGGCATAATTTTTGCGAGTAGGGGTGATAATGAAGGCAGGGAGGCGCAGATAATGGCAAGGGAGGCTTCGAGGGCGCTCCAGATGGAGGAGTCTCTGAGATACCCTGTTATCGGCGGAGTTTAGTTAGGCTATTTATAGATTATATATCTGTGGGGGTGGGGGGGGGGGGGGGGGGTTTACAAGTGGTGTCTCTTTTTGTATAGATGGTATAGGGGACTCGTGTAATTGCTGCAGTACATACACTGAAATATCATTAGTATGGGTCAATGATGGCGTATGCGGGGAAAAATTAGCATGTTACTGACATCCCACTCAGAACAAACAACCCCAATATCAATGCCCTCTGTTTCCCTCTTAACCCCGATCCAAGCATAAGTTTTGCAGGCAATGTCCACAGAATCAAGTTCGTCAGTATATCTACCACTGCGTGTGCAACGATTCCTACTTCAATGCTTGCGCATCTTTCTCCAGGTTGAGGGTGCACGCTCCATGCTGCCTTGACCGGATTGCACTGTGCAATGATACCCGCCGAAAACCCGAAGACCCAGAGTGCTACGACTGCCATACAGATGTAAATTATCCGTCTACATAATCGAGTATTGAGAAGGCGAAGGTAGAAGACGCATACTGAGAGCTTTGTGAAACAAAGGGACCAGGTGAAGAATAGCTCGGAGATCCAAAGGAGTTTAAGCGCCTTCTCTACCGTAGGTGGAGGGAGGTTGTAGATGTGGTTACCCCAACCGTAGTCGAAAGTTGCGAGGCAAGTGGTGATCGTGAAGCCGATATAGAAGACCTGTGAATTGTAGTTTCTTTAGTGCATAATCTCAAATTATAACTAGCTCTGAGTTTTGTGAGGGTAGTTACAGTTGCTAGAGCGATAAACCAATCCTCTAACCCAAAGAACCTGCTCAGAAAGGATCTTGAGTAAACCCTCAGGCTTACAATAATGAGAAGTAGTACTATGAGTACTAGCTCCACCACCAGCAATACGAGACCTCGCGAGAATGGTACAAAATTATCCTCATGGAGCCAACGCTCAGCGTCTTCTCGAACCGGATCTACTGCAGACATATCTTTTTCCTCATTCATTTCCTTCCGTTCTTTTATATTTCCTTTTTTGCTTTTTTTCGTTATGATTGCTGATTAGCTAGCAGGCGGCTAGATGATTTATGTACTGCCTTGATGCCGTATCGAAAGACCTGAAACGGAAGAAAATCCTTATAGTTGGACCAGCCCAAAGGTATTGTCAAGTTTGCAGGATCCTGTCAGAACCCACGACATTCACGAGGCGCGGTATGCGGGTGTTAAAGTAAAGTTTGTGTGTGAGATGGTAAGGAAAGAAGGGAAGGGAAGGGAAGGGAAGGAAAGAAGCTAGGAAAGAAGGAAAGCTTAAGGATGGTAACACCCCCCGGAAAGGTTACAGCATCGCGCCATACAAGTGCGTACCCGAAGGTTGTGATACTATCGCATTTTTTATTTTTATTTGCCATGTACTTTATGTATGTGGAGAGTAGAGGAAGGAAGGATAGGGTGGATGCAGCCAATCACAGCTCATGGAGACAATTCGGCTTGATCTTCCGCGCTAACAGAGTGGGTAGAGTAGAGTAATATGCCACAGTTTTACCCTTGAGCCAACAGGATGGCAGATTTCAGGTAGCCAACCTGGAGATTTCATGCCAGGATTAATACCTATCGGTGTTTTAGCACCCGGGGGGGCATAGGTGGGGGGGAAGGTGGATAAGCCGTTGAATAGAACAGGTAGTGAAAAACCTCGTATGTATGTCGCATATTATGAGGGGAAATGCCTACACCTTGTGATAGTGGGGGGTAGACCAACACCTAGGTCGTAGTGAAGAGTAGCAGTAGAGTACTGATAATAATTGACTGTAGGCAGATGGATGGGCACGTAGGCAGACAGGACAGGACAGGGCAGAGCAGAGCAGCATGCATCCACCTTGTGATGCGAGTATATTATTCGGGGGAGGGTCTTGTACGTCTGCAACAACCCAAACGACCCACGGGTTAAGTTTTCTTGACAGTTTTCTCTTACCTCGCTGATTGTGAGAGGTGTATGTATAAGCAGTATGACGCTTCCGGCGGTTCTTTATTTCCTTCTTTCTCCCTTTCATCGATCATCGTAAACTCCCACTTCACATAAGGCACGTTGTTGCCGGCTTAGTTTGAGTAAAATCACAAGTGCTTGACTAACTTTGTATGCATTTACATCTTCATGTTATTATTATTCGCGGACAGTGGTAGCACTATTCTACTCTAGCCATGACTAGTGGAATAAATATAGGCCCTGCCTGCACCTGTCAAGTTACAGAAAAAGGCGCTTCCTAGCCAGTTCTGGAAGCGCCACGAACACCACCAGCGGTGGTAGAGTACCGCTCTACTACCCTACATGTAGGTACTCTACATGTAGGTACTGTACCTATGTCATCCACCATGTCAAAGAGTAAAATAAACTTTCATCCATGCGCCGACTAGATTAATACATAGCCAACATGCTCTGATCAGATTTAACTACCTACTTCATGTAGGTCCTTTTCTTTTTTCTTATGCAGCACGCCGGATGACAACGTGGTGAGCAAAAGCACGTTTTACACACAGGAGCTTGGCTACGACCATGTGGCTATGAGTGGTCCGTGTGCTACCACACGTGTTTCTTCGTGATGAGTATGGAGAGTGCGCAGTCTGACGACGATAAAGAATACAGCTAGTATCTATGGACCGATTACATGCAGAGTTATTCTGCGTGAGGTTGACGAGGTGCCATGCAACGTAACCTGCAAAGGGAGCTGCGGAAGAAACTCCCCCATGACAGTGAGGATATCTAGAACAATCACTTGAATCCGGGATTTACGATTCTTTGAGATATATTCACTTACATCTCATTCTTACCTAATGCTCATCCAGGGCATATTAGTTATTGTGCAAGCTTTATCCGAGGTGTGATCGTCCGGATGAAAGCAACAAATCAAAACTTAGTTACGCCTTGTCTCGCTTGGTAGTTATGTAAAAAATGGATTTAATTATTTTCAGATGGTATTTCAAGGCTCGATAGGCCTATGTAGGTAGAATCAGCCCATGTAGATCCTTTCTGGTGTGCAGGGCCGGTGATGGCCGTCGGATAGGACACATTTGTATACTCAATATCAATTACTGTGTGGTTTTTAGTAGAAGCCTCCTACAGCTGAAAATAAACACATAAGCCTAGATAATCAAAGTTTATACCCATTTCAAAGACGCGAGCCATTCATGGTTTAATAATGCTTATATGTGCTCAATTACATGTATGTTCGGCATTATTCATCTGTCATGTTCAATCCTCCTTCTCAACCCTATCATTCACTGGTTCTCTCGGTTCTCTCGGTTCTCTCAGATGGTTTATCCCGTTCTTACCCTCCCCTCTCCCTCGATTATTTCCCAACCGAGCGGAAAGCTTATCGTTAAGGTTACCCCTCTCAAGGTCTGCCCGGTTCAGTTGTGACCGCATTGGGCGGCCTGCGATTAGCCACTGGACAAATCCCATCTGTTCATTTTGCCCACTTTGACCGTAGAGGACAGTAGCCTTTAATACCACAATACCTCCGGTAACAAAGAGAAATAGTGGTATTGTAAGGGCAAAATAAAGCCAAAGGCCTGGACTGTTCAGTTGGAATACATTCATTCCAAGTATGGACTAATTAGCTATTGTGTTAGTCGTTTACATAAACAAATGGAGATTTTCCGTAGATCTTACAGCGCCAAAAGATAGTGGGAGAAATATAAAGGTGAGCCATGTCAATCGGCCAACACTTCGTCCCTGGTCTACAGCCGCTCTACTTTCCTCAATCGAGATAATATTGAATATCTATAGGACAAATAATCACATTAAACACGGCCACGGAACACATCAATTCTTAAGAGTACGGGGACACCCACAAGATTATGAATATCATCACACTGCTTTCTCATCCTCTCAAACTCAATAATCTTCTCACCTAATCCATCCTCAATATCCCCAAACAAAAGCATCGCATTCTGAGGCCAGAACATTGCTTCACTGACTTGCCGATTACGGAGTGCTGATACCATCGTCTTCTGAAGACTAAGTAGTGTAAGATGTGTATCCAATATGGACTTTTGGCGATATAGGTCTTTCGTGGTCTCTAGCATGGGCATATGGAATGCCTCATCTTCCTGTACGTTGTTAGGGTTAGAGATATAATACACACGACTAGGAAGGATTCAGCACACATACCAGAGCCGCAATCTTTTGATGATGCAGAGATAGTACTCTATTCCACCTGAATGCTTCTTTGATATATCGTGCCAAAAAGTTGAATATTTCTTCGGATGGCTCTCCGCCCTCAGGAAATTCAATAGGAAATGACGATCTAGTCCGCAGGTGTGGATCATCACAAAACCTACTCATGCTCCATTGTGCCACGTTATGCAGTCGTATTTTCTTTGACATCTTTGGCTCCGTATAGAAGATAGCAATAGTCTTCCCTGTCCTTCGGTCTCTATTTATCCATACCACTGCACGTGCTATGCCAAAAGCTCGGTCGCTGTATAGAGTTCTTAGCTAAAGCGCAGTGTTATAAATGGGGACAAGGCATCGACTAATTCTTACCTGTCCTTTACATTTGATCCCACAGAATTCCATTTCCAAGATAAAATTTGATTTCTCCTCGAATTTTCAAGTTCTGTAAAGGCTTGTGTGTGAAAGCGGCGCTCATTACCGATCGCAACTAGGCGAACGAAATCAAAGGAGAGAGCGAATACTAGGATTAGGACAATCATAAGCACTAAAATATAGACGATATCCTGAAGATTACTGGGGTTACCATTTTCAGAGGCTGGCTGGAGGTGGGCCATGAAACTATCTACGTATATCATCTCATAAAGAGATTTGACCTTGATCTCGTAGTGAATGAGCAGGGCCTTCATGACTTCCGAGGTCAATCCGGTTAGAGATCTATGCCAAATTGGTCAATAAAGTGTTCGTTCAAAGTTTTTTTTGGTTGTTTACATCAATATAAGCTTATTGTCTTTTGCCTATTCTAGGTCAGTTAATTGTCTAATAATCGTGGAAACACTGCTGACTATGATCTGACCTTTGTTGGCTTAGAATCATGAGCTTCATATAGCCATTTCCATAACCCAATGCCACTAGTGTTCTGGTAAGAAGGAGCTTGATGCGTAAATTGTCAGCTTGGCGTAATAGTTTTGATCAATGGATGATCACTTCTGAATATACCTTCACTTGGCTTGGGAGAAATCCAAGCTTCAACTAATATTTCGGGTATTTCATTCTGATTCTCCTGGAGCCATTTATTCCGTGCTTCACTCAGCTTATCAAGGAGAATAAACAACACTCCAGGAAACTGTGGAGGCCTTTTATTAGCGAACCAATCATTGACAGCTGCCTTGACTGGATAAGTAGTTATTTATTAGCTTTAGATCTCAATTGGCACGTGACTGTCTTAGCTAGACTTACATTCAGTACAATCGCTGCTACTCAGCACTACTCTTCTGGCCTTTTCCAGCTGCTCCTTTCGCTTTTGTTTCTTCTTATCATTCCACTCCTTTCTTGATTGTTTAAAATTATCCGACCCGTGTGTTGGGGACAACGGCGGGGACAGAGGCGGGGACAATGGTCGAAGTGCAGGATAGTCTTCAATCTGTTCTTCCCCTAGCTCTGATCGCTCCCCTAACTGTGACGCGGTGTAATGATTACTGGAGTACTCTGATGCTGGATAGCTGGTTGATGCACGTGCGGAAACTTGAGGTGGTACTTCTAAAAGCTCCATTACTTTGAAAGATTGAATTTATCGGTATTTGTATTGAATCGTGCAAAGGGGTTCCGTGACGTGATTTCTTATATAATACCGATCCCTGGCAAATCCCTACCGTAGCCGAGCTAGCTACATGTACTCAGGCAGGATTAATCCGAATCTCAACGAAACAAATGGACAAGACGGAACGCCACCAGAGTGAGTCTTTCCCAAAGATATAGCCATTGCAATCGGTCAGCTTTTGAGCCTAATCGGGCGGCGCGCGCGATATTCTGGCGAGTTAAGCTCACGAGGGAAAGGATAATTACATAACCTACAGACACACATGTAAGCATATACTCTATAGCCTAACGTTAACTCCGAGTGACGCTGCATGAAGACGGCCACGCCACGTAGATTCATGGAGTTCTCTGCACCCGCGCCCTGGAGTCTCCTCATGGAAACAACCAACCGTATGTGCCTGGCGTGGGTGCAACCGGGAAAGCTGCCGTTGATAATAAACATTAACGGAGAAACAAGAATCTAGATCTAGATATGCGAAAAGAAAGTAGATCCTAATAGTTGGTATTAAGAACCAGTGAAGAGCTCCGGGAAGACCTTCTACGCACCAAGTGCCCCGTGTGTGCAGCTAGAGTAGAGTACCGCCAAGAGTATGTAATATGTCCATAACTTAAGTCAACCACGGACACACATGCTTCATCTTCAAAAAATTTAAGTTCGAGTTTTTGGCTGTGTAATAGTTGACTAAATCAATTCTAACATCTGGTTATGCAAATACCTGGCATCATCGATTGTCGGCCTCTTGGGAGAAAACATTAATCTTCATATCTCTCATTAATTCACTCATCCTCATTTGCTTTGCTTCGCTTGATTCATACCTTAATTTCGTGCTTATAAGATCGCTTCTCCTCTCCCCTCCAAGATGTCATGGCAAATCCCCCTCTCTATTGGCCTCCTCTATTTATGCGTTGGAATTTTGTTTTTCAATTCAGGTATCTTCAATTATTCTGGTTATGGAGCTCTAACAGTGACAACCACCACCACGACTATTTCAGTGTGGAATCTTGAACCTACTCCAACCATGCTGTCAGATGGGTACATCCCTTATAAGAAACTCTCTATACCAAGGGCAGATAATATTGGACTAGTATCTTGGTCCGAAGATGTCTCAATTAAACGAGCGAGGCAACAGCAGGGTGAGGACAGTACACCTACAGGTGCTCTTGATATCGCTCCTGGCTGCCCTTCAGGGAAGAAGTCATGCGGAAATTTAGGTCGTCCTGTATGTTTACCTAGCTCTCAAATCTTCCATATAACAGGCTTTTGGCCTGGAATTCTGTCCATCGAGCTCTCCCACTAATCTGTTCATCAGGAAATTTGCTGCGACAACGAACACACGTGTCTACCCACGAATAATACACTTAATGGTGTCTATTGTTGCCGTTCTCCCGACCCTATAAACTTACCCTGTGACGAAGAAAATCTCAAATGTGACCCAGGTTGGTACGAATGCCCTGCATCTGCTAATGGTGGCTGCTGTAAATACGGCCAGAGATGCGGTCTTCTACAGTGCTTCGAGGGAGGTGGGCCGACTTCTCCCGCCCCAACCCCCGCCTCAACAGCAGGATCGTTCGGCTCCATTGAAGATGATAAGAATACTCGTACGGTGGAAAGAACAACAATCCGTTACATGCCAGGTATAAATACATCGACGATGACCATAACCTCAGCTTCGACATCCTTAGAAGCAGCCACCGCAACAAGATCTAGGACTTCACATACTCCAGTAATATATAATACACCGACCACAACCACATCAACAGATGATATACCGACTAGTACTGAGCTTAATGGTGCGCCAATCACATATACGGCCCATGGCACGATAACTGCAAATTCAGCAGCTGGGGCAAGAGCAAAGGTTGGACGCCATTGGAGTTGGATGGTAATGTCTTGGTGGATTGTCGCAGCCTTTCTTGAGGGGGTTTAGTTGGGGAGAAGCTGAATACAGGAGATACGGATACGCTATAACCTTATGGCTTGGTGCCTGGTATACGATTATACTTATTGCTGTGATAATTTCTTTTTATTCTCATGATAGTCATCACTCATGTAGTGATACATATCTGCACAGCTGTATTATTGTTGAATGAAAGATTCAAGAAAAATCGGAAAGATTCAACGCAAACATGTTGAGGATACATAAAGTCCGTTACTATGTGACCCTCTCTTGTGCAGTGAAAATAAGACCCATAGTCTTATTCATCATCCAAATAGCATTTCACAGCTGGGGCAGACTTCAAGGTTTAATATACTAGGCAATGATTCGATAAGGGCAATATGTGCTAGCTAATTTGCGCCAGCACCTTAGACCAATCAAATTACAAAGCCAGCAAAGGATTCCTTTATCTTCTCTGATTAACTAATGGATGAGTCAATGAATTCCCAATCCGTCATTGTACTAATTTTGCCATGCATGGCCCAGAATCGAGTGGCGTACTAGAGTCTATAAAGCTGACCACTACAGCTATTCTATCAGATCCACGTCCGAGTGATTTACTGTGACCGTCAAGCTCTGAGATGACATGTGTGCTAGTCGCTACATTTAAGTAAACCGACAATATTCTCACACGGAAGGTTTACTCCCATAGCGGACAACTAGCTAAATATATACAAAATTTATAAATTAAGAAATCAATGTCGTTCATAGTATGGTTATCGCTCCACAAAAAAAGAAAGAAAGAACGTCAACAAAAGAAATTTATCCAAAGAGATTTATCCAAAACTACGTCCACCTCCACAAATGAAAACCTTTCTTTTCGCCCGCATCCGCCGCATCCTCCTCGACAGATGCCTTCTTCTGGCTCTCCAAGTCGCCCGCCGCGGCAGCCGGCTTGACAGTTCCTGATCCCGCCTGCATCGCCTCCATCCTGTCCTGGGCCTTCATCATACTCCGGTGCCAGAATATTATGATGATTATAATAATGAGGATGATGACAACCCCAACCACTAATCCTGCTATTGCCCCCGTGTTTCTTGCAAAGGATCTAGTACAACCGCAGCATCTGTTAGACATGGAAATTAAGGTTAATCGCAAGCACTAGTACATACCCGCCGCTTCCGCCTCCACCACCTGCTCGGCTACCACCACCACCACCGCCGCCGCCTCCACCTCCACCTCCACCGCCTCCACCACCTTTAGCGGAGATGAGGGTGAGGTTGAAGAGAATCAATAGGAGGGCGTTAAGCACGGTGTTTGGTAAATGTCTTATCTGCATATTGGAGATGGGACTGTGATATGAATAGGCAAAGATCGTGAAATAATCGAAGAGTTGTGATATGGACCGCCGGGCGTTATTAATTTGGAAATGCAAGTGCAGATATATATGTATACTGTGCGATGGTGATGGAAAATTGAAAGTAAGGTAGGAACCCGTTTTCCCTTTATAATTTTATCTATGCGATACTAGTAGAAAGGAAAGATAGCGCCGTACGGGGCTCACAGTAAGATATAAGGCTGTGGCTATTGGGCCGCGGGCAGTGTAGTGATCCCTGGTTACTCAGAGATTCAGAAGCAGAGTATGGTACAGAGAAGGTTGGTGGGACGCCGATCAACTTTAATAAAATGGGTGGCTGTGTCTAGATCTGTGCCGTACGAACAAGAGTCTTTAGAGAAGGAGCAACCTCCGTCCCTCTCGTATAATGCATCGTGTCTAGGGTAGAGTACCGGGGGTTGTGGGTTAGTCTGAAGCACACTTTTTTGGCATATGATTGGTTCAAGCTGCAGAAAGTGATACTTGGCGCCAGAAAAAGTACTTGAATAGGCTGCCCCCCATCTTTTGCAACGCAACCTCCGAGACCGCAATTTGACTGTTGTTTGCACCCAGATTCATCAGAAAACACTCCCCACAAGGGCTTATGAGCTCACAATATTATCTAGAGGAAGCTGGGAGCCAGCGCTATTCTGCATTTATTTTTTTGTATTTTTAGTGAAGATATATGAAAGTTCTTTAGACTTTTTTCCCCCATACAAATTTGGTGCGCTAAGGCCGGTGTGATTGATGATAATTGGTTGCCATTCGTGGCTCCCATATAAAATCCCTGACTTTTCAACCAATGAAGTAGAGTTCTTCACATTAATGGTGAACACCCGGTACTCTAGTCTGCCAACGAACATGCACAACACAGCTTATTTGACTGATCGCAGGGCTAAATATGGTGGGCGACACGATATCGGGGTCGGTCTTGGCACATGTAAAAATCTCCATCAGGTAAATCATCACCTATTTAGTAGTGAAACAAGTGTTTTTGAGCAGATCATAGCCGTTTTTGTAATAAACCGAGTGCTTTATGGTGATTGACAGGGGTATTTTACTGGATTTCGATCCGGCCTTAATAATTTGTATGGGTAAAAATTGACCTGCCTCCCTACCAAAATCACCCAACTTCAAACTCTATCTCCTCAACCACAACACAAGATAATTAAAATCAAAGGCCGTAGAATGATTCTGCTCTTGATTCTCTATCATTCTACGGCTTCTAATCAAAAATATATTGTGTTGTTGTTGAGGAGATAGATTTGGCGTTCATATACTCTTACCGGCCCCGATATCGTGTCACCCACCATACCCCTCTTGCACTGCGAACTAGGTAGGAGGTTAGTTACATGATAACGAGAGAGAGAGGAGGCTTATTGCTTATTCAATTGGGTGATGTTCTTTTCTTGCACGACATGGCCAATCGGTCGTACATACCATTAGCGGTTGCAGTGCCTGGACTGGGATAACTACACATAACTCATAGTAAGAAGCAAATAAAGTCACTTGTCTACTGAATAGCTACTCTCTCTCTCTAGGCACACTCCCTCTCCATGCTTTTCACTGAATAAAGCTTAGGTGGGTACCTACATCATATATTACATTATATGGGGCCGGTGGGTGGACACCTACTCTAAAGCTTAAAGAACGCCGATGACTCGACCCGTTCCCTGCTTATATTAACCTTAGATGACCCAGCTAAACAACTCTAGGACATTTAAGGAAAGACTCCTTGCTACAGCTACTCGGGGCAGGCAATAAGAACCTGAAAATGCAAGCTGCAAGCAGGGGCTCAATTTGGTGTAGCTTTTCTCCAGCCGCGAATCAAAGGTCGTTACCATAAAAAGTCATTTTCGGGTTCTTCTTGCCTGCCCCGAGTACACAAAGATACTCCGCCATCCAATTACAGCGATATATCCAAGCATACAGGCAGGCGCAGCATTAAGCAGCATCTATCCGTAAGTTCGCTATAGCTATATATCCGGACGTCATGAAACCCATGTTTCACTCCATCACCACTGCGATGAGCTTTACACACTTCAGTTTCAAGACATCTCAAGAGAATAGTTTATTGGCACCGAGATTCTGCCATACATATAGCATTTTTGATGGGGATCTCAGTCCATCGTGTGTGCATATTATCACAGCTGTTGGTTGGCGAATGGATGCCTGAGGGATGAACATGGATTAATTGGCTGGGTCCGGTGAGACTCGTATATAGCATTGACCCCACGGTTCTACTACTGTTTCGATACGTGTTGAGTGCAGAAAAAGACGAACTCATCAGGTGTTCGGCATTTTGCATATTAGTTACCCCGGGTTTAGGGGGATGTCAATGACTGGCCTGTGGTTCGTAAGTAAATATTGGTGCTGCCTCGCAATACGCTTCAGTTGTGCACTTTAATTGAGTCTATCACTGGGCTCTAGTTGAGAATTTGTGCTAATTAGGTTTGTGTTTCTATGAAGTGTAGTAAATTACAGGAAACCCCCATGGCCAGTGCCGAAATAAAAAACAGTTTGGGCTGCAGCTGTCAGGCGCAATTAGCACCCTATCTTATAACAGCTATTAATCCAAGCCCCCCCAATTACAACCCACGCCTCCCCAACGCCTACATCAATCTACCAATTTCCTAACTGAACTACCTAGCTACTTACTCAACCTCTCTATCACCAGCCCTTTATTCAGACTCCAATTCGCACTATTCCCATACCGCCCTACCCTCCCGTCATCTTTATCCGCCTCGCCCGCCCGCACCTCCCACACCTTCTCCCCAACCGGGCACGCAAACACCGTATCCTCCATAAAATGCGCCCCGACATCCCCATCCCGATAATACCGCACATCCGCCGGGTCCACATCAAACTCCGCCAACAACTCCCCCTCGCGCGGCCGGCTCTCCCACGTCGTCTCCTCATCCACCCACCCGTCGTCCTCCGCAACGCTCCACACGCTCCCATACCCGCGCCCCATGTCCGCCGGCCCAAGCAAGAAATGGAACCGGCACTGCCGCCCCGCAAACTCGTCCGCCGGAAAGTCGAAGACCTCGTATGTGGTGGTGTCGCCGTTGAAGTGCCCGCCGCCGCCAGTGGCCGCTCCCGAGAGCGCGCGCGTCGGCTGCGAGGCCTGGACCTGGTGGTAGAGGATCGGGGCGAAGAGGCTGTGGCCGTTGGGCAGGGCGGCGGGGTATTGGTAGTATTTGAGGTGGGAGACGTCGGTGCCGTGGCGCTTCTGGAGCTGTGGTGCGGCGGAGGCGGGGGTGGGGGTTAGGAGGGTGGCTGCTGAGACGAGTGCGAGGAGGGAGAGCTTCATTGTTGCGGTGTGGCTTGGTTTCTCCTTTTTTATCTTATTTGTGGTATTTTATATAGGAGTATGCGGAAAGGACAGTTTTATGCTGTGCTATGCTAATGCGAGAACGATAGTAGGGGAGACTGATTATGACGAGAACAACCGCAGCTGTCAACGGGAACGGGAGGTGGGATGGGGGGGCGTTGGGGGCTTTAATATGGTACCCAATGGTGCACAGGGGGGAAGCACGGTGGGCTGACAATCGGTTCCGAGTAAGATTTGAGTGCAACCGCCTTCCGAATGAGCGGAAGATGCCAATGCTTGGGAGGGAGGCGGCGTCCTGTGCTGGAATTCTTGGTATTGGTATATAAAGAGTATCATTGGGGGCCTGTTCTTCAAATTATACTCATACCTACATTTAGTAGTAGTAGTGAGCTTGAGCCACCCCCCCGGGGGGGGGGCCCTAGCCCCCCTACTCGCTACTGATTACAATATCTAGGTATGTACCAGGTAATAATGATTTTACCCACTCACCGTGGATAAGTATTAGTAAATGTAGTAGTGCTTATCATACATACATGTACATGTACCATACCATACACTCCCAGGATCAGCTGAATTTAAAGCAGCACCTCAGCCGGCCAATGTTTACTTATTCTACTTCTTCTCCTCACTACGTCATATCGATTGATTGATGCCTCGCATGGCGGGGCGATCCTATGGGGGCCATGGAACCGCAAGTGTACCTACATCCACAAGTACTGTAATAATCAATAGGGCTGGTTATCTCTGATAACGTTGGAGCATATATATCCATCATGCAGCATCACTCGCTCGCTGATTGTGCTTCTAGGGTTAGGTTAACCCCCACATCTTTGGATTAGAGCTGCGCTTGCTAGCGCAACCTTTAAATTGTCGGTACCTGTAACTGCACCGTTTTTTTTTTTTTTTTTTTTGGTGATGTCTTCCGATGACTGCGGGATCTACTTTATGTAGCTGGTCTTATAAGGCTACTGTACCTGACATAGCTGAAATCCCATGCCAGCTGGCCGATGCCGATAAGATAAATGCGCTTTCAACATCCTTATCGTTGATGAGGTAAGAACATCATTCTTAGTCAAACCGTCATAATATGGTAGCTATGGTACCAGTGATGATCCCTTCCAGCCGATACCCTACCAAGCGAGTAACGCCCGGCAAATACAGCCAGCGGTGAATCGTACTACACGCCGAAAATTCATCCCTATCGTTACCACATAGACACCCTCGTCTGTGGAGAGATTAGTAGGAATTACATGTAGTATCTACACCAGTCCCGTTGTATCAATATGGTCGTTGCCAAGGCCCTCCTCCAACGCCCTCGGACTGGAAATGACCAGACGACCGTTTTTGGAGAGCTAGCGCGCACCGCTACTTAGCTAGGGAAAACGATGATATCTCAACAACCTCCGTGGAAGACACAATTGCGAGGGAATAGTTAGATCATCCCCATACCCCGCACGAATACTTAAAACCCCAGCTTCTTCTTCCTACTCCATCCCACAGCTATTCCACTCTACTCCACAATATCAATTCCAGACTTTTCTATCCCATCTCAATTGGGAATAGCCTTCTTTTTTTCATAAGAGATCCTAACACTCCCCAGAACCAGGTAAGCATGGCTCCCAAAGGTGGCGGCGGCGGCGGCGGCGTCGGTGCCAAACCCGCGCCAGCCCCCAAACCCGCACCCGCACCAGCCCCCGCGCCAGCCGCTGGCGGCGGAGGCAGCAGTGGCACCGGCAGCGCCATCGGCGCGGGCCTCGGCGGTGCCGCGCTCGGCGCCGCGGGCGGATACATGCTCGGCTCGCACATGAGCGGCGGCGGGTCTGGCGGCGGCGGCGACGGTGGGACAACGATTATCCATACGGATGGGAACGGGAACTATACGGCGGCGGCGCCTAGTCCGGAGCATCAGAAGTCGGGTGGTGTGAGGGTGCGGGCGGCGCTGGGGGGATGCGAGGGGAGGATTGTGGTCATTTTGGGGGTGCTGGCGGTGTGGACGGTGTGGACGGTGATGGGGGCGGTGTTTGTTGAGGAGGAGGTGGTGGAGGAGGAGGAGGTGGAGGTGAGGGAAAAGGTGGAGAGAATGATAGGGGATATGGAGTTGCAGAGGGCCGTTTTGGAGGTGATGCATGGTGGGAAGAAGAGGGCTGAGGGTGGAGAGGTTGGATGGGATGAGGATAATGGCGTGGGGAAGGAGTCGAGGTTGCGGTTGTTGAGGGAGTATCTCGGCGAGGGGATTGAGGATGCTTTCTGGTGGTATTTGGACTGCTTTGTCTTTTCCGGGTAGAGAGAGTATCGTGTAGTGTCCGTTGGTTAGGATCTGCTATGTAGCTGCTGGCGTTCAAGGCACGATCCTGTGCATATGTATATGCTCCCGCATACGTGCATCAAATTAACGCCAAAGACTGACTGACATGCAATGCAGATTAGTATTCCAACTGGCAGCTCAGTATTGATTTTTCTTTGTGTTTTATGCCTGTGTTTTGTGTCTGTTTTGACTGGCAGTTGCGCCGACTACGTATTCTGATGTAGAGAGAGCACCGTAGCCTAAGTTAGTGTAGCTCAAAGAGACTTTGAGCGATCGCGCGACCAACACGTGGCTGGCAATGGCGTACCTGCATATCTCCAATCGAGGTGGGGGGGGGGGGGGGGGGTGGATTGCAGAAAGGGCTGTCTGCGGGTGCTGGCTAGGGAGTAGAGAAGTGTGTAGAGAAGATGCAGAGAGTACATGTAGATACATGTAACAGGTACATGTACCGCGAGTGAAGTTGAGTCTCTTTTACTCGTCTGCCCAGGCTCAGGCAGAGAGAGAGATTGCCTGCCCTCGCTCGCGCTCAGACTGGCTAGCCGCCAACCCTAAGTCAATTAGAGTCTCTCTCACGGACAGGGGCGCCGGGGTTGTTGCAGGGAAGCCGACGGTTCCTTCTCTGCATGGAGATTAGGTAGAGTAGAGAAGTCTCCGCTGTTGTTGCCCTCGCCGCCGCCCACCACGGATTGTTGTTACTGGGCAGCAAAACAGAGCTGGTGCCTGTGCTTGTGCTTGTGCTTGTGCTTGGTGCTCAGCTTGCAGCCAACAAACCAACACACACAAAGCATCGTTCGGAGGTAGCTCCCTTAACCCGTGTGTCTGGCCCGTAGAGTTGGGTTGGGAGGGGACGGCGCTTGCTTTTTGTACATACAGCCTTCTTTCTTTCTTTCTTCCCTTCCCTTCTTCCCTTCTTCCCTTCTTCCCTTCTCATCCTCTCCTCCCCCCACTCACCCCCCCCTCCCCCCTCTCCCCTCTCCCCTCTCCCCCCATCCCCTCTCTTCATTCTTGTGCCTGCCTACTCTTCGCTCCAATCTGCAAGCCAAATCTCGCTTCGATTTAAACCTGCAGATCACGAATTAACGTTTTGCGCATACCACACAAAAACCCTGTTTACTTTTTTTTCTTCCTCATTCCCCAAAAGTGCTTTTTGTGAATCTGTAATTCTCTGCATCCCACTACTACTACTGCTAGTATCACCCGAGGAGTTGAGCTTAGTTTACCTTGTTACTTCCGCTCGCACATAGTTAGCGATCGCCATGAGATCCACAACATCCCGCTCCCTCGCATTGCAGCTCCTTCTGCTCGTGCCGTCTCTCAATTTCGCCGCCGCGACGCCTGCCTACGATTGGCCAGCCGGCATTGATCCTTCGGTAAAGTACTGGCCGCCTGGAACCGGACCGCCATCGAAGCGCTCGCTGCAGGAGGAGTACGCCGAGTTCAACACGACGGATCGATGCTCCGCCGTCAGGAAGGTCTCCGCAGAGAACCCTGCCGAAAAATACTACTGGGACTGGGAGCATGAGGCGAGGAGTCAGCAGGGGTTCCTAGGGCTAAGCAACTTGGAGGTTCCCGAGGAGGAGCCGGAGCTGGAGCTGGAGCTGGAGGATGGGGAGGACCTTGAGACCCGATCCATTACTAAATACAGGGCACCACTTAGGATGAGGAGCTTTGTGTCTAATGACGGCATCATTGATATACTATTGGGGAAGAGGCAGAATTTCGAGTGTCCGACTGGGACTTATGCTTGCACGGACATTGGTGTTCCCGGCAGCTGTTGTAGGACGTCCGAGATCTGCGAGAGGATTACAGACACTGGTATGGGTGTCGTCGGGTGCTGTCCTAGCGGTTGGTTGCTCCCTCTTCTTTCAATTGATCGCTCGGGGAAATATGCTCATCCTCGATTTCTCTTCCTCTAGGCCAACAGTGCGGTGGCAGTCTTACGAGCTGTGGTGATAATATGAAAACCTGTGCCAGTAACCAGGGTGGTGGATGCTGTATCTCAGGATACTCCTGCTCTGTGAATGGATGTATCGCCGATTCCGCTGCTGGGGCGGCATCTACCTGCTCCAGTGGCTTTTATGCCTGCCCTTCAAACGTTGCCGGCGGATGCTGTCCCTCCGGCCGTCTCTGTGGGGTAACTGACTGCCCTACCCAGACTGCTACTGCTACTGGCGCCGCCGCAAGCGGTGACATTTGCCCCACGGGATATTACACCTGTGCCCCGCAATACAATGGCGGGTGTTGCAGAATTGGTCGCGACTGCGGTATCACCGAGTGCCCTGAGAGAGCCCTTACAATCAGTGCAGGGGGCGCTGGAGGAGGAGCCGGAGGAGTTCTCACTATGACTGCTCCGGCAAGCTGCGCAACGGGATGGCAGAGCTGTGCAAGCAGCCTTGGGGGTGGATGCTGCCCCAATGGTTACAATTGCGGCTCGACCAACTGCCCAGCGGTCACTCTTGGGAGCACCGCATATATCATTTCTGGAAGCGTACGTTGACCACTCTCTGATACATACCCGCGACATGACGCCCGTGACTAATATATAGTTTAGACTGTAACAACAGCGCTCGTGATGCCGGCGACCGCCAAGGCCCAGCCCACTAACGCCGCATCGATCGTCATTCCAAACGACGGGAACAAAATTCAGGACGTCAAGAAGGTCTTTGTTGTCGTTGCTGTCGTTCTTGGTGTTGCGGTTGCTGGTTAGGCGCTAGTAAGAATCAAGTGCAAACAAAAAAAAAGTTCAGGGGACTATATTTGGAGTATAATGGGTTTTTGATTTTCAGCTTGACGTTTTCTCCCCCTATCTTATGAAATATTTTTTTTTCCCCCGAAATATCCCAATTGTTTTCTTCACATTTTCTTTTTCGTTCTTGTTTTTGAATGTCGTTATGCGGTGGCAAAGATGCTTTTTTGATTCCTTATCATTTTTTCACGCTTTTTTGGAGGAGGTGGAATGTTTTACGATGACGATCATTGATGAAAAAATATACAGATATTAGTGTAATGAGAGTATTGACGGCCTTGAATTCAGCAAAGGGCGAAAAGGGGGGGGGGGGGGGGGGGGCGGGTGGTGGTAGTATATATTTCGTGTAATTAAGCTTCTCGTTCTATATCCATTTTTCTTTTTGGCTTCTTGTCGGTGTGTATCGAGCTTGTCTTTGTCTTCTATGAAACGTTTTGACTGTTGAATTACACCCATCTATGGTGCCTTTTTAGAGTAAGGGACTACCCACACACACCCCGCACGCGTCAGCGTGATAGTAAAGATCCGAGTGATTTCGTGGAACAGCAACAGCTGCAGGGAACGATCTTCAGTTGACAGTTGGGCACGGCACCGACACAGAGGGAACCAGGCAATTTTAATTCTAGAGTAAAAACGGGCACGAGATGTGGAAGAACACAGAGACAATCGAAGTTAGGACCATCAAATAGAAAATAGGGGTACTCAAGATGGATAGGCTTTTATTTTACCTGTACGCACATGGGAATGGGTTGGACGTTATATGGGCAAAAAGTCGGAGGATGCGAGAAGGGAGATGATTAGGGTTGGGCTTAAGTGGGAGTGACAGTTGTTTCCTTATATTCCCTTTTTGTTGAGATGGCGGTGGATGAAGGGATGTTCTGGGGAGGGGAGTTTTGTTTGTTATATTGTCATAACCTCCGGCTCCGGCCGGGTATGTTGCATGCAATTAATAAAGTAATCAATCAATCAAACGAGTGATTTCGTATCACATGATTTTTCGACGTCGAGTGAGATGGTGTGATTGGATGAATTCTTTTTTTTTTTTTTTTTCCACGTGCGCGCCTGACTAAGGGGTTATGTTTTCACTTCTTTCTGATCCGCATTTTATGCTCATGGTTAAGTGTATACGTGCGTGTAGTAATCAGAGGTTACGTAGCTCGGACGGCGGTGCACGGTGTGGCTAGTCTAAATTCAAGGCTATAGCTATAACGAATAGGTGGTGCTAATACTAGGGAGAGCGGTTTCCTCTTAGGGCATATAGCCTGGTCCCGTCTCATTCTATGAGCCCAGGCTCACAATTAATACTTGAGCCTGTGTTGTTTGCAGATACGGGAATATAATGGTAAAAGTAAAGTGTGCAAGGCTTTATGTATTGCTTCATTAGCGATAGGGGTATTCACTTCTGTAAATATAAATATATACGTTCTGTTCATGTACGTACATGTAAGCATGTGCTTATACTAATGGTCCACCTAATATAATTATAATCGGCAACCGCATTTTTTGAAATATCTATAAGATCTAGCTCTAGAAAATAAGGATCACTAATCTACATTATTATCCAAAATATAGACCACGTGTGTCTACCATATATGTGGATGCATATGTCATCGACTAGTAAGTCGAATAAATGGCTTTCGGCTGACTGGAGCCAGTGAAATCTGGCGAGTTTCAGAATGCTGTAGCCAGTGGACCATAGGGAATTTGGCTGCCCCTACGGTTCAATTGCATATATTCAAAAAACGGGTTTGATTTTTCTTGTTCATTCTTAGACTTATATAAGACGAGGTTTTTGATATTAAGTTAATGCGCGCGGTAGTAATGGCGTATATTTTTTGGAGGCGAAAACGAAATCTTGTAGATGTTTTTGAGAATCTGTATGCGTTCAGATGTGTCTGTAGACCGCCATGGAGGAGGAGGAGTCTAGAATATTATATACCCGCCTTCCGATTGATTACGATCGAGCTCCAGACCTCAAATAATCGAAACAACACGTATAAAACCTTGAAACAATATCAAAAAAAAAAAAGTTGGTACTTTGTTATTGGCCATTGAAGAAGAAGAAATCTTGCAAGATTTTGTTGCTTTCCCCCCCTTTGAATAGCATTAAGATATGATGTGCCTTGGATCTCTTCTATAGAGTTGATGTGGTGAGCCGTTGCTATGCAGGATTTTGTAATTTATATATCTTCAAAGCTTCAGATTTGATCCCCTCCAGAATATCCACGGCATGTCGTCCAATAACTCTGATAACTACTATACAATAGCTAGAATGGCCTTTATACACCCATATAACTCCCGGCGTACCGGAAATACGAACTCATAGTGACAAACACACATATGTGGCCTCCTAGGCTCAGAGACCAGAACTCAATAGCCTATTCGATCGAGCCCTGTTACCGAGTGATAGCGTATGATGCAACATAGAAATAGTACGATTTCAAAGTGGCCTAAGAGAAGAAGCGTTTGAGGTCTTTGACGTGACTTTGAAAGCTCCAGATGAACGCAGTCATCTTTTGGTATTCGAGGGCTAGCTCATGTCAGGGGGTTGAGGGTTCGATGTGGGACCGTGGTGGGAGTGGCTGGTACAAATCAGACTCTGGTGCGTGAGCTGTTGGGGCCGGGGGCTTGTCCAGGTTGCGGGTGGATCTGGCCAGGTACCGATATATTCTATAGCATACGGTACAAAGGATCTAAGCTAGTACAGAATTCTATATGAATATGACCAATCCTTGGCAAGCCCAAGTGTGCTCGGGCAGAATTGAAAAATAAGGTCCGTCTTAAGATAATGCGCGCCGGCCGGCCGGAGGTTCAGTCTCATAACCTCGGGTAGAATTATTGTGGAAATGTGGCGTGGGAGATCTCTGTGCTCGGCGAAGACTTGAACTACAACATTGGGCAGAAACCCTTGATCGTTAATAACTGTTTCCACAATAATTCTATCAGAGGTTGTATGTCCGAGCCCACCACCGGCCCCGAACTAACTCATTAGCTGGCTTGTATGATCACGGGGAATATTTACTATTTACGGCGGACATACATTACATTACGCCTGACCAGTGTCACAACAAATGCATGTAGTACTAACGGAACTCTTAAAAATGTAGACTAATTACTCTTCTAGGTAATCCTGATAGGTTCATTAGGCAATCCGGCCGAAACATTAATTCGAGATATGTACCCAATGAGGCAGCCCGGGTTCCCTATTCAGGTAATTAGTTTGACCTTTTTTTCTTTCCGTGCCCGAGTCTAGGCCTGATATTTGGCCCGGCTAAAGTTTAGTTCTCTTCAAACTTTATACCGATAGCCTACTTAGGAAATCCGAGTTGCCTAAACAGATATCTGGTATTGGGGTTTTCGAATTATTTTAGGCACATTATAATTACTCAAGCGGGTAAAGGATTGACCAGGCCTACCAGCACAAGAACCAGAAAGTGCGAATGAATTATTTGTATGGCAGAACTGCATTATTCTGTACAAATAGTCCTTGACTTTATCACTGGTTCTTAATTATGCTGGTAGACGAGTTCTTGCTGCAAACTATGGGTGTGAGGGTGCGTTTCCCAATGCCTTAAGTAATTACATGTATAACGTACCCATACAGAATTTGATGTGTGTACCTACATGTATATGTAGGTACATACTACATGTACTAATGTTTTACTTAAGGACATGCAGAGAAAGTAGACCGGTTACTTAATACCTGTCTACATGTGATATAAAGTGCCTACATACATAAGTATATTTTAATAAGTACTCGAGACTGCTAATGTAAGCGAGTGATTTGAAGTGATCTAGAAGTGAGGATGGTCGTGGATCCAAATTCAGAGGCCACAAGTTATTTCGAGGGGATATAAATCACTACACAATGGTGAGATATATATATAATACGAATATGATGAATTATATATAGGGCCCCGCGGATGGGGTTTAAAGTGCTATAAAAAGCCAGGAGGCGGTTGAGCCGGTCTAGGGCAGCTCGTGCTTGCAAGCGAGCAACCTCGCGCCTTAATCTCGAGTTCCTTCGGAATAATAAGATTTTCCGCACCCGTGCGCGTAGAAACTTCCTTCTTCAGGATAAGCATGTATTTTTTGTGACCTGCATGGTTAGAGCTTTTTGAAAAGCATTTCTATTATTGATGACAATAATGGCTTCGATCGGCACCTAGGAGACCATGACACTATTATTATCTTGGGATTTCCATACAGATTCTGGTAGAATTAATGCGAAAGTGGGTTTTCCGTGACCCGATAGTCCCATTGGCCCTCAAAGGAATTTTTGCAGTGAGCACGGGCCAAGAAACCCACCCTTTTAGTTCTGACTTTCGCAATAATTCTACCGGATACTGTAGATATAAAAGCCTATATTTTACGGTCATACATTTTCAAAGTTTTAAGAGCACGAAAGATCACTCGGTACATCTCCTACTAAATATTATGTAATGGAAATCGCTGAGACATGTCCTGCCAATCTCAATTATATTAACCCCATTATTTAACTTGTTCTAGTTAAATAAATAGTACGTAGGCTTCTTTCATTATTACCACCTTGCACATGCGAAAAAAATGACAGGAGTGATCTACAACTCTCATGACACAAAGCTTCTGTTACCCCGTTACCCCGTTACCCGCATTCATTAAATAGCCTCCGGAGTACTGACCCATATTTAATTCCGCTGAAGGAAGCTTCAATTTTCTATCACCTATGTGTACGCGTAAGAATGTAGATCTATTTCCCATCCCCGTTCATTGGGGGCCAGAGTTAGTTAGTATCACGAAATAAACAAACAAAAATCCGGACAACCCCCCGTTATCTTTGTCAGGATAACGGCAGCGGACGATTGGACTGGTGCCAGAAATCTGGATTGGCTCTCCAAGTGTATACCCGATCGAGCTGGAGCTAGGTACAATATAAAGCTTTATATTGCTTTACTCAAGCCGATCGACGAGCATGAGCACGAGGTCAAATGTCAGATTATGAGAGGTAAAAATGAAAGGTTGGTCACACAGCACGCTGATTGAGTAGGCTGAACTGCAGCTGTGCGAGTGGACGTAGGTCGATATGGACTTCAGACATGAGCGGATGGGCTGAATATAATTATCCGAGTGCTTTGTTTCCCCGCATAGAGTTTGTTGAGAAGGTTCGTGGTCTTGACTCTTGGGAAGCCCGTCAATGCCAATAATTTGCCAACACACAGACAATATGAGTCCCCATCCACCCATGGATCCATTCACCCATGGATCCATCCATCCATATGGGCACCCACCCATCACGCTATTGACAGTAACTGGATATATTAGCAAGAACCTATAAGCTTTAAATTAAAATATCGAAAAGCCTCGTGGCCAGACATAGTTGAGGGATCTACTATAGCAAGGTGCCCTATTCCAGGCGCGGGCTGATTTGCGATACTTTTCAGTTATAACCAGGTTACGGTAATTCATTTCTTTTTACAAGCCACGATTTGTGATCGAATTTCTCTGTGCAGTTGCAGGTGCATCCTGTATAGCTGGATGATTTATTAGATAATCGTATCATTTTGACGTCGGCCTTCATCCCCCCTTAAGTGCCAACGCATTCATATCGACCTCGGTTTTCTTCATCCCCGGTCGAAATATCACATGCACTGTAGGTAGGCTCGGTAGTTCATTCTTGTCTAATGTTAAGGGATACTAGTACTCTTTGTAGAAAATTTCCACATAAGCATACCTGAGTTGAACTTTCAAGAGTCTGGGAATGAGCCGTATGTATGTGCGTTATGTGGAAACGGATATCTTTAAAAATGAGAGCTCGAGACGGGCTCATCTTTCTACCTACTGCCCACAAGGCTTGATTGGATACCTCTGTGAGAAGCATATGTGCCAATTTTATTATTAGAGCTTGCGTAAAAATGCTTAGCTACGGTATGTATATCCAAAGAAGCAAGAATATATGTACATGTAGTTATAGGAAGCCTGGCTGCTCTCAGAAATAACAATTGGATGTTTGAGACGCGAATGTACGTCTAATTGCCGGATTATATACCGAGCTTGTATCTGTGCTTGATATCAGATCATTCTCAGGGGCCGGGGCCTGAGACGATAAGCAAAGTTTCAAAAGCACGCGGGTCTTCTTGGCAGAAAAAGGTTATGTGGTCTTAGCGCCATTATTTGCTTGGTGCTGTACTTTGAATCCGGAGCTTTCCCTTGTCTCGGGGCTTGCATGTAAATAGGAGGTTTAAGAGGTTGAAAAAAAGTCACTTGCTTATTCGTGATATGTACTGATGTTAACATGAGTAATCAAAGTTGGAGAATGTTAATTTAACTCTAATTCCCCGAGGCATATTGATCTACTTTCTTCAAACACCCCTGATACTAGCTATTAATTTCGAAATTTCTCCGGGGCATGTAGAGCAATTGTACTATCCAGAGATAGTCTATGATCCGGAAGACTAAAGAACATGCTGGTTTATCAATTTCTACATGGAGTAGAAGCAGAAAAGAAAGCTTCCGGATCCAAGTACCAGGAAAGATGTCCGAAACACCTATGTTTGACACTTCAATTTCACGGGCCACGTTCCAGAATCTCCAAATACACTGGGCAGTTTTACACGAAAAATGATGTTGTCATAGCGAGTATATATCTCAGATTTTCAACGGTCATACTAATGGATCCCCGGGTCCTCTCTCTCTCTGGTGTTTGTCTTATATGTCACTGTCACCTTGAAGAATCTAACCAACAGTGCACTGACTGGTAGGATGCACGACGAGATGCACGTGCACCAACGGTTCTCCCTTCTAGGTAGGGTAAAATTTGTGAAATCAATGGCTGGAGCGTCTGCGGCAATTGTGTTTGAGGTTGACGCTGAAATATCTTCCCTGTCGTTGGATCCGGGCCTATCTTTGGTGACCCTTTATCGAATGATACTTGCATGATGATGGTATGAAGATCTAGACGATGCTGCACAGAATAGAGTAGGTTAGTCAGTCAACTTTAAGGTCAATTCACAGGCACGTCCAAATAAATATTAGTTCGTTGCAGATTTCCGTGGAGAACCTACCCGGCGTACCTACTACACGCCGGTGTATATGTACTAGCCCATGGGTCCATCGCAAGCCTCCACCCTAAAGAGTAATGCTTGCAGCAGCATATGTACCTACTATATGCTAGGAGCTCGGACATGAAGAGTTTGAAATTACTGATATTGTGACAGAAGCCATCGACATCTTGGACATGTTGGAGTCGATTGTGGCCAATCACAGATCTAGAAATGGGGGACGTCAACTCGTACTTCCGGCAAATCGGAGTTGGGCCTGAAGTTTGCTTTGCTTGCGCTACTCCACACAAAAAGGCACCCAAAGAGATGACTTTTGCGCTGCTGCGCGCGCCTTCTAAAGGCTGCTGCAAATATACCAAAACTAGCCAGGTTTAACACCAGAAGTTTAGTGGAACTGCAATCAAAATCTGTGCGCGCAATGAAGGTGCTTGGATTTTAGTGCGTAGATTGACACATGTTGCACAGTGATAACCTCATGTACCCAATATTGATATTATGTACTTAACTGCGCTGGGAACTACCTCATATCTCCTATGTAATATAGATGATTCTAACGACTCTTTGACATCAGACTTACCGTTCGAGTTAGAGGGGGTATCATGATGCAAGAGCAAGTCCAAATCATGATTACGCAAACTCTAGCAGCTATTCACCTCCCTAACTTAGAAAAACAACTCATTAGCCCATAGATAACCCACAACAATCCCTTCGAAGAAGAAGAAGATGTGCAACCATATTTTGAGGATAGAAAACTGCATGTACTGTAGTTCTTCGGAGGTTGAGGGACGAGGTTCCTGGTTGGCTGTCCGGTTAAATAGTACAGACAACACTGGCGCTGCAAATATCGTACCATTGTAACAACTATTCCGGGGATGGGTAAGTAGCAATCGATCGCACCATACTGTATCTTTTCAATTCGATCTCATGTAGCTTTTCGGGCTCAGCTAGCTGCAGCTGTTGTAGGATCCGAATAGAAAGTTGAGAAGTCAGAAGGACTAAATCTATAATATGACAGAGCAGACACCAAATCATACATAACCTTACTGCTGTACATAACTAGGATAGTACGTCACAATACAGCCTATAGCTAGGTGTTCCATTCAATTCACCGCCAAAACAGCGACCGTCAAATCCGGCAACTCAAACGCGAACTTCCCATCTGCGCCCTTAGTAACCTCCTTTTCCGTCCATATACTTGTCTCATTCTTTGGGCTATTCTCAGAGAATGGAGAAGGTGCATTCAAAGTTGTAAGCTTACCCTTGATAACGTTGTCATCAGGGACTTCGAAAGTTACAGTAGTTGTAGTACCGTTGTAGTTGGCAATTTTGAGGTAGTATCGACCACCGTCGGTGCTGGATGCAGACCAGTACAGTGGTCCGAATTTGGCATCTGAGGTGACCGGAAGTACGGTAGTTCCATGATGGGTCGAGAAGAGCTAGAAAGTGTTACAATAAAATCTTTGTACTGTAACTGTAGAGATACATACTTTTTGGAGGTAATAACTGATTGAAAGCGCAGTCTCTCCTGGGTCGGCTGTGAAGGAGATCAAGTCAGGCTGAAAATCAGAAAATTGTCAGTTACTAATATTTCTTTTGAACGCGAGTATGGCCGATTAGTTAAAATGTTAAGGGAACTTACGCTCCACTGATAACTATTCAAGTTCTGTAATATAGGCGCATACGCCGCCGCTCTAACCAAATCCGCATTCCTCTCCATCCCAATTGCAAACACTGCCTCTGAGATCATCCCTATCAACGTCGTATATGGGGACCTCCACGCCCCACCCCATTCCGGGCCCCCGCCGCCTGGTTTATTAGGTTGAATATATGCGTACTCGCCCACAAATACCGGATGACTTCTATTCCAATTATCGAACATGCCAAAAAGCGACACAAAGTCATCCGGCCTTGTATATCTATGATAATCTAACCATGCACCATCTGGTATAGGGTCGATTTTAGGGGTGGAGCCAATGATCGTCATATGCGGGTATGCAGCTTTGATGGCGTCGCGGAACATTGGGAAGCGGTAGGCACTGTATGATGCACCCCCGCCGATATCGTCCTCATTGCCAACTTCGACATAGTTGATGACCCAGGGTTTAGGGTGGCCGAGTTGGGCACGGAGGGAACCGTAGGGGGTATCGATGGAGCCCATGAGAAATTCAAGCTCGTTGAGGACGTCTTGGACGTAAAATTCTAGCTCGTCTTGGGGGATTATAGGTCCTGAGAGGTAATAGCCAGCCCAGACGTCAAGTATTGGTTCCAGATTCATATCATCGCACCACTGCCTAGGATTTAGCTATGTTCTTAGGTCTTTTAGTTCGTGACATACTTCCATATATTCAACTAATCCTAGGCCATCTGTGTTTTCATAACCCCATGTACCTTGGTTCGTTGAGTAAATTGTTCGGCAAGGCTTAATCAAAGGAAATTGATGATTACCTGGACGACCAGGGCGGTCTACTAACGGACCAATTGTTTCATTCCATTTCCAGTGGTATGGAGGTTCGTCTCCCTCACTTAAAGAAAAAATTAGCAAAATACAGTTTACAGCCAGGATTATTGAGTACTTGCAGATTATTTCCACCTGGGAATCTCAGAAAGGTTGGTTTGAACTGCTCCAAGTTCTCCGCCAAGTCCTTCCTTAGCCCATTCTTCCTGTAATACAATTCTCTATTAGCATCTCCCATAATTTCTATCATTTAGTAGCTGGCTACACACCTTCCATGGTATGTTGGTGGGAACAGACTAATCATACTAAACCACAGCCCCTCCTCCGAACCTTTAGCGTTGAATGTGATCTGCAACGTATTGTTCACGTTTGGTGCGGCTTCTGGGTGAAGCACAAACTCATGTTTAGTCCATGCATCCGGTTTCGACGTGGACCTGACCTTCTTCTGTGCATATACCTTGCTCGTAAGGTTCGATTTGAGTGAAACTGTGAAGTCTCCGTTATATTGTCCCTTGACGTAGAAACTTCCGGTGTACTCTTGATCCTTCACATTGATTCCCCAGAATCCTTCATTGAGAAAACCCACTTGGGTAGCGTCTGATGAGATTGGGGTGACCTTCATTACATTTTTCAGCGCGGGGGAGAGCGGGTTGGCGGTATCAATGGAGATGACGGCATCGCCGACAGCGCGATAGGCGGCAAGGGTTGGATTTGTGGTACTACCAGAGCCTTGGAAGGCACGATTGCGGATTAGTTCAGCGTAGAGACCGCCATCGCCAGAGTGATTGATATCCTGTTGCTACTATTAGCTGACTGTGTAGGTACTACTACACCTTGGCAGATGAGGTAGCACTAGTCTTTGGCCGGGCTAAGCTTCTACACACCTCAAACATCAGGCCATACATGATTGGACTCGTTTTATTCCCATACTCGCTCGAAACCACGAGGTTTACCGCAAGAGTAGTTGCACATAACTTCAAAAAGGTGAGGATTATGGGCCCCGAGAATTGATACTGCATCTTTATGAGAGTTTAGGTCCGAAGTGAGCTTTTAATTGGCAAAGTTATTTACACAATTATATATATGGGATTCTGACTTGTTATTTATAATATTGAAAGCAGTACTTAATTTAACGGGTTAATTTTGTCCGTCGAGTAGTATTCTCACGAGTTGTGTCCTTTGACTACCATTCAAGGATGATATTATCCGCGATAGAGGATCCGGAACGTCACTTGTAATCACCCATCGTATTTCGTGTAGGTGCTTCATAGTTATAGGTAACTCTCCAGCCGTTGAACCATATAGCCAGAATAAGGTTCCTTGCTTCCCCACAATTTGCGGGGAAAGCCATTGAATTTAGATGTGTTTCTCTGCGGGTACCTCATCACCTAGCTAGCTATAGACAGACGAAGCTTTTAGACTAGTTCTCTCGTTAGCCTACGCAAAGGATAAAAGTAGGGGTTTACCCGAGTCAGTAGAGTAAGGGAATAACTGAAATCTTCAAGCGTAAACATGCCTTTTGGCTCGAGATATCAAATCAAATGCATGTAAGTTATGAAGTTTGTAGTATGCCATATTTCTGGGGCCCATTTGGCTAAATGGGCCCCGGGGCGGGGAGATCCAAGGCTTTGTCCAGGAACTGGTTAAGCCTAAGCGACAGAGCCTTAATTACCCCGCAAAAGCAATAAGCTTCCTGTTCCCGGGATATCTCAGCGATCCGGCCACAACCCAAGCTACGTCGTTGTGGTGCTGTCGCAGCACGGCATATCCCGTTCGGATCGAAGAGATGGGGACCGAGTAGTGGCGTGAGGTCCGGTATTTTCCTGTACACTGAAGAGCACATAAAATACGTGTTTGTAGAGTATGTAGTACGTACATATATATATACTGGTCGAGCTCTGCTGCGATATGTATCCCGATATCCTAAGTTTTTTTTTAGGTGAGAGGAGTGTGGTAGCATTGAGATAATAGGCTCTCCACACCCAGGCACCGACACCGGTGCATTGATACACCAACGTAGTCATGGCGTCAGGAAAAAGAAACAAACTTATGTGTTGTTTGACTAGCTTAGGTAGAGTATGTAGCTAGTCATTGCCAATCTCGATACCTGGCTTCCCTCGTGGCTTTTCTTCCGATCCCGAAAGGACGAGCGAGAGATAAAATATCAGCAAACCCGGCCCCGAACGTTACGCACATACCTATCTGAAGGAGTGAGCGTATGTATATATGTACTTACCTATTAGTTGTGAGGTACACAATGATATATGACCGCGGGGGGGTGGAATGAAAAAGAAAATTTCGAAGAGGCACCGGTGATCGTTTATGGAGATCTCGAGACGTATACGGTATCTGGAGTTTTCGGGAAGCAAAAAGTAGGTATTGCCATCTCCGACATTGTTGGGTGGTTGGTCCGAGATGATTGTAGAGCTTCCTAGTACTACGTACATACATGTAGGTACATGTAGAGTACTCCACAGCCGTAGAGTAGTTCTCTATAGAGTACTTATGTAGCTGCGCGTAGGTGAACCATGGGAGCTTCTGGCATTCTTAGACATCCGGATCGAAAACATAAAAGCGATATGGTTTGTAGTGGTTGTCATGTACCGATCAGGCCATTCTGATACACGAGTGACCTGTGATGACTCTGACTCTGGCTAGCTGTGGGACAATGTGTACTAGCCTGGCTGCATCAGATCATGTAATCGGATAGTTGTCCTATATCTGAGCCTATAACATGTCCTCACTTGTTGATTGCGCAATTAATCAGTTCTTAAACACGTAAATAATTAACTGGCAGACTCCCAACCCACCTTTTACACACTACACATGTTAGGAGGCCTAGGGAAAGCTGGAGATTTCATTGCCAATTTGGGTAAAGTACGGTTAGAATATACCTACAGCGAGAGGTAGAACTATTGTAGAAACCGGGGTGTAAAAACAGGGTTTAAGTGACTGACTCGGCCAATAGGACTCTTCCCATACTTCTACAATAATTTTACCACACGCTGTAGGTACGTACGTACGTAAACTAAGTACTTCTCGGAGATTCGGGTTTTACTTCAGCTCGGTATTGGCTCTTATCATCCAAAGGGACCGCCTGATATCGTGAGACGCGACGGAGTCGGACCCGAAGCTTTTCGACCTTATATCTATATGTATATACCGGCCACACACCTAGACCAGGTGTCAGTCCACTAGAGTACTCGACCGAGAGAGGCACTCCAATCTCTTCGTTTTGACGGCTCGATTTTCTGTGTGTACATGTACTTACATGATGCACTGTAACATAAAGAATAGTCCCATCCCCTGGGATTGTTGTGCGCGGCTTGCCGCACAGACCTGGCGTATCAAAAATCCGGATGGTGGATTGTCTCTGAAGCCTTCGGAGGATATTCGGACACCTCCCCCCCCTCCCCCAAAGGGCCCTCGGCGAGGCTTTCGGTAGCTAACCAGTTCGGGGATACTTCAAGACGTACCGAAGCTAATTGTGTGCAATGTCAACGGATGCAATTATACAAGATTTACCAGGCTGCAGGTATGAAGACAATAAAAAGACAGAACAACTATTCCCTATATATTCCTATAATTACTAACCTATTGTTTTCACCCCACCAAAATATGATCTATTTTCTTTGAAACAGCACGTACATGATCTTATCTTAATATCGTTGACGTTCCCTCTATTGAATCCCTTCCACCTTGCTTGTGTATTGAAACGTGTGTCCACCTCATTCATTGCCATGGAACAACAATTGAAGCCATTAATAGGAAAAATGGTAGGCCTCGATCGCAAGCATCACTCCGCCCTTGCCCATACTACATTTTCGGCTGTTTCGGTCGATCCAACTGGACCAGTGTACAATGATCATGGCCTACGCACATTATTTCCTATTGATACCCCAGAGAGTAATCACTAAATTGTGTCACGCACCTACATATGTACATACTTATCTGCACGCCAACTATTTCGGTTTTTTGTTGTCATGCTGGGAACTTTTTCCCCAACCCCAAGTAATGCCAACCTTGTTCTTTGTTATTTCCTTTTCTTCCTTGATTTATTTTTTTCCCGCGGAGCGGCTCGTGCGCTGCAGGAGGGCAATGATATCGATACGTTAATTCTAGAGTAAGAGTAGGTCAGTAGGGTACTCTGGGGACGGATAGGTAGAAACAGTAGCTAGGGCCCGGGTAGCGGGGGTGTATTCGGGATTATCCGCCCTACAAAAGTGTCAGAGAACGTTAACATAGGGCCTTGTGACATTTTCCTCACCGCTCAGCTTGACTGCGATATCTACTCGGCCAGGTGATCAATGTTCGAGAGTGTAGCTGGCTAGCTGGATAACAAAAAGGTCCACGAATGCCCTAGGTATTGATGGGAATCAAAGGAGATGTTCCGGTCGACTCACGTCGCAGTAGTACTGAGGGTCACATTCAAGGCTCGAACATCCCGGCAGCTCTGACAGATCAAGCAGAAAGGTTTTGCCGTACTACCACGGCTGGATCTTGCCTTAGACATTGTATCATTACCGTTCACCGCCGAATACCGTTTGTTAACAAACAGGGGTCTTCTCGCGAGTAGGAACTGGAGCTTTGGCATCTTGGCTGTTATTGCAATCCCTGCCCGGCCAGTACATGTAGCTAGTATCCGTTATGTGGCTGCAATCAACAACTCTAATCCATGACGGGTCATGGAATATCACTCGTTCTACTTTATCACTCCTTTTGGAATTCCGAGCACATTAACAATTTCGGGGACTATTGATGTGGCTACGGGGTGCGGACGTTCAATTTTATCCAATCTTGAAGAGGTTATAGTCATGTACTGTCCTTGGATCTTCCCGGGATATTGGGGTGCTCTTGATAATTACCGCAATTGTTTCGATTGTTGTATGTAATATGCCCCCCCCCTTACGCTATGTCCCGAAAATCGCGGAATTCTAGAAATTCAGGAATCTGGCGCCTATGAAACGTGGTGAGCTTTTGGATTTTTGGCCTTTTGAAAATTTTGCCCTTTCAAACTTCTATGAATAAACCAGCGTGGGCTACTTTTAGTAAACTACATGTACAGTACTGTGTATTTTTGTAACCGGATGGGACACTGACGTCCAAAACTACAAGGTCTAGGCTTACATGCGGCTAGAAGGTAATTACAAGGTTCCCTGCTTTACTTCATTTTTTGTCGATTTCTCCTTTAAATTCTGTGGGTATTGGCCTCGAGAATAATCTTTTTAAAAAGGCGAATTCGAAATAACGTGTTATTGGGTGGTGTAATCTCAATTAATCCCATGTTGCAGCCATGAACCTCGGTCGCTTTGCGCAAGGGCCCCGCTGCCACACCCGACATCGTCCATGGCTGCTTTGAATGCAGTGAGATCTCGCTTACACCCTTGCAATTGTACATCTAGGGTTCAACTTCATCTGCCCTCCTGATAAAAGATGTTCGATAGCCCCCTGGAAACTTTGTAAAATGCTTAGATGCATGATAGGAAAAGCCTAAGCCTTACGGTATTCTTGCTACGCGCGCCACAGCCTCTTTTGTACATAGAGGTTTGAAGGCTCTGTAGTTTCTAGATCTGTCTCTAGGGGTTTCCTAATCTAGATCTGGTGCCTCGAGATTCCGAAATTTTGACGAGGAATCCGTTGCAACGTAAAATTTGTACTGTAGGATCAACAGGTTGTAACGTGAATCTGAATGGACTCTAAATATTAAGAAAACGGTTCCGATAACCGCGGGATCCCTAACATTCGTTTTTGCTGCGCATGTGTACAAGTCGATCTGGGAAAATTTGGCATTAGATCGACTTCCAGAACCGGAGTCTTCGCCGGACAGAAAACAAATCATGAGTGAGTAGTACCTAGATATCATGCCATGTAGGGTAAATCTCTATTATGTAGAGTAACGAGAATGAAGAGGTTGTGTAGTAGCAATAGTAATGGTGGTATGCTAGAGTAGTTCGAAAGAGGGGCGTACATATGACGGCACAGGAATGTCCCTACCTCAATGAAACGACTAGCGCTACTG